CCATCTATCTCCTATTAATTTCTTCTCAGTAAACATGAAAGAGTTATTTTCGTCAGCTTCGTCCAAACTGCCAAATTTTAAAGGAGCGAAAGCTGATTTGGATGTTGCTGAGCAAGTAGCAGCCTTGTTGGCTCAAGACCAGAAAATTTTCATTGCTAACCATGTAAGTCCAAATAATCTTGATTATTTTATTACTTTTAAATGTAAACAATTTTTTGATTTGAGACACCAAACCAGAATTATATCATTTATCAGATTTTTTCTATCAATGACGAAACAATAAGTTTATTATCCATATTTGTACGGCAAAAAGACGAGACGTCTCTCGTCTCGTCTTTTTGCTGTGCAGGTACCAATAACGTAACTTACGCAGGCACTTAAGACAAGAGATTATCTTCAGTGAGGAGTTAGTGGTTTTAACTAAGTCATAGTTATTCTGGAAGATTTTTTGTGGGATAGATCGTCAATATGGGAGCCGATGGTTAACAAGATGTTTGGTAATTGGCGTCGACTGGGGAGTGATTTCCTATAGTTGGGGGCACAGGAAAATTCAAGAGCGTTGTCAGGGACTTGGGGATTGGGGTTTTGGGGATGGTTATAGTTCACCCTACCACCACCCATTATCCATTACAGGGTGGGTAGACCCTCACGGATTGGGCCTCCTGTAACCTCAATCACACGGCGAAAAACTATACAATTGACTGCACGGTTGGCGCGGTGGCTGGGCAACTGGCTGCCGCGCAACGTGTCGCGGGTTCGATTCCCGCACGGAACAACCCTTTGTGTGATCCAAAAGTTGTTGTTCCGGGTCTGGGTGTGATGTGTATGTGGAATTATATGTTTGTAAACCCACCCACGACACAGGAGAAAATCTTAGTGTGGGGCAACGTTTTAATAAAAAAAAAAACATTTTCGTTATTTCCAGCATATTGCACCATCGGTCCTAATGGGCCATGATTCGAGTATCGCCACAGTTGTCAACTTGTTTCCGGAGCTGGTCCATAATATCAGGCAAGCAGTGAAAGATGGAGAAGTTGGGAAAGCGAAAGTTCTTCAAAGGCGACTAAATGCTTTGGTAGATGCTATAGCTTCGCATGGTGAGTTTAATTGCATTTCTACTGATTAAAAGCGTAACGTCCTATTTTGTTTACGACGAAAAGGTACTTACCAAAACCTTCCCAATGTTCCACTCGAATTATCTATAACGCTTCTTATAGTAGCAATGAAGAGATGGGAAAATTAAACACATTAAGCAATAAAGAAATGCCAAAATTGATTCAGGCGTTGTGAAGTTATGTTTTTAGTTCGGTAAAGGGGGTAAATCATGAAATAGTTTTCTTGGGATAGGTTGGCAAACGATGGATCCTGATGGTAAGCAATACCAAAGGAGGCGTTTTAATACCAAAGGAGTTACTTTAAGAGTGCATTGTCCGTTTTTTGTGGATTATCAGGTATAAGGTTAGAGGATTCGGGGATTATCCATATAGATCCCTAATCCCCTTGTAATTCGCATATTCCTAACAACCAACAAACGGCCGTCAATAACTCCTTCGGTGTTGTGGGGGTTTTCCTTCCGTCGATTGCTTAGTATAATTCAGGAGATCCGTCTGCTCGTTTACCAACCTATCCCAGAATAAAAAAGGAGAGACTCTATTACTTCTAATTGGTCCTTGTAGATACACTCTAAATAAACGCGAATTATTTTATGTTCTTGTTATTAAAACATGTTTTCATTAAATTTCTTACCTTATGCGACCAACTGTAGATACTAAAATAGTATTTATATGCATGGGTTTAAAGCTCATTTCGATTGTTTCAGGTGATTTTATCCCATCAATGAAGACTGCTATGGAACTAACGACCGGGATCAGGGTCGGGCCAACACGCGCGCCCTTGGTGCCCCTAAATTGTGTTCAAAGAAAAGAATTGAGAAACTCTTTGATTGAATTAGATGTAAAAGTTCAGATAGCAGAGTGACTCTAAAGGATTGCCTATTATTAGATTGTTTTTTGGATTAATACTTAATAATTATTATATGATCATCTAATCCTATAAAACAATATACTTGTGGTTAATTGTAGTATTCAAAATCGGTAGTTTTAAACATGTAATTTAATAAATATATCGTTTTTGGAAAATGTATGACCAGGGTACGGGCCGCAACTCCGTGGAGACTGTGACAAACAACACCCTCTTTTCGTCATAACATTCTATATGTATTAAAAATATTTTAAAGTAAAATGTTTGTACTCACATACAAATGCACACAATATTATAAGAATAACATGTAATAATGCATGTTAATTATATATAGATACTTATATTTTAGTAATAAGCATAGATTTCATACTAGACTAGGTAATAAGATGATTTGAACTGCGAGCTTTATGCTGTGCCCTATCGGGTCCATATTATTTCTAATATATTATAACCACCTGTGTAACATAAGGAATGCTAATAAAGTATGAGTATTGAATATTGTCTTTTAAAAATGCCAATTCTTTTATTCTACGCTTCCTAACTTTTCAAAGGACATAGCCAAAAAAGTACCTACGTTCCATGTACACAAACATAATTAATACACTGTAAAATAAAAATAGAAATATGAATTATTATGTAGTTTTTAGCCTCTCCAGACCTGACAATTATTTTTAAAAAAAATATATAAATGTAATGGAAGATGAATTCAACTTATCGCCTGTCAAGTTTCGCCAAAATAGTCCATAGAAAAAGATAAATAAAAGACGTTCCAATTCCATAAAACATCACCAACTATATACAATTTCAACTATGTAGTAGATGAGTATAAAAACCCACTCCAAAGAAAACCCACGCCAAGACCTCCGGTAAACAATCAATATTTATTTATTTTAAAATATCACTATCATAATAAAGAAGTTAGTCATTTATTTTGCCTTTAGTTTTTAAAAAAAATGAGCAAAGAAACCACGTGTTTAGTTATCGGTACATTACCTATTTATAAGTATGCGAAAACTAATAAATTTAATTATCACTTGTAATGCACGTATTTTATTTTATTTTTCGTTATCCACGCACGATTTTTTAATTAAATTGGTACATTTATCTTCGTGTATATAAATAGTTCGCAGACATAAAATTTTTGTAATAGCGTTTTAGTTTTCAAAAAACATGGAACGTTTATCACGTTTTATTGTACTTTTGTGTATATTCTGTCAGTTATTGGAAGCAAGGAAATTGGTAAGTAAGTAGTAACAACTTGTGCGATCCAAAAATTGTCGCTCCAGGTCTAGGTGTAATGATATGAATATATGTGAAATTGTATGTTGTCTGGGTCAGCGTTTAAGAAAATTGTAGTACCTATACATATAGGTATAAAATAATTATTTCATTGTTTGCATAGCTTAGCTTTTGCTCTCTAAAATTACATGTGTACCTACCTACTAGTTTTAGTTGTATAGGTACTTATTCTATCATAATTTTGCGAATGTTGTTGGCAACTATGTAAGTCCTACTTATGTAAGAAATTGTACTTTAAGCCTTACAGAAGCTGTTATTAAATCCTTTAATAAATAAATAAATAAATAAAAATTTTGCTATTACAATGTAATTTACAGCAAGCTACATAATCATTGACAAAATAAATACTAAGAGTACCTATTTGATTTTTTTATTGATTCTACTTCATATTGTGTATATTTATTCCTTGCGAGAATTTTAGATTCTGTTTATTCTTTAAGTTTTTGATCGCCTTGGTCGGCTATAGGCGACGTTTGCTAGTCGGCTATGCTCAAAAATAGCGAAATAGACTAATTTTCGTTTCTCATCTATAGCCGATCATGGCGGTCAATAGCTTAATAAGTACATATTTTGGTGTAATCGCAACAAAAATTATCTCTAAAGATAAGGTATAATTAATTCCAGTGCTTCGACATTAGTGGACTTATAAGCCCAGTTTTCACACCAGTGGATAGCGAAGGAGCCCTCAACCTAAATGTCATTCCACAATACGCCCAGTACTTACAGGATGAAGTATAGTAGTTCGTATGATTCCTTCATCTTCTATTCCTTATGTTTACGAGTAAATAAAAATGTACCTAAGTTAATATTCTTATTTAGAGGTATGAGAATCATGGTGGAAAGTTCCTCATCCTCCATTGAAAAGAGAGGTTCCTTCCATCCTCCGACCAGGCGAGGTGTTCGTGCCTGGTGGGCTACTGCCCGACGGTTGTTGTCGGGATATCTGTATGGGTGCTAATTGTGTTAAAAACTCTTATAGCGCGATGTAGACTTTTGCACGTGATTGGTGCTGTTGTTAATGTAGTGCGCTAGATGTCGCTACCTACACTTATATCTGAAAAACTGTGTAACATCTGATACTTCAACAAAGCGAAGACGATAGGCATAGACGCGATTTTTATGCGACTATTTCTTCACCCGCGTTGATGTTAACCACTAACTTGGCTCGTTAAAATGAAGCACCGCGACCTCGGCCCAGAGCAGGAGAAGGAACAGGGGGTTTTTAGTCAGTAAGAGTTTGACACTCTCTCTCGCCTTACCCTGGGAGAAGTCATTAGATGATTTACTCCTGACAAAAAAAGCTCGTTAAAATACTTTCATAGTACCCACTTAGCTTAACCTCATACCTACTGCTTAGTCGTGAATACCCGTAGCTTAAGGTCTCGTCTGTCGTTGAAAAGCTGGTGAGTACTAATGCGTCTTTTTCCATGTTCAATGTTTGAGATTCTACATATATGCTATCTATGAGACTTGCTAAGATTCATTAGACACCACTTTTATGCGGTAAGGGAAAACATCGTGACGAAACCTGGACCAATAATTTTCAATTTAAAATATAGGATCGCTAATCTGCTTTGAGAAAGTTTTGTGATTACTACTCAAAACGCATCTCCGTTTGATCAGCAATGGGCACCTATAAGCTGATAATGATGAATTTTGACCACCATGTCTAAAGATTGGTCTTTCTTCTTTCTGCAGTGGCAGGGACCGCAGGAGAAGGTCCTACTCTAAATGTAACTGACATGGAACATCTGATTGATGCTTGGCTAAGTGTGTCCAGATCATTGAACCTCTCTGTCATCATACAAGTTGGAGGTAGACCACTGCCAGACGCACAAAGACTGGTAACTAGAATTCAAATACCTAGTATTTTAATCTTGTTTTATATTTGTTCTTATCTGTCACTTTGTATAGTCTGTCATTCAAATATTATGTAAAATAAGAAACAGTACCAAATGGCTATACTAAAAATTGCGTTGAATTTTGAAACCATTTTTGATACTTAATGCTTAATTTGCCAAATATTCAATAAACCATTAAGTCTATTGAATAATCTGGGGAAGCGGGGCATGCGCAATAAGGAATCGCGGCCTCGGTCTGGAGCAGTATAAGGAATGGGGTAGTTCGTTTTGGAGAATGGAGATGGAGATGGGGGTGGCGTTTAATCAGTAAGAGTCTGATACTCCTGCTCGCGGGCGAGAGAAGTCATTTAAAGACGTTTCCGACTTCAAAATAACAAAAGGCGTATTTGTTCAATTTTTTTTGTGTTTAGCTCCTTTACATTATTTTCCAGGCAGCGCATGCAGAGGAAGCTGGTGCTGACGCCATAATGACCATACCGGAGTTGTACTATAAGCCTAAAACTGCCAAGCAGCTTGTGGACTACGTGCAGGATGTTGCACTGTATGCACCGGAGACGCCTATCCTGTATTATCACGTGCCAGCGTACTCTGATGTTAATGGTAATTGATTTCATTATCATCATAAGCCTGATTTTGTTCATGCCTTCTCATCCAACCACTGCCAGCCACCCTGCGGATATTGTTAGTCCACCTTGCTGGGGGGCGCCCTACACTACATTTGGCAAGACGTGGTCTCCACTCTAATTGATTTCTTAACTGAATTTATTTGACCATTGATAGCCAAGCTATGATTCTGGATGTACATATAGAGTTCTGCCGGAAAAGATCCGTTGATTGAAATACGGATTATTGATTGATACGGGATTGAGTTAAGAAAACTCTTTTTCTAAGCTGTACCTAACAATTTTTGTCTTTTCCAAGAAAAAATGGTCACTCTCTCTAGACTTCTTATTCGGTTAGAATAGATTTATTCACTAGAAATTTCTATTCACTTGTTGATTCTCTAGATAAAATAGATAGTCTCTCAAGACTTTATTTTTCTACTCTCTATACTGTACCAGAGTTTAGTCTAAGCGTATCGGCAATTAAAATAAAATACACTTCTAGTTACACAGCAGTTTATTTTTATTAAATTTCAATTACAAAATATAATAATATCTTTAATTGTTTTTATAATAACTATCGTGAGACATACTAAATTAACTAAAATTCGCGGGTTACTCACGTGTAAATGATGAGAAAAGCTCTACTAGTTTCGAACCACAGAGGGGTTCTTCCTCACATACAGACATATGGGGTCGCCACTGGCGCCAGTGGTGGCTAACATCTTCATGGAGTGGTTTGAGGGCCAAGCCTTGGCATCCGCCCCGGTGAGACCGCGATACTGGTGGAGGTACGTCGATGACGTATTCGCAATCATCAACCGGGAACATGTAGCTGAATTTGTGGGACACTTGAACTCAGTGCACGGCAGTATACAATTCACCACTGAAGAAGAGAGAGAAGGGATGTTGCCGTTCTTGGATGTCCTCGTAAGACGAGAAGAAAGTGGTCGATTGTCACACACAGTGTATCGAAAACCGACACACACAGACCGATACTTACGAGCTGACTCACATCATCATCCCTCCCACCTAGCCGCTGTCCCGCGGACTTTGATAAACCGGGCGCTGAGTCTATGCGATCCACAGTACATTGACGACGAATTTCACCATTTAAAAAGGGTACTGGAGAACAATGGATACAACTGGCGTCAATGTACTCGACTAGCGAGCAGCTCGAGTAGGAAGCGACCAGCAGTTGCGGAGCGGACTCCAGCGTTCTTACCCTACGTGAAAGGAGTAACCGACAGAATCGGACACCTGCTGCAACGTAAATATAGCATCAGGACGATCTTCCGCCCACCCGGTCAGCTGAGACAACTGCTACGCTCGCCAAAGGATAAGGATCCACTAGCTGTGCCCGGTGTGTACATTATACCTTGCGACTGTGGCTCAAGTTACATCGGAGAAACTCGGCGCAACATCACAACCAGGCTAAAGGAACATATACGTAGCGTGAAGAAGATGGACATCCAGGCATCGGCTGTGGCTGAACATGTTTGCGGCACGGATGCGGCTCACTTCATACGTTTTGATAAGGTCTCCGTACTAGCGAGGGAGAAATACTTCGTTCCGCGAAAAGTGCGAGAGGCCATCGAGATTAGCCGACGTCCGTGCTTCAACAGGGATGGTGGCTGGGCATTGCCACCCGCGTGGAAGCCGAGCTTGGAGACTACGTCGGTCCGAAGCGTATCCAGTCTGGAGTGTGACACAGTAAGCGTCATATGTAACACAGACTTTGTGCCGGGCCCGGAATCGAACCCACTACCCGCGCCACTGGTGAACGTACCGTGCGCCTCAACATCGTCACACGCGCCGCCGCCGGAGATGGCAGCAAACGCGCGTGGTATCCGGCAGATGGCGCGTTGGACTCGCCGCAGCGCAACCATCAACAGCGATGCAGGCGCCAACGCTAACCAGTAGGCTGCGCGACGTCGCCGCGTCCGCGCACGCTGCTCATGAGGAAGAACCCCTCTGTGGTTCGAAACTAGTAGAGCTTTTCTCATCATTTACACGTGAGTAACCCGCGAATTTTAGTTAATTTAATATCTTTAATTAACGAAATCACTTTTAGAGGTTATGGTAAGTGTAACTTCAGCTGGACTACTTGGTTATGGGCTCTATCGCTATATCAGCCCGGTCATGTGCTAGGATTTTAGCTTAAAACAGAAGACTTTAGACTTTATCTTAAACTTGAAGATCATTTTATCATTTTTATTTTTGATTGATCATATCAGTATCCTAATCCTATTTTCACTCTCTGTCTAAGATTTCACAGATTCCTTTGAATTCTGTTGTTTTTATGCATAACTTGTGTAACATATTGCTTAGGACTGGACATGGTGGAGTTCTGGAGGCTGGCCACTCAGCGAATACCAACCTTCAAGGGGATAAAGTCAGCAGTGTTTGAGACCTCGTTGTTGCTTCAAGACGAAGTGATGGATGACCAGAAGATTTTCATTGCAAATTCTGTATGTACATATTTATTTAATAGGTTATAGTTATAGTCACGGTCTTTTGCTTAGCAGTTTTAACCCATAATTTACGAAGTAAATTCAAACATATAAAAATAATCCTGCGACTACACGATTGGCGTATTGGCTGGGCAACTGGCTGCAGTGCAACGTGTCACGATTTGGCTTCCCTTCGCGAACAACACTTTATGTGTACTACAAATTGTTGTTTCGGATCTGAGTGACGTGTGTAATGTATATGTGAAATTGTATATTTGTAAAAGGAGCGAAGACACAGGAGGAAATTTTGGTGCTAACGTGGAACCGTTTATTTAAATAAATATGTTATAGACCAATTTTCTATCGCTTGACTCTTAGTGCTTAGTGATGTAGGTTTCTGAATCCTTCGTCTGTTCTTCTCCCAGATTAATCTAAACATATTTTATATTTCATTAATTTTGTTCATTTAAAACCGTTTAAAACCCTCCTCTTGAGAATTTTACAAAATAAAACTCTTTTCCTTCTTTTCAGCTCTACTTAGCGCCAGCCGTCCTTATGGGTTTTAGGGACATCATAATAATCGAAATCAACTTGTTCCCAACATTAATCGAAGAAATAATTAGCAATGGCAGCTATGGATATACGACGACAGCCATTACAAAATACAGAAAGATGAGAGATCTTAGAAGTATCATCACTAAAGAAGGTAATACTTTTGGGAACAACAGAACAATCTCCAAATCCATTATCCTGAAATTCCTAAACCCTAAGGCCATTAACGCACTTTTACCTCATCTGGTATTGCGTGAAGCCCAATCTGAACCAACTCGAGCAGACTGCGTTGAAAGAGCCAATAGACTACTTCAGATGTAGCCCAAAAGGGCTCATATTCAGCTTGGGTTGTATGGTAAGCGCAATAATGGACCGCGGTCTAGACCTTGAGCAGGAAAAGATACAGGGATGTTTTAAGTTTTAGTCAATAAGTAATTTTTAATAACTCTCTCTCTCTCTCTCTCTCTCGTTCGGTCCTGGGTGAAAGAAGTAATTTGATGATTTTTGGCCTCAAAAGAAAAAAACTCAACTATAGACGACGCCGATAGCTTTTTTTTTTTTTTTAAATAAACATTGCCCCACATTATGATTTTCTCCTGTGTGGTGGGTGCGGTTACAAACATACACATGACACCCAGACCCGGAACAACAATTTGTGGATCACACAAAGAGTTGTTCCGTGCGGGAATCGAAACCGCGACACGCTGCACGGCAGCCAGTTGCCCAGCCACCGCACCAACCGTGCAGTCAAAGCTTACCATCAGGTGTTCTGTCTGTACGCTTATAACCCGATCCCATAAAAAATCAATTAAATTTTTGTGTAAACAAGTTTAAAAGTAATAAAATTAGGAGGATCTTGTTCTGTAATATCGATATTAAAAACTTTTTTCTGCAAACCTTCACACAGTTCTTTGGCCATCCTCTTTCTTTCCATACCTACATCCATTATATTAAGTCGAGTCTCATTATTAATACGTATTTTTTTATCAGGTTTACCCACGTCAGCAATTAAGGCAGCCATGCCAATGGTAACAGGCATCGATGTAGGACCAATAAGGCGTCCACAGAATCGGCTGACCACCGACCAGGTCATTCGTCTGGAACAAAGGCTTAGGGACGCAGATGTTGATATTGTAAACTCAGAATTATTATTTGAAGATTAACATAATACGGTAGTTTCCAACTAATCAATACTTTCATCCAAATGTCAAAATGCGCCATGTTCGAGACGATAAAGAATCTAAAATTTAATAATTGATCCCATCATTTGTTTTTTTTTAACAACTTATACATAGTTCTTACATATGGTAACAATAATGTATACTATGTATCAATTTGTGAAACTATAAATCATTTTTTTAAAGAGTAACGATGGAGTTAATTCAGACATATTTAAACTTTTTGTTATTTATAAAGTTTTATTCTTTTTATTCCAATTTTTGTTTTCGTTTTTTTATTTGATGGTAAATGGCGTAAGATTTTGGATATTGGTAACGATTATTTTTACTTCTCTTTATAATTCAAACATCTTGAACCCTGTTTATTAACGAGAAGAGTCTTCACTGTTTTTTGCAAGACCCGCAACAGTTATAAATAAATTGTTTTTAAAATTCCTTTTACGTTTTTCTTTGCTTCCATAATCTGTCTAGATATTAGATCAGACTGTCTAGGTCAGAGTTACTGACTACCACTCCTCCCATGGAAACCTGTACACCATGGAATAATAAAGGAAACAATGAAACAAATATCCAAAAAAATTTAGAACACTGACTCACTATCTCTGGAAGACCACAAAGGCCTTCTTACCTACACTATCTTTTATTTTTAAACATGTAATGACTTCTCCTGTCTCTAAGACCACCCCATTTCTTTACTGCTCCAAGCGACCCGTCACCAGCTCAAGGCCCCATCGAAAGGGCCTCGTCTTTAGTCCTCCATATCAAACATTGTTTGGTTTCGGATCAATATAATATGAAGGTAATAAAAAAATGAGTTCGAATTATTGTTGTATTTAATTTTGTTTTTAAATTAATTTTAAGGCTTTATTTTTGGTTTAATTTTTTCGCGGTATAATTTCTGATAAATTGGTAAAAAACGGGTACCAATTGAAAACTACTCAGAATCCATAATAGACACTATATTTAAGTAGATAAAGTATAAATTGTTTACAAAACTTACATCATACATTAAGCATCAGAAATAAAATAACATCAAACAGTTAACAATTTTAATATATTGACAACAACATTATTTCACAAAAAAGCTTGCTTTACGAGAATAAACATAACACAAAAGGTTACAAGATTCATTTTCACTTGCTCAGGCCGAGTGTTCTCAGTTTGGAGTGAATCCTTTGCTTAGCTTCAGAAGAGAGGGGCTTCTGTGGGAGAGAAGGAGGTCCAACCTTGATGCCAGTAACTATCTCCATACCAGCCTTCATTATAGGTACCCAGGGACCTTAATCAAAACACGAATAAAAAAAATGTTATACTTTATTACATTAGTGTTACCTACTTATGATAAAAATTAGAAGTGTTCCAAATGTGGGCACGGTTTTTTTTTATTTTCTGTAATTACCTTCCACGGTGTGCGCTTCAATAGCCAAGCTGAGTTTTTCCTGCAGAGCCCTGGCTTTGACCACGTCGTTCTTCTCAACCGCTTCTACAATTTCCTGCGCCAGTTTCGGGAACAGGTTGAAACTTGTCCCGATGCTGGATTTAATGCCTAAAAGCGCTGCTGGAGCGATGAGCTGTAAATATACATTTTAAAGACATGACGTTTCTTAATAAAATTAATTATCATTGCTAGTCTGATGCCAGGAAGTTTGGCGGTGTTTCGTCCTCGTAGGTACCCTGAATATCATGTTATGGGTTTAAACAACATCAAAAGGTTTAAGAGTGCTTTTTCAAGGGGTAAAATCATATGATCTCCGGCCACCGTAAGCGTGGGTCTGCGGACGGCGAGTAAGGGTAGCTCGCCGCCCGACCAGAACCAGATTCGAGGGCACGGCGCGTAGCGTACCGTGCATGCCTCAAAGAGCCTATGGGCCACCACGGACGGGGCCCTATAGGGCTGATATTCAGCTGGGATTGCGGGTTAAGCGCAATGAGGCACCGCGACCTCGGCCCAGAGCAGAACAAGGAATGGAGGGGTTTTTAGTCAATAACAGTCTAACACTCTCTCTCGCCTAGCTCCCGCCGGGAGAAGTCATTCGATGATTTTCCCCTGACCAAAAAAAGGGGTAAAATCGTTACCTGGGCGGGGCGAGAGGGAGTGACAAACTCCTACTGACTAAAATCCATGCACTAACGTCATCTACGTCATCCAAGGCCTTGACATCGCTTGCTCAACGCGGCCTCGGCCTAGAATATGAGAAGGAACGGGGGCGTTTGGCTTCTCCCTTGAAGGGAGAAGTCATTACATGATTTTCCCCTGACAAAAAAAGGAATGGAGCAGGAATTAAAACAGTTTTCTGCAGTAGGATTGTGAGATTTCATCCCCCCTCACTTATAACAGGAAGTCTCAAATGACACTCACAGTATCAGCTCCGAGGAACATCTCCTGGCCATCCTTCAGAGCTCTGAGAACTTGAGCACCTTCGCTCAGGTCGTTGGAGGTGAACTTAATACCCTTGAAGTTAGGGATGCTCGCTGTGGCAGCTGTCACAAATGCTGGCATATTTACTGGGGGAAATTAAAAATATTCATATTAACTAACAGAAAATGTGATAATAAAATAAGTGCTTAATTTTTTAGCCAATCAATGACCTACGTTTCTCCTTTCAAGTTTTATTAAGCAAATATGTATCTTATCGCTTATATCTTAAGCCTACTTATCAAGTAGCAATAATTATTTACTTTCATGTGCATACACAGCGCCAAAAAAAACACAAAAGGTCTCTTAACAAAATAGAACTCTAACCTGCTGTTTTTAAGATGGATTCTTCAGTAACTTTCAACATCGCTCATACTTAAACAGTACTGGCTGTTTCAGATTACCAAACAAAATATAACTCTAGCGCACTATGGTTAAGATTCATTTTACACTGAAAATCACTGACAATCTTGCTCATAATTATTTAGAATTATCAAGCAAAAAATATCTCTAATTTAAAATGTATAAAGTCTATTTTTCGGTTTAATAATACTTACTTTCAACCTTGCTCATGCTGGGAATATGGTAGTACAATACTGGGAGTTTGGGAGCGGCCTTAGCGACTTGTGACACGTAGAACACCAGGTCATCGACTGTGGCTGGCTTGAAGTATAATTCAGGAAGGGTCAGTAAGGAGTCCGCTCCGACATCTTGGCAGAAACGAGCCTGAAAAATAATATAGAATATTGCACTTAATTGTGTCGGTTTAAAAGTTAAAATGAAATGGCAAACTTGTGAATGTATAAATTAAATTAAAATTAGGTCTTTATTCGTTAAAATACCTTTTACGTATAATTTCTTTTAGGAATTATACGCCTTATTTAGACCAATCTAGTTATATCAATATTATAAAGAGGTAGGTAAAATTTGTAAGTTTATATGTAGAAAGTAGGTAATCTTTGGAACCGCTGGTCGGATTTCCAATATTCTTTCCCTGATAGATAGCTACAATATTCCTGAGTATTATATGAATTGTAATACTTGTTTGGAGTTTTTTGGTCGAGCTATCGCTTTAAACGCAGTTTTTTTTAAATCCCCGGATAGGTACCTACATTACTTTTATAAGCGTGCTAAGCCACGTGGAACAAAGGAAGATATTTTAATACCGTCGTACGAACGTCGGCTGTGTTTTTATCCATACGTCAATCGTCTAGGACAAAATAATCAAGCCATGACATCTGCGATTAATTCCGGTAACCGCGCCGTCAAATCAACATCGCCTGCCATAATTAAAGACTTGGAAGAAACCACTTGAGATATCATTAAACATATATTTAGACAATCTAAAATCGTTTATGAGCCACGGGTTTCCATAGAAACTATCATGTTAAAATCCATGGAAATATTATGCAAACGATACGCCGCGCGCCGCCCGGGCAAACGTGGCCTGATGATAAACATAAGCAATCAGCGCCATCCGTGAACAACCACAACACTAGAGCAGTTATAATTGCATTACCGGTATTTTGAGGATAAAAGGGCCATGGGGAGGGAAGGGAAGGGAAGGGGAAGTTTAAGTGTGGAAGAGCCATGCTTCGGCACGAATGGGTCGGCTCGGCCGGAGTGATACCACGGCCTCACAGAAAACCGGCGTGAAACAACCACAACGTTGTGTTTCGCCGTGTGAGTGATGTTACCGGAGGCCCAATCTTTCCCCTACCCCAATCCCTTCCCAATCCCAAAATCCCAATCCTTAAAAGGTCGGCAACGCACTCGTAACTCCTTCTTTGTTGCAGGTGTCCACGGGCGACGCCGATTGCTTACCATCAGGTAATCCGTCTGCTCGTTTGCCGTACTATCACATAAAAAGAAAAAGAATTTTTGGTTGTTTCACGCCGGTTTTCGTGAGGCCGTGGTATCAATCCGGTCGAGCTAGACCATTCGTGCCGAAGCTTGGCTCTTCCACCAAATTGGACTTGAAAATTTGTATGGAAACCTGGGCCGTGTAAAAATCTCTCGCTCTTAAATATTTCTTATTTGTATCTCAAGTACAAGATAAGAGTAGGTACATACCTATTATTTACAAAAACAATATTTCATGATAATGTTATTTATCAAGTGACATTACTTTATATAAGAATAATAGGTATGTAATACCTATCTACCTACCTACTTGTAGATATGTTTATAATTTTAGTGATAAAATACTTAATTTGTGTGGAATATGCCTTTCAAATCTTTCTCTGAGTCTTGGTGTCAACAACATTTTTATTATGATGTTACAACATGTTTAGTATGACCTACTCCCGAGGTATTTGAAAGTTATCAATAATCATGCTGCAAAATATAAATAAGTACCTACCTACGCAGTTTATTTATTTTTAATAAGCGTTCCATTTTCGATTCGGCTGGATATCTCCAGCCGTATAGTAAACTCACCTAATTGTGTGACTCACTTAATTCGGAGATTCCAAGTTTGGACTCTTTCACAGCGTTATAGGAGTAAAATCCAATACATTAAAATTAACCCTATGGTATGGTAATAAATCTTCTTTTCGTGTACAAATTTTTGTTAAGATCGTGCGAGTGATATAGTAACAATCACGGAATTTGTCATTCCGCCCGCCATGTTTGACGTTTCACGGTAGCGTGCGACTGTGCTGTCATTATTTAATTAATTTTAAATAGAAAAGGTGAGTGTAAGTTGATGATACTTTGACAATTAGTTGTTAAAAGCATATACTTGTTGATTTTATGTTAAAAAATAATAAATACTCTCTTAATTCGGTTATAACAGAATTAGAAAAGTAAGTACTATCACCGAATTATGGTGTTTGTCACAGAATTAGACAAGTCATCGCGGTTTGATTAAGCTCATTTTACGCTGAGTTGATTCATATATATTAAGATTACACTTGCTCATATGATAAATAGAAGACTGATTAATGTTCCTATTAAAAATAAAAATAAAATTTATAAAGTTTAACCTGTTTTTTTTCCATATTCTTTTTTATCACAGAATTAGATGAGTTGACCCTACATTCGGTCACAGATTATTAAATTCGGCCTGCTTTGTAAAGAATGCACGGAGTAAAAACAAAGTTCAATTATTCCGTGAAATAATGAACCTCATTCCAAATTCTAATATCTTTACTTAATCAACTGATGTACCTAATTTGCCATCTAAGCAATCTCAAACCGCCAATCTTTAAATAACTAACAAACAACAAAAGGCCGCCGACGCACTTGTTTCTCTTTTGATTTTGTGGATGTCTATGGGCAAATTCGAATGCTTACCATTGAGGTGATACATAAGCTCGTTAGACGACGTATTTTTTAAAATCATAAATATTTATTACAACTCTGTCTGATTAGGGAGATCCGAGGTCTTATAATCAGTTGTCTCAGTAGCGATGAGTTTTTTTTCTTTAAATCAGTCACTCATTAATAGTCACAGTCATGGCTCTGGTAGTTATGAAGGTGTAAACGTTTAACTATGAAGTAAAAATCTAGTAAGCATTTACTTTATGAATGAACTACCTACCTAGGTATACCAAAATTGTAAAAAGTTGATAGGAAAAAAATTGAGAATTTGTCTTAGGTAGTATTAGGTATATTATTAATATGCTTGCTACTCTCGCGCTGTTTTACCCGCTGCTCGGCTCTTCGATCGTAGTGTTATGTTTTATAGCCTAAAGCCATTCTCAATCCTAAATAGTCTATTCTACAAAAATAATTATTTGATTCGAATCAGTAGTTCCTGAGATTAGCGTTTTCAAACAAACTCTTCAGCTTTGTAATATTACATATATGTATAAGTAGTGTAGATGTCGAGTGAGAACTGAAAATTCTGTTATCTTCATCAACTTATGTTGGCTAGATTTCGCGATTTGACACCAAGCGTTTGAGTTAAAGGTTGCCGAAGAAATAATGTGAGAGTCTATAGGTACACTTACATAGACTGCGCCAAATAAATAATGTAAAGATCAGTCTATACACATACATCCATATACCTACATATTAGGTTAATGATTATACAAAACGTATCCCCCACACCAGTTAGAAACCTTTTAAAAGTAACGAACATTGTTATTTTTAAGTATTCTACCATTTCATTCAGTTTACTAAGGGTAGCAACACTAAACCTATAAAATTATGGAATGAAGAAGACATAATATTTATTATCTCACCAGTTCAATAACATCAGCTAAGGGTGCGCCCCCGACTTGCACTTGTATGTGAAGGCCTGTAGTCTTGGCTGCTACCACCCAAGCATCAACGACTTTTTTCCTGTCGGCCACAGATAGGGACATATGCTCGCCTGTTGTACCTCCAACTGGGTGCAAACCAAAAAGTTTTCTTATCATTCTTGTTTCTACCAGCGGCTTCGAAAGTAACCTATTTTAGAAGAGAGGATGGCCTTTTTCTTCCCTCCCTAATCCCAAAATCTCCGACTATTAATTTTTTTTTACTTGATATAAACTAGTCCTTGACTGCGATCCCACCTGATGGTAAGCAGTGATGCAATCATTGACGGTAAGGCGCACTAGTTTATTAATAATTGATCTCAAAAAGGCTACGCACACGTAACTCCTCAGGTGTTGTGGGTGTCCATGGGCAGTGAATACGGCAAATTGCTTACCATTAGGTAAAAAGCCGGCTCGTTTGCCGACATATCACATAAAAAAATTTAATGTGCGTATGTGCCTATATGCGTATTCAGATTCGTTTGCTAGTTTTTACGTGAAACAAGCATCATAGGTAATTAAAAATCGTTTCGTGTTTTTTTTATTACTTATTCATAGCAAGGACCTGCATGTAATGCCCAATTCACTGCTAAGCAATGAGTTTTCTCCTCATAAAAGTTTTGTTCACCAATTTTGGCAAGAGGGTAGTTCAATACGAACTTAATATGTATATTTAATTAATCCACGAAATACCTGTGCATCTAAGTTTTCAAAAAAAGTTTTCGTCGCATGCGTATGATAAATGTAGGTAGGTACCTAAATTTTCGCAACTCAAAAGATAGGTAGGTAACTTTAAAAATCATCTTACCCAAAACGGACTTGATCCCTGAATCAGCCAAGAACTTTGCGTAAACGGGAATAACTCCATAGTTTATGGTGTGGTCATCATTAAGTGGAGTGAAGACTGGAGGCATTAGACCACGAGCAGTGAAGCTCACCTAAAAATAAAATTAAACATTTTCAATAATTAAAACATTTTGTCAGGCCACTTTGATTTGAAACTACAAAAAAACAGATTTTTTCTTGTAATGCTCTTCAATATTTTTTGTATCTAGTTCTATATACTGTATCAAAATCCGATTCCCAGTTCTTGAGATTATTACGAACATACGGACTTCATGTGTAAATGTAGGTAGACAAATCAAGTACCTACTATGATATTCTATTAATTTAAAAAAATAAGCATGTTAACATAACATACTAAAAATATAAGTCGGTACTTACCATTTTTGGTTTATATTAATTTAGTTTCAACTAATCAACTTTAAACAACACCGCTCTACGGGCCGAATAGACTACCAATGAATGATTTCGAAATTATTTTATTCTCATCATCTGAATGTATTCTGTTCTTATCATATCGTTAACAAACAGTTCGGTCAATTGTTTACAACTTTCTTATCATCATTATCAAAGTTCCATTATCCAGCGAATCGTCTCGAGCATTTTGTTTATTTTCAAAATGTCACCGTCAGATGTTATATGTGTGCGTCTCTTTCTCTCCAATGTGAAACGTATATAGTGATCCTGCTGTCACATTTAAATTCTATGGAACTGGAACGCGACGCGTATAGTGTCTTTACCTTTAATTTTTAAATACTTTTCCGTATAAAAATATTGTTTAATGAATTGATATTGTATTTAAGTTTAACACTTTTTTATAATTTGGAATAAAATACTAGATTGTAAATGAGATAATTGAAAATTATTGTGACTATGGTAATAAAATCTCAAAACATGGGCAAACGCTTCGGAAAGTGATTATGAGATTTTATGCATCTTTTGGGTTGTTTATTTAACATACGAAAATTTATTTGCTGATTTACGTAATAACAATATTATGATAAAATAATCCATCATCATAATCATCACATTTTTATAGCAAAATAAGTGTCATTTACATTTTAAAGCTGCTTAGAGAAAGAGATAGCTTAATTTATGGAAACGAAAAAAAGAGACAGTATTTTCATTGAATGAAAGGGTAATCAATCAATCACAACACCAATTTTTCTGAATTATTATTTATTGTGAAGTGCATTATTGTCCATTAAAAATTAGAAAATACATGAAAATGAATACTATAACAAGTGAATTGAGTATGCACGATTTGAATGTGAGATTTTTTGAGATAATGCAGAATGAAAATAATGCGGAAGCTGCAGCAAATTATATCTACGAAGCTGTTTGCGACGATGTGACCCTAGGATTTGCTTTTGAGTTCCACCATGGGCTGAAGACGGGCTTGACTGAATTGATGGAAGGTGAGAAAGAAGAAGAAGAGCCTTACAAAATAGTGAGCACACCAGAATGTGACGTTTTTGGTTTCTCAATGATGAAGAAAACACCTGATTCAAATTGTTCCTGTCCAAATTGCGAGAGGCCTGTTTCGGCTACAAGATTTGCTCCTCATCTAGAAAAATGCATGGGTAAGTGAGCTCTAAATCACATTGACGTTACACATGCCTTGATGACTAAGATTTTGCCATGTAGTCTTCCTTGTTTTTCCCTCATTACTGCCAATAATCCTGCAATAATCATCATAAAGCAGTTCTCTTTGTCCAAAATACTTAGTATTCATCCAACATTTCAATAGAAATTTAACATAGTAGAATCTTGAGCTTAGGCATTCTCATTTTCATCTTTGTCTTGTCATTGTAATGATACCTCTTTTGTCCAAACCTGTTTAGATCAATTACAGATATAAGAAAAAAAATAACACATGGTCTCAAGTTGCATTAAAACAGTTCTTACTGGTGATTTAATAGGATTTTATGCATCTTCATAATAATATATTGACTTACACTTAACCTCTATTCATCCTTTCTTTTTGCCAATGAAATCAATAACAAATGTTATGATTTTTGTAATTTTTTATCATTCACAGATCGTAACTACTGCATAGTTATGTAACATGTTATTTAGTCTGCATAATAACTTGAAAACTATATCATCTCATCATGAAGCCATTTACTTTGTTGATTAAAAATTTCATAATCTTAATAACAATAAGATTTGGGTTAAAACCTCCTTAGCTAAGCTATTGTTTGCAAATGCTGTATAGAAATGTGGAGCGAACATGTTTAAACTATTTCTATTAAATTCAATTAGCTAAATGATCAGTACATTGATGTGATCCTTCATTTAAAATCTCAGTTTTAGTTTACTGGTTGTAAACTCAATTGCAGTGTGTTGGATTTGATCTTTGTCATTTCAAATTGAATTATCTTGTTCAAATATAACTTTTAAAAATGTCAGCCACCAGAACCAAGTTCAGTACTATAACTATGAGCCAGCGCAGTAACTTTAATCCACACTCCTTAGACGCTGCTGGGTTATTATTGGTAACTTATTAATTGGTTATAGCTACTCTCGTGCGATTTCACTCGTTGCTCGACTCCATTTGATCCTAGCGTGATGTTTTATAGCCTATAGCATACAGGAACATTGTAGCTATTTATCAGTGAAAGAATTTTGGCAATCCAACCAGCGGTTCCAAAGATTACTCCCTACATACAAACTTACAAATTTTATCTCTATAATATTAGTATAGATCGGGTTTGGATCAAAGGTCCAGTAATCTGAACTTATGGTATTAATAATTAATATATTATTATATAGCTTTACAAATGACACAAATGTATCAGAACTGATGACTGACTCATGACTGACTTGACTTATTGATGACCTTCAAAATTCTCCATAAATTTTGTATGTTTCTAATACTATTTATTTATTTATTAATAATAATTATCACTTTACAACTTAGCTGCTGTTTTACTTGATAGTCAGTTTATTTAAGTTAAGCCAATTTTTTTTCTTATAAAACATTGCCCCACACTAGGATTTTCTCCTGTGTCGTGGGTGCGGTTACAAACATACAATTTCACATACACATGACACCCAGACCCGGAACAACAATTTGTGGATCGCACAAAGAGTTGTTCCGTGCGGGAATCGAATCCGCGACATTGCACGACAGCCAGTTGCCCAGCCACCGCACCAACCGTGCAGTCGCTTCTTAACTTTGATTTTTATATTGTTACTAGGTATGGGTCGCAACAGCTCACGCATAGCTTCCCGTCGTATCGCCTCAAACAGCCGCGAGCCCACCTCATATGCGGGACTACTCAGTGACGATGAAGATGATGTTGACTGGTCCGGGGGCTCAATGCAGAATGAGCGGCGGAAACGCAGGATTAAGAATAACAACAATAGAAAACCTAGTAAAGTGCATAAGTATGTAGATAACTTATTATTTGATTGTTCTTACCCTTTATGAATTCAACTTTTTTTAGAAACTTTTTATGATATTTTCTAGTTTATCTTTAGTATAAAATTATGAGTAAGAGAGAGGCAAATAAAATAATCTGTAGTACAAGTAAAGTTTAAAAAATAAGGTAGATTAGTTTTTTATACGGATACAGGGTGTTTATTTAGATTTAAACCTTATTTCATGCATTCGGTAAGGTAATTGATAATAATTTCAATTTAATAGTCATAACTGTTGTTTGTTTCAAACTTCTAATGCCCTGGCTGGCTACAGTATTCATGGTATGTTCATAAGTTCCAAAGAGTCAGCTTTTAGAAGAAAAAAAAAAACAATATATAGTTTACTTACGCATTTTATTCTATACGAATTAGCTAGCACTTGCATGCCTTTTCAAAGTATATGATATTCAATACATAATAAATTTAATATTACGTGTTCTGTTACCGTGTTTGTGCATAAAGATATTTTTTTTTGTAAATAAATGTGTCTTTATGAAGATATAATAAATTTGATTCTTGTAAAGTAACGGGTTAATATAAGAACAAACCCATGTTATCAAAAAATATACCCTATGCACAAGCATAATTACATTATTTAAGCAAATACTAAGTGCAAATAATGTTCCCCAAAATCCTATCCATTCCTAATTAAGATTTACGACTATACAGGGTGTCCGTTAAAGAAAGGATAATTTTGCAATGCCTTTAAGTGTATATGATGGCCATTCAAATTTTTTTCGAAAGAAAGTTTTATAAACATATTGTTAATTTATTTATTTTAGTTTATTTTTTGCAGTACCCAATGTTTAATAATCATGGTTATGTAATAATGTAATGTACGTGAATGTAGAAAGATCTTTTCCTATTACCTCTAGCACCAGTTCTTCAACTCCAAGGCATCACAACTTAGGATACTACTTATGATACTTTCCTTTTCGTTTTTTTTTTCTTCTGAATGGCCATAAGATATACCAAAAGGCATTTCAAAGTTATCCATTCTTTACCGGACACCCTGTCTTTTGTGATAGGATTGAAAATCTATTAAAGATTATGGTGACTTCGTTTGGCATTTGTTTGTAAAATGTATTTTATGTCGGTAGGCACAACAACGGGACGCAGAACTCGGACTCGAACGACGGTGCCACATACGAAACGATGAGTGCCAACGAGAAGAAGAATTTGCTGCAGCAGATCTGCGGCGTCGTCTCCGAGCACACTAAGAAATTATGCACTAGGTAACTTTTCCAATTTTTCGAACAATAGGTACCATTACATAATTGCTAATCCTGTATTTAAGTTGCCTTAATTTTCTAAACCGATTAGCTGTCATTTTTTTTTTATTACAACCCTTTACTCACGGGAATTAAAAGTCCTACTACTGTCAAGTTACAAAAAGACTCTTATTCTTAACCTGTGTGCATGTTTCGAAATGTGAGATTTACACCAAGGCATCAGTTGGCACCTATAAGAGGGCACCAAGTTTTCTAAATAGACCCGTTTCAGAACTTCTACTGGGCAACTTCTGATGTGGTTACGGTTCTTTTCTAGGGTCTCAAGATTGCCTGGCACCTCTTCCTATCAAACCTACATATTGCAAATGAAATAATAATATTAACTATAGAAAAACTAAATAAAATAGAACTGTTGATTTATCTTTTTTATGTCAATGGTCGGCAGACGAGCAGACGGATTACCTGATGATAAGCAATCAGCGCCACCCATGGACACCCGCAACAACAGAGGAGTGCGTTGCCATCCTTTTGGGGATACGGGATTTGGATATTTGGGGATTGTAGAGGGATTGGGGAAGGGAAAGTATTGGGCTTGCGGTAAACTCACGGCGAAACACAACGCTGTAGCTGGTTTTCTGTGAGGCCGCGATGTCAATTCGGTCGAGGTGACTCACTCATGCAAGCATGGCTCTCCCACAAAATTGTTGTTGTTGTTTTGACATAAGTGGCTAAACCTCAAAGATCCTATACTTTTAATTACACCAATTTAAACATGTGTTTCACAAATTTCAGATCTACTCGCTGTCCGCAACACACAGAAGAACAACGACGCGCCCTTCGCAACAGTGTTCTAGAACCTTCCACTCCAGAGTCTCAGACTATGGGTCTCACCGCTGAGGAGGCTGGGTCCCCTCCTGACTCCAGCCCTTCATCATCCTGTTCCTCGTCCAGCCGCAAGAGAGACCGCCACCGCGCCCAACCAAAAACTAAAAGCAAGAGAGAAAGGAATATATCGCCTAACACAAGGGACTAAGGACTGATTTCGCTTATGAGGTAAGCTGGACGCGGTAGAAAAATAGATACTTATAGCTTGCCCCCTAATGGGGTGATGTGACTATATATGTGTTCGCTTTATAGCAATGAAGCTGTTCCATTAATTGTATTCGAAAAATTCCTTTGACCGATGGCCATAGACAATGTTTTTTTTATATTTACAGATCTATGATACTGTATTCCTCTAAAGTTCTAGCATTAAGTTAGAGACGACAATAATGACGAAGATTTATATTTGATTATATTGTATATTGTTCTGACTATTTCTTTGGTTCATAAATGATTTCTATTTATTTCAATCATACATTCAAAAGTCAACCTATTAACATATATATTTGATATATTCACCATTTTTAAACCAAAATTAAGGGTATCCTCCTACTTTGAGTAATATGGAGAGGCATTGCACTGGTATTATGGATAGGAGAAGATAAAATATAGCATAATTAGCAATTTTTTTTTCTCCACACAAGTTCTGTACTTAATTTATAATAGAAAATGACTTGCTTTTGCGATTACGATAGGCGGTCAAAGGAAGCTATAATTATAACCAATTTAAAGGTGCGTATAAACATTACTTTTTACTACGTTAAAGTATAGACGCTAGCACATCAAACTATCCTGAGTCTGCCAATTTTCGTCCTTATCATCAATCATTTAAGGGCTGATTTTTCAATGGTTAGATAAAAGTTATCTGGGGAATAATAATTATGCTATCGCATCAGAATGTTTGTATTAGACAGTGACAGCAACAATTTTATTCCGCAGATGACATTTATCTGACTTGTTAAATCAGCCCAAGTGTACTAATATTACTTTTGTTAACATTGATTAAAAACAGAAATCTTTCAGATGTGATTCTGAATGTTTGGTTTCCAAGGAGTCTGGCTTTGACTGGGTACTTTTCATCCCGGTACTAGCGATACTCATACAAAAATACAACATACACAAGAGAAATCATTTAAATTACAGTTTAACATTATTATTTAAAATAGCATTTGGGAGTTTGTGACATTTTCTTGAGCTAGCGTTGAATAGAATTTATACATGGATTAAAATGAAAAAAAAAAAGAATTTGATGTTCTAATATCTAAGAACTATACGTAAGTATAGACACTATTTAACATCTTGCATTATTGTGTAATATCCTAAGAAGAAGAAGAAGAAGAAAGAAGATCTCTCTTTCTTCTTTCTTCATTATGTAATATCTACTGCAATTTAACATTATTGACTGCACTTCAATAGTGAGGATTTGAGATCTGCATAGCCAAGACAATACTATCTAAACATTTCCATTTTGTGTCGAGTTCATTATAGTTAAAACTAGGGAAAATAACGTCTGCAGTAAAACAATGTTGATAAAATTATAGTTTTTGTTATCAAATGCAACTTATTTTATAAATATGGGTTATTTTCATTCGTCAGCGCAGGTCTTTATGAGCTGTTAAATATAATTAAGGGCGAAAAAAAAGTAGGGAAAAAAGTGTTGGGTTTATATGAAAACTATTTCTATTGTGATTCGTAGATGTGAGACATGAGATATCTACATACAACTTGGTTGCTCGCTTCAATAACTTACATATATGTATAATGTTTAAGTAAAACTATAATTAAAAATTGATTATAAAAAAAATATTGTTATAAAACAATTCTTACTACGAGTATGTTTTGTTGTTTGCAAAATCAATTGTAACTAGAGTTTTCCTTCTCTTAATGACTATGAAAGTTATACGCTAAAATAAAAGATAAAAAAATAAAAAAAAATACTGAAAAATTACAATAACATCAGAAACACCCTTTATATTACCAGAAACACATAAGCCGGTGTTTGAAACAGATGTTATGAAACTTATTATTTCCTTCATTTGAAACATCCTGCATTGCATAACGTAAAGTGCTCATCATGCGCCAACTCAGAAATAGCGTAACACATTATAAATATAAGTAGAAGAAAATATTGTCCTTGCTTTGCCGTCGATTTATAATAAAAATGTGTTTACTGAGTGTTTCTTAGTAAATAACTTATAAATGTTTATTATAATATGAATGAGGTGTTATATGTGTAATGGGATTTGATATAACAGTGACTGATGGTTCTAGGGGCGATATTATTACTATATCACTTGTCCAACGATAAATTCCTGATATTACTATACCTAGTACCTTATAAAGTGTCTGGCATTGTTTTGCATTGAATCAAATGACTGTAGAATACTGATACTGTACTGCGTTGCGTTGGCTGGGGGGTAAGTCTGGTGCAATCTGTCAATCGGGTCATTCCCATCCCAATATACATGTCGTGAATTTCTGATTTTACAATATGATAAAATCATGTGGATATTTGCCGGATAAAAAAATCCTTCTTCTTCATTCATCCCTAAATCCCCAAAAGCCCGGGAACGTACTTGCAATTCCTATGGCGTTGCCATGGGCGGCGCCGATTGCTTACCATCAGGAAATTCATTTGCCACCACAACAAATCAACAACACAAAAAATGTCATGCTTTTTCCTTCCCTATCCCCAACCTCGCCATGATCACAGCGCCTTCCTTAGATACAGTACGGTACAGAGCGGTTAAGGTCATGTCAGAGTTATACCATACTTGTTATAAAACCTTTTTTCAGGTTAAGTAACGGTAATAACAATTGTAAAGCAGGTTTTGTTCTTATAATTAATTCAACGAGTCCTTTAGTTTATGGGTAGCCTTCTAAGTTAATATCTAGAATTTATAGTTGGCATTGAGCTTTAGGCATTATAAAAAATAGCCATAAAAATGTGAGAACTATTTCATTAGCTTTAGATAATTATAGTTTTGACAAAATGTCGCAAGTTTATTGTAAAATTGTAAACATAATGACTATTATTGTAATATTGAGATTAAATGTATTGACGTATATGTATCGTCCTGTATATACCTACTATATAGGTGTTCATGTAAATATTCACTAAATATAAAACTATTATATTACCTATTTGACTGAAGTAGTTATTAAATATGAAATAAAGACATGTACTACGGTATGAGGTTGTTTTATTTTATGTATATTTCAGATCTAACTATACCCCTTTATTTTGAGAAGAAAATCATCAAATGACTCCTCTAGTCTAGGGTGGATCGGGAGGGCGTGTCAGACTCTCACTGACTAAAAACCCCCGTTCCTTCTCCTGCGCAACCCCGCCTGATCACCTCATATTGGGAATTTGTTCTTATTGTCAACACGTTGACATTTCAGGGCCGTAACCATATCACCACCTGCTGCAAATGCTCATTTTCACTAGTTTTTCTAATGCAATATCGTGAGACATAGTAAAAGCATAGAAAATCACGACTTACGTGATTTGACTAAAAAGCGCTACTAGTTTTAAGTCACAACGGGACTTTTATTCAATATGAAATTTTTTTTCATTAAAACTCGATTGAGTAAGTCTTTATTTCCGATAAATTTAGCCAAAGTTACTAAAGTCATTGAGTGTTTAATACATAGATTCCTAACAAAATAGTTTCAACTGTATTCTTTTATGTCTCTTGTTACATCCATACACATCCAATTAGTTAGATTATATGAGTACGCGCATTTCTTGTAAGGACGACTCACACTTTAGATTTATAATAAAACAACAAATAAAAGAATAAACCGTTTTATTGGCATATTAACTGAATTCAAATACTTACATTGATATAATAGTATGTACTATATTAATGTAAACATTTCCATTAATTTTACACAATTATATCACATAAAACACGACTCACAGAATGTAGAAGCAAAACGATGATTCGTTAAAATAAGTACATAAAATATTTCATTTGAAAGATCTTTGGAATGGGCCTTTGTAAAATTTTATTAAATTAGTAAAATAATGTCTAAATTGCTTCAATGCTTTTCACAATTACACAAGCTGTAGAATAGCCCTAAATGAAAAAGTTAGTAAGTAAAAAGTATTGATTTCAAACAAGATTAATAATAACACTACAAAGGTCTTTATTCAACATTATTGCTATTTCGTTTGTGCAAAAATCGACATTGTCAATTTATGAAAATAAAAAGTAACAAAAAGAGAATATAGGTACTATCGTTCCAGGATTTCTTGTGATATCGTGCTTATTTATTAGCGAAATGCTAAAGTTTGTGTCGAACCTGGAACGTGAATTGACACCTTAGAACAAGTGAACTTAAAATAAACATTAGGAATAATTAAGCCTTGGTGTCTTTATAATAATACTTTACAAGTATAATAACGCCGCCTAACGTGTCGACCGCACCATAACAGATTGTTTATACATTAATTATCCTATTATTGCTGCGAAAGGAAACTTGGCATTCGCCGCCAATAAATACCGTCAATAAACAGTTTTTGTACTAAATCCGCTGTACTAGTAGCGTGCAGTCAGTGTTAGATTGCCCTGGTTACTTCCTCCGACAGTGGAATATATTATATTCTATACAGTTTTACGATTACACATAGACAGGTATATATTAAAACTTATCTAATAACATACAGACAATATATTCGTATTGCTACGTGATTTGTGAAGATAAAAATTACCTAAGTGTTCCCACAAACTAAAACTTCCAAGAAACCTAGTCAAAAATAATTACACAATACTTTTAAACGTAAGCTCCGCGATTCTGACATGACAACAAAGAACTAGCACATGGCAAAGTCCAGAGGCAAGATTATTTGCTGCAAAGGTCAAGACAAACATCCATATATCTATCACTGTCTAACATATATAGAAAACTAATGTCCGACAGTGATAGCAATACTGCAGGCATGTTAAACCTATTCATCTTGGCCTAAGCTTGTACGCAATAGTTTCATGAACAATACTGAATTATAATTCTTGTAAAAAACTGCACCTTCCGTTTCAATTATTGACTAGTGAAGTAAGTTGGTTGTTTCAACTACAAATTATAGAGATTTTGGTATTCGAGATAGGTATAAAACCTATTGCAGACCAAGAGCTGATCTAGTATGTAATATGCGAACATATTTGAGAAACATTTTTGAGTACTTACTTAGTACCATAGATTTAGCTTTTGGTCTTCAACAGACTTACAATCTCAATATTTTAGGGTGCTCTCACACTTCATCGCGTGCGAAACCGGTAAAGATGTTTGAACATATTCTTGTACCAATAGTATGAAAGTACCCTAACTTTTGTAGTTGAAATCTAAGTACACGGGAGAACGCTATAATAATAGCAAATAAGTAATAGTATGCCATTAACTGCATATATATAAAAAATAACAATTCAAGGCAAGGCTTCTTGTCTTTTTAACACGCTAGTGTATATTCTCATAAAATTGTTGTGATATTCAATTCCAGTGATAGCCTTTATTTTATAAAAGATTTGAATTAGCTAGGGGGCTTAAGTACATTTATTTGTTGCCTGATTTAAACAACTGTTAGGTAAAGCCAGCAGGGAGCTATTCGAGTTTTTTTTTGCGCTCATTACACAACGATAGTGAACACTAAGAGTTCCAAATGCGAGTTTGCTTTATGATAACGCGTTTAGCCTTTTGATTGGTTGGTTAGCTTAGTGACGGCCAATCAGAGCGATAAACGTCATATACATACTTGACAAAAACATGTGCAGTTATGATACTTTTAAAATTTTGAAAACTATATTGATTTTAACACGTTATTAGTGTACGAAATTACAAAATATGTTTCATATAACATTTCAAGTATTTAAAGGTGAATATCGCGTGTCATGGGCGCAAAAAAGACGCCAACTGTACAGCCCACATTTAACTTATAAAGTAACAACATTATATACGAAGTGACACTATGTGGCGGGTGCAGATACAACGTTAAGCCTCATCTGTGCTGATGATGGATTCCCGGCCTTGTCCAACGCCGATGTATTTAACTGTAAAGAGAATTATGAGTTTATTTAAATAGCAATAAAGATAATTTTAGTAATGTTGGGAAAACGTTTGTTTACGTGCTAGGCTGAACTAATAAAAAGTAAAACTGAAAAAGTTTAATAAGCAATAATAATAGATTCCTGAGAGTACTTCTTAAGACGCGATAATTAGCAACGAAGTCATTTAGGCAAAAATAAAAAAAATACCATTATTTAGTTTAAACATCAAAACAAATCGTTATACTATTTACATAAGATCACTGCTTGTATAAAATATATGACGCATATATGACCCATAATAAGTGAATAAATTTAATATGCAAGCGAAATTGACATCACTCAACGTATGCAGAACAATAGCCCAATGCGAGACAGTGACGAGGCGCTGATGAAAAAAAAACTTTTATCAAAGTCTAGTTTACATTTAAACACGAAAGTCTGTTTATTTAAGCCCGTCTATACTTTTTGCAGAGCTTGTATATCACTAATACAATTTACAAGATTAAAATTTGTTTATTTGGAACAGTGCCAGTACAAGAATACAGGCATCAATGCTGTCTACACACGAATTTAGTTTTCTTGTGCCTACTTGTATTTTTCAATTTATAATTAAACTGAATCTAAAAATAATAATTGTATTGAATTGAATTTTAAATGAATGCTTTTATTTTTGGTTCAAAAAATACTTAAATACCAAACAAAACCTAAAACTGCTTACGAAGATTAACTGTGAGATCATTAAGCCTCTTTTATATATATACAGTAATAAATAGATACATATTTATATATCAGTATAGCCATGCCATATACATATTACCGGAGAGAGTCACTAGGATTGACAATGGTATATCTCAATAAATTAGCGAATCACACGTAAAGGGTTCAAATCAGCGACACGTTTTCCCCCATCGTAGAGTCACGTCATAAAATTGCCAATGACCTACTCATATCATATTAAAATAAATAATATCGTAAACAAACAACAACTTTACTCTTGTGTAGAATAGTTTAAATGTTCGCAAGAAAAATATGAAATATTTTAACTAAAAACTTTGTAAACCGATTTCACAGATCACCAACAACGGTAGCCAGCCTTTTGGTTAAGAGAGGATTCTTGAGGGTCAAGGATGGAAGATTTGAGAACTTGTAAATTGTGGTTAGGGGATGAAAGGGGTATATGCATTAATATGGGATCATCCCCTACCACACACATGAAATATTTGTATTTCGTGTGTCAAACCCACTTAATTAAATTTTCCAAGATTACTAACCAGGTATTTGTAGGAAGTCCTCGATGGCCTTCACGTAGTTCCTGGCTTGCTCTGGCAGCTTGTCCAGTTCCCGAACGTCTTCTATACTGCACGCCCATCCGGGTAAGGTGATGTATTCCACCTGTATAGAACAACAATAGGTATAAATATTATTTAGACCTTTGTCAAGTAATTAGGACTGCACAGTTGGCGCAGTGGCTGGGCCACTGACTGCTGTGCAATATATCGGCGGTATCGGTTCCCGCACGGACTAACACTGTCAGATCAACATATTGTTGTTTCGGGTCTGGGTGTCTTGTGTATGTGAAATTGTATGTTTGTAACAGCACCCACGACACAGGAGAAAATCCTAATGTGGAGCAACGTTTTTCTAAAAAAGAAAAAGAAAGAAAGAACGCCACCCGTAAAGTTATCAAGTGTGTTATAATCGAAAGACAACGGAGTAATTTTACACGCCGCCCGGTTTGTGTTGGGAATTCATGTGTTTAGTTCTCGACAGTAGTATCCTCACCTCAACATTGCTGAGCTCAGCCATCGATGAAGGGAAGTATTCAATCTTCTTGCCGTTCAGCTTGTACGCTACGCCGATCTTGATCTCCTTCAACGTGTCTAAGATGTCCATCTTTGTGAGACATAGCCTGAAATATTAAACATTTTGTTTCACAATTAAATAACTCTACATAATAGGGTTTGGAAATATTGCGCAGTTTCCTCAGTCAAAAAGGAATTACTTCAAATTTTCTAAAAATTACCTAGAATGATCACATCTAAGCCTTAATTTTATTATTTGCAATATTCAAATTTTTAAATAGATATACTATTCGACTTTAAATAATTATGACGTCACACGTGCTTTTCATACAAAATTCATAGAACATTGTTGTGACATTTCAATAGAAGTATTGAATTTGACTGGTTAGAAACCAATATCTCTTCGCTTGGGACAGGGGATAGCCGCTGAAGATTACCAGGTTTATTAACTTTTAAACTTTCGCGTTTCACGTTAACAACATATAATTACTTGGGTACTAACGCGACCACGACCTGTGCAACCAGGTCAAAAAGTCAAGCCAACCAAGGTATTAAAATAAGTACTTTTCGCGTTAACAGTGGGAGACCCGTGCTACGGCACGAATGGGTCGGGTCGACCGGAGTGATACCACGGCCGCACAGAATACCGACGTGAAACAACCACAGCTTTGTGTTTCGCCGTGTGAGTGAGGTTACCAGAGACCCAATCCTTCCCCTCTCCCGATCCCTAAATCTCCAAATCCCTAATCCCTAAAAGGTCGGCAACGCACTCTTAACTCCTCCGTTGCGGGTGTCCATGGGCGACGCTGATTGCTTACTATCAGGTATTCCGTCTGCTCGTTTGCCGACATTATGACATAAAAAAATACCCGCGTAATTAAATGTTGTACAACCAGGTTTATCATGAACCATGTGTTATCATGGCATGATAGGAGGTGGTGAGAGCTGGTTGTAATGGTGTGTGTGTACTTACGAGGTGTACCCGTTGACCATGGCGGTGTACCGCACGACGACGAGGTCGAGCCAGCCACAGCGCCGCACGCGCTTCGTCGTCACTCCCACCTCGTGACCTCGCTCCTGTAGCAATCTGCCCGTCTCCTGGGGACACACAATAACATAGTTTGTCGAAACCATCAAGTTGCTTTTATCAACCATCAAAGAGGTCTTCTCTGTTAATAGTCTAAAAATATCCAAAGCAACTGAGAAAAACTACTAGTTTTAAGTCACAACGCAGTCCGCTGCGAGCTGCACTGCAACGAGTATGTTACTTTTAAATTACAGTCCCGTTGCGACTTAAAACTATAAGTAATATAATATAATAATAAACTATAAGTACTATAGTAACTATAGTAGAGCTTTACTCGTAAGTCGTTAATTTCAATAAATTTAGTAGGTCTCACGATAGTTACTATCCTTAAACGTGTCTCAAAAATGTAATAATTATAAAGAATAAAAATAATGACAAAAGAGAAGCATTTCTCATAATGCCTTGGTTAAAACATGTGATGGGGCGACGCGAGGCGGGCGCGCGAGGTTTGAACATTGCACGCGCACCAGTAATTTTGTAATAGTAATAAAAATTAAACTAATAGGCACCTTATACAAAAAAGTTCCTCTGCGAAAATTTACATATTATTCAAGGACCCGATACTGGTGCTCAAATAAAACATTTTCCATAAGACCAATATGAAAACCTCAAAAAGAATTTGCTATTCGCGATCGCTGTTGCGATTTGTATGGGGTTTTTTTTGTGAGGGGATAATCATCGAATGACTGAGGGAGTGTCAGACTCTTACTGACTAAAACCCCCCGTTCCTTCTCCTGCTCTGGGCCGAAGTCGCGGTGCCTCATTGCCCCGCAACCCCGGATTTGTACGGGGTAATATTTGAGATTTGGATAGTGGTCCAATAGAAAAAGTTGTTGTAATTGAGCACCAAAATTGGCTCCTTCAATATCGTCTCGTTTGACCTAACAAACTGTGTAAATAACTAATTTCTACTTACATCATGCAACTCAGTAGGGAAGGGTCCGTCACCAACGCGTGTCGTGTACGCCTTTACGACTCCGAGCACGTCCCCAATGACGAGCGGAGACAGACCGAGACCAGTGCACACTCCACCGATACTGCAGTTTGATGACGTCACGTACGGGTATGTTCCTGTAACGTAATTAAAATTTTGGATTAGTGTTTAATGTTGGGGTCGAGGCTGACTATTTTTCTCAAATGGACATTTATAGACTGACTAGCTTCCGCCGGCGGCTTCGCCCCCGTGGTATGTTGATAAAAAGTAGCCTATGTCCTATTCCGGAGTGTATTCTATGCCTGTGCCAATTTTCATTCAGATCCAACCAGCCATTTTGGCGTGATTGAGTAACAAACATCCATACATTTTTTAATATTAATCACTTTCGGATTTATAATATTAGTAAGATGATTTTGGATCGCGTTTCTTACGTAAGGATGAAGGAAATATCCTCAGGATGGGAAACAAAATTATGTGATTTTTTAATTTATTTCATCTCGATAATTTTTTTGTTATTTTATTTCTCAAAATGTCCAACTATTTAAAGAAATGTTATCTCACTCGAAAATACAAACATACTTAAAAATTGTAATCTGTACTGTCAAATTGGATTGATGAGTTAACTAACAAAAAATAAAAAATAGAGGAAACCAAACAGAACAACGCGTAATCTCATTTATTGTTTATATGTTACAAAGTACGATACCAATTACTGCACAAACGCGTGTTACCTCTATCAGTGGTTGATAAGTGTAGTGATAATAATATTACTTGGACGCGTAATCCATGGAAAGCTTTGAACGTGGATAACCTGGATTAACTGCGTTGATTTAGATAAGATTTATATTATGACCATTTATGATAGAGTTGCGTAATTGTGCCGTTTTGCTCTGGCGTGATTGAGATAGTAGGTTAATATATAACAGATATAAAATGAAGCCACGCCTTTTAATAGCCAAAGAGAGAGGAACACTGTATTATTGTGTAAAGAAAACTTTATGTAGACAAGCATACTACACACTAAATGATTATTTTGTAGATAAAGATGCTCGGAGACACGCTGGTCCTGCTCCACATGATAGCAAACCTACACCAAAATAAATAACTTTCCAGTGGATTTTGCTTAAACGGGACCTCTCAAATTTTGTGAAATTGCATTATATTGTATAACCCTAACTTGATAAATTTGTAAATGTGAGTGGCCTGTAACCTTTTATAATTATTTAGACTAGCAGAATGTCGGTCCTTATATCAGCTTGGAGTTGTCATGCTCACTGAAAGGTCACACTGGCGGCGGCACGGGCGCTGGATCGCTTAATTCCCTATATTATGGTTGAGTTGGGCGATGCTGGTGTACGCGTCATGTTCGTGAACGGGCGCCGTCAGTAAGGACTGGTCAGCTCCGAACTGTCTATTGTCCTTAAGGGTATTTCTTTTATCTGAATAAATATTAGTGTTACACTGTTCTCGCATAATTGAACCAACTGTTTGTAAAAGGAATCTGTATGTGAAATTGATTTAAAAAGAGTAACCATGAAGTTTCTTGCTCGTTCTTCTCCATCGGAATCTACACTTTGGAACGAGCAAATAGCTTCACTAAGAGGAATGACCGACAGACTGACACAATATATTTTTAAAATTTTGTTAAACGTTCAAAAGTGCCGGTAAGCGTCTAATTGGAATAAATGATTTTTTACTTTTGCTTTGACTAGGGCGCATCACGGTCCGTCTGGCGCATTACGTCCGCGCAAAAGCGCGCCTCAAAGACCTATTAGACCACCACAAATGGAACTCAATCATGAGAGAGCTTTCTGAGTGCTTCGGTAGGAACGGGCCGGCTCGACCAGATGCTACGGCTCAGAGAAAACTGGCGTGAAGCAACACTTCAGTTATGTTTCGCCGTTGGGAGTGAGGTTACCAGAGACCCAATCCTCTTTCCTCAAATCTCCTATCCGTAAATCCCTAATAACTCTCAAGAGGCCGACAACGCAAACCAAAATAAGCCACTTTTCATGTCTAATCGTATGAAGGCATGCAAAAATTAAAGCCGAAAAAAACTGACCTTAACAAATCTATTTTCTGTAATAAGTATTTTATTGTGTAGAAGCACTTTTCGCTCTGTAACCTCTCTGGGAATAACTAATACTGAGAAATTTTAGAACATGAAAAAAAAATCCCCCAGGATAAAACTTTCCACGACCAGAGACTCACTCTGAGTCGCACTCGACTCACTCAACCAACAAAATAGCGCAAATCAACTTAACATAATTAAAAAAATAATCGTCCTCTTACCAAAATCAATATCCAACATAGCAGCATTAGCTCCTTCAACAAGCACTTTCTTTCCTTCCCCAATAGCTTTGTGGAGGTAGGAAACGGTATCTCTGACCATGGGCCTGATCTTTTCAGCGTACTCCCGGTAGCGAGCCAGCTCAGCATCAATGTCTACCTCGAGGGTCGGGAACATTCTCTTGTAGTTAGCTGCTAGGGTGCGGAACCTGGAAATGAAATGGTGATTATCAGAAAAAATAAATCCAGCTTTAATTATGATATTTCGCTTCACAGTATGCTAGTGGTAAATAATCTTAGAAAGTACGTGTAACTCTGGAAAAGTCACATTAGGTAATGATTATTTGAGTTATATTACTTGAGACACTTTAAACAAGTTCTTCGGGCATGAGAAGTCATAACCTCCTACTTAATTACGAGACTGCTTGACTGCTGGTTTTAGATTAATAAACGTTATTTATAAAATATATCTTTTTTAAACAGTTTATCTTTTAAAAAGTCATAATAGTCGATTAAAAGGTATAGTTACTATACCTTTTAATCGACTATTACAACTACAAGGGGGCTAACCATGACGTCCAAAGTAAGATTGTGTTACTTCAGTGTGGGAAAGAGAAAGAGCTATACAAGTTGTCTAGCTCTGTCTCTAGCCCCAGGGCTGTACAATGATTTAGACTTATCCGTCAGAGCACCGCCCCGGCCGGCTAAACAATGCCATAAATATATCGTTAAAATTATAAACTTACTTCTCCTCAAACATAGCGGAGTCACCGAGTAGGTCTCCTATCCGCAGTCCATTACGGGTGGCCTTGGAAGAGTAAGTCGGGCCGATGCCCTTCTTTGTGGTACCTAATGAGTTCTTGCCCTTCTCAGCTTCTTGCAGACCATCCACCTAAAACAACGAAAATTATAGATTTAGCAAAAATCAACCTTAGTGCTTAAGTCGTTATCATCATCAATTCATCAGCCTAAGTGCCCATTGCTGAGCAAAGGTCTCTTCTCACACGGAGAAGGTTTGAGCATTAATCACCACGCTTTCTCAAGGAGGATAGGCGATTTCAAACTTATAATTAGAAATCAAAGTTCAGATTTCCTCACGATGTTTTCCTTTTCAGTATGTCATTGGTGTCTAAATAATCATAGAAAGTACATATAACTTGGAAAAAGTCTGGACCCGCAACCTCATGCATGAGGAGCGGGCCCCATAACCTTTCGGGGTACCACGACCTCGAGCTTAAGTGACAAAGTATAATAACAATGACTGAATACTTTTTTGCTTTCCGGTACAGATTTACTGACGAACATTATTTGTAATTGCGATCTGTGACGTCATGTCGTTCTAGATAAAAAATGTTTACTAACATGTTCATTCATATTGTAAGTAGATACGAATTTGTATACGACAGGGAATACCCATTACAATAACGACATCTCTCTATATCTACATATACATGTATAAAAATATATCCCAATTTGAGACGTGATCTATACTGTAGGTACTAGCGACCCGATCCAGCTTCGCACGGTTGCAAAGCTGATCTTCCCTGGAATCTAATCTGGAAAAGGTTCTCGTAAGAAATATTATAAAAACTAGAGACAGAAAATCTATAAAAAATCTTCTTGGCGGTTCGCTATTAAAACAAATGACTAACACCGACGTGGTTGACACCACGGAGTAAGAACAAAGAGGAGATGTCATAATAAGATTTCCCTAAGAAACACCGCGTGATATTTTGCGGGGTGAGGGGGTATTAGACTCCGCCCACTTTCTATTTGCCATCTGCCGGTCTATAGCAATACTACTCGCTCATTCAATTTACTTCTTTTTGTAGTTATGTAACTATTTCACAATAGATGTCACTAACGCAACAGGGTCGTACTTAGAATTTACCGGGGAGTTGTTTTAAAAAGTTTTTTGTAAATACATTTGCGAATCATCTTGATACGCATTTTTTTAATCGAAATAGTAATAAATATCTAAAATATCTATTATTGGTGAATGAGAATCATTCTACATTTATCAAAACCATCGTTTTCATTTAACAGGGGTTATTTCGTTACGGGCGTAGCCAGAAGCAGAAACTCGTATACAATGCTACCAAGAGGCTGATGCCCTGCTGATAACTGGTTCTTTGTGATAACGAGTGTTATTATTAGATATGTTCTGTCTTTTCGTCACGCCTAAACTACTGAACCTATTTGAGTGAAATTTGGTACAGCTATAGTTTGGAACTAGAGAAAGGACATAGGATAGTTTTTAAACCCAAAATCTGCAGGAATTCACTATTCCACGCGAACAAAGTCGTGGGCAAAAGCTAGTTTCTAATAATTGTTTTGAAAACTCATGGGCAGTTGCATCATTACGTAGCTGAATACACATTATTACTAAAGTTCAGTGTCAATTTTCGTATATATCTCCAAATAACTGATGACTTCAAACAGGTTTTTCATCAGCAGGAGTTGATCGAGGAATGACAGGCAATGTTTGACGAAAGCCCCCTGACAGCAATATCAGGGCACCACGAAAAACCCGTTGAGTACCGCGTAAATTTTGCATGGTTCTATTGATTTTTTTATTCGCCATTGTATGTGTGCATCCCATAAAATAATTGACGTTAGTTGCAAAACTTTTGCCATAGCAGAAGTTCTCGAAATATTACAATTTGCACTTTAAATCACCTGTACATTCAATAGCAATGCTAATGAAGAGTGTGCGGTCCTACCACCTTCTAATAATGTAACAGCAATCGTCTTAATTTGCATTACGTGTTCGCTGGTTTTACCTCAACAATATTTTGGATCATAAAAACACAAAACAATAACTCAACAATATTTTGGAACAATAACGAACATTACATCTAATTAACTAGTGGTATGTTAAATGCTATTCCAAAGTTAATAATACCGCCAGATTCTTCATATTATATAACACATCCTAATGCGAAATGCCATATATAACACATCCTAATTATCTTCACGACTGTAATAGGTACTATTCACCATGAAAAACGAACAAAACCTGCCCTAATGTGACGACATATTTCAAAATAAACGAACAATGGAACGAATGATATGTACGAAGGACAGAGTATGTTGTGGGCATTTCATAGGCTTACCGGCGATACATATCTGAGTTGTATGATCCAAGTCCTGATGCCCTTAATTTGGGGTTGAAATAAAAACCGAAGAGGAACTTTAGAAGTATAAATAAGGTCGTTCAGTTTCAAACACTCAGGCACTAAGATTTAGCACTCACAGCGTGCGGTGAGGTGCGCTAAATTTGAGTGATTCCATTCGCGACTTAAATAAATCAACGATATAAACCTTAAAAAGTAATTGACTCCTAATTACTACCCTGTCTTTATTTATGTTTTACTACTTGACAATAGATGGCTGTCTGTTTATAAAATGATATAAAAGTTACATAAATAATATTTTGGCGATTAAAGGATCTTTAGGAATGCATGTCGATCAAATTACTATACAAACGATCATTAAAATATACTAATACTGAACTATGCGTACCTATAAAAAAATTGTTTCTATGATACACAGTGTCGACATCTAGTGTCGCGTAGATTGATAATTGGAAACGCTGACAATAAGAGACTTTGCTAGAACAATTTTAATAAATGACGAATAAAATAACTTATACATGAAAAGTGATGCCATCCATAGCACCGTAACGTTTATCATAGTATTTTTTACAAGATAAAACACAAGACTTCATTTTGTTTTCTTCTGTCACGAGTAAAATGAATATTTTATAGGAGTTGTGCACAGGACGAACGACCACATTTCACTGACGTAAGCCACGCCCACATTGATGACGTGAGGGCCGACTTGTGTCACAGGGCCGAGTTGCTTAGGCCGTCTCCTCTTTGTTCTTACTCCGTGGTTGACACCCATAGTGCGAAGCAGTTGCACTAGTGCATAGTATAGAAAAAAAATACAATTTCGGGTGCGTTTACAAACATACAAATTCACATACACAGCCCACCCAGTATTGTTCCGCGCGGGAATCGAAGCTGCGGTATGTTGCACAGCAGCCAGTTGCCCAGCCACTGCACTAACCGTGCAATTTCAAATATTATAGTTCTCTTGTATCCATACACATGGTCATATTCTAACGTTTAGTCGCTATCTCATAGGTATAGATATGTACTCAAATAGAAATAAATATATGTATAGTAATAATTTCCTCATTAGCACACTTGTCATAACTGTGACATTATCATCTCTATATACGAAGGCACATAAGTATATATAAGAGTACCTTATTTATGCAAATATTATATTATGCTACGTAGTTTCCGATAGCAAATAGACCGGGCACTTGTTGCTATGAACGACGGAGTGAAAATATCATAACACTTGTTACCCTCGCGCGGTTTCACTCGCTGCTAGGCTCTAATAGATCTTAGCGTGATGTTTTATAGCTCTCAGGAACATTATATCAGTGACAGAATTTTAAATCGACATTTTAATCGGAATTTTAAAGCGGTTCCATAGATTACGGAGGCAATACATAAAAACCTAAAAAATTTACCTCTTTATAATATTAGTATAGTTAGTTACTCTTTATAATATTAGTTTGTTAGTAACTGGCTACTCAGACGCGGTTTCACCCGCTGCTCAGCTCCATTTGATCGTAGCGTGGTGTTTTATAGCCTATGGCACTCAGGAACATTGTAGCTATCTATCAGTTAAAGAATTTTGGCAATCCGATCAGCGGTTTCAAAGATTACCCCCTACATACATACTTACAAATTTTACCTATTTATAATATTAGTATAGATATAACCTACTGTTTAGTAAGTTTGTTGTGTTGCAATTATTTCGTGAACGCGAATGCCATAAGCGATGTAAGACTCGGGCCTCCTTGACCGTGGCTGACGTCACAGCGTTCTCGCGCAATTATTATGCGCACGCGTCACATGTCACGCGTTTGGATTTTCAGTAAGGCTTAATGCTGAAGCATAGCTATTTTCTTTTTTGAAACGATCACCACGAAAAATTTACTTTTTTTTTCAATCAATCAATAGATAATTTTGGATTGTAGGTAGTAATATATATATATATAACAGTTCTTAGGGATGATTTTACAATAATCATAATAAATGTTATCTGAGGAATAAAATTGTTGCTGTCACTGTCTTATACAGACATTCTGACGCGACATCATCATAATTATTCCCCAGATAACTTTTATCTAACCATTGAAAAAACAGCCTTTCGAGTTAATTGATTGAAAAAATATATAATAATACTGTGTAAGAAAGCCAGGTTTCGACACGAATGGGTTGGCTCGACCGTCGTCATACCACAGTGTAGCAGAAAACAGGCGCAAAATAACCACAGCAATGTGCTTAACCGTGTGAGTGATGTGACAGGAGGCGCAATGCTCGATACACCCAATTCCCCAATCCTCAATTATCTAATCCTTGAACCCTCAAAAGGGGTCTTGTTATTGCGATTTCTTACTATCAGGTAATCACATAAAAAAACATTGGTCGTTATTTCAAGATCAATATTTCTGATGTGTTTAACAGAAATGAACTCAAATTGATTTACTAACTTTTAAACTTTCGCGTTTCATATTAATAACATATATTTACGCGGGTATTAACGCGGGAAATTATAATTTGAATACCTTGGTAGGCTTGACGTTTCAACCCGGTTATTACCCGCGTAAATATATGTTATCAAATTGATTTATCTTAGTGTAGTATAAAAAACGAACTAACTAGTCTCTTTTGTCCTAATAAAGACCATTCAATGTATTAGCATAAACTTCCCTTTAGTTATGATAGGTATTAGGTAATCAAATATCATGTGGAAATCCCCGACTAACAATGTTAAATAAGACCGGTAAGAGTTTTGTACATACCATAACGTCATGGTACATATTGTAAATACCCTGGCGCATATAATACATCTTTGTTACCATTTATTAGATATAAGCACAATGAAACTTTGGCAGCGCTTTGCACACAAAGCAGGCTTTTGTCTTTCCTACATATTACTTGCCTTCCGCCCCTAAACAATCGTTACGCAGAAAAAGTATCTATGTTGTGCTTTATGTATGTAGTGCTTTTTACCTACATATTTTTATTTTTGTATTAAGTCTATTATATTTGCTTATTTAGTCTATTAATCAACGGAATTAGCGGCCTAGGCTATTTAATAAATTATAGCAAAGTACATTTCTGGTTTATTTTTATTATAATGTTTGAATGTTATACAAGCTTGTGACGTCTGCCAATAGACCACCACAGACAGGACCCTACAAGGCTGATGTTCAGCCGGGGTTGCGGGGTAAGTAAGCGCAATAAGGTCCCGCGGCCTCTCGGCCTAGAGCAGGAGAAGGAACGTTTTTAATCAGTAAGAGTCTGACACTCCCTCTCGCCTCACCACGGGTGAGCGAAGTCATTTAATAATTTTCCCCTTACAAAAAAAAAAGGCTTGAGAAGTCATATTTCTGGCTTCAAATAACATACTTATTTTTTTAACTAGCTAAAAGAATTCTAAAATAATCTATGTATTACGTAAAATCAATGAAAGAAATAATATTTAATTGTATTTAAAAGTTGAAATTAGGGCAATAAATACAAGACAATATACATTTAAAATGTTCATGATCGCTTAACAATGCCCAATTTAACTGTGATCAAAGTAAAGTCATCACGCAAGTTGAATCTTTATCAGTTCACTACATTGGCACAAAAATCGGATTTTACAAAAATAACCCAATACTTTATTTGCAACAGTTGTGTAAACTTAAATAGTTTTATGCATACACAAAAAGTGATCAATAATATAGGCTGACAATAGTATAATAGCCAGATATTTATATGCAAACTTTTCGTCACACAATTTTAATGAGGCCAACTAACTTTTAGCAGTCGGGGTTGCAGGTCCAAATGCAATAACGCGGCCTCGACCAACAGGAGAAGAAACGTGGTTTTTAGTCAGCAAGATCGTGCATGTTGTTTTAGTTGGATTAAGGTATATTTAAGTACTTTTAAGAACGAGTGGTGTTTGCCTATAATTTGCTTATGCATTTAGCTTGTAACTTTTTTGCATATAAAGTATAGATTTTACATTTTGGATAACTGTTGACATCTCAAAAAAATATATAAATAAGGGTCTGCGATACTGCCTCTCGCCCTACCCAGGGATTGAGGAAGATGATTTTACCCCCTCAAAAATGTCTAGCCATCGAGAATGAGTATACACAGCAGCCACTCATCTAGCAACTAGGTACCTACTGCAGATTTAGTTCAATTTTTTTTTCAATTCATTCAATTGTCAGGTTGAGTGCACAAACGAGTACATAATGATTTGTAGAGACGCTAAAAATAATCCTGTATCTGGTTAATGAAAAGCCGTAATGGCTAGTCAGAAAAAACGATGGCTTGCAGATGGCTATAATATTACCTGTTGGTGCATATCGAAGACCAGATGAGCTCTGTCTGATATGATGAGTCTGTCCTGCCAGCCCTTCATGCCTTTCAGCTCGTTCTTCTTCAACTCTTCGAAGAGCCCAGGGAGGTGGATAACCACACCGTTGCCTGCAGAAAAATATCAAGTTTTAGTCTCGAAGTTTTGAATTCAACGCAGTTTTTGGAAAAGCCCTCCTCTACCAAGTATTTAAACTATGCACAAATACGCCGTGTTCTTCCCCTACCCCATCCCACTCCAATCCCCTATAAGTCTGAAACCCTAATCCCAAAATACTGGCAACGCACTCGTAACTCCTCTGTTGCGTGTGTGCATGGTGTTGATTGCTTCTTAACATAAGTATGAACTTAACGGGCACATCACAAAAATATCATCGATCTTTTCGAAAGAAAATAATATTGGGTTTGTGATACTAAAATAATGGGTCGTATCTAACAATTGGTCGAACAGTTTTACTGAAATTTACATTCCGGTCACATTTAAATAACTATCTTTATTTGTATGGAAAAGTGGTGAATCAGGTGTTGTATTTTTATATCTTGTAGCCTTTGTAACAACTTAATGATTACTTAGAAATTAAACTATGACTACTAAACATTAATATTTCAATGCAGGGACTGAGACCTTGTTCTAAATAGTATTTGAGGCTTGACAATGGTTAATTTATAATGTGATTTAAAACAATAGAAAAGGTATTTAGAGTTTAAGTTAGCAACAATAATTAGCATTACATTGGATTGCATTGGATAGGCCGACAAGCAGAGTTGAAGAATCGTTGTTTGAGCATACATAATGAACAGTCCATGACAGCCCCTCTGGGCATTTTATGTGCGGGAGAGCCATGCTTCGACACGACTGAGTTGGCTCGATCGGAGTAATATCACGTTCTCACAGAAAACCGGCGTGAAACTAGGCCCAATCTATCTTCCCCTCATCATCTAAAAACCCGTGAAAAATTGCGTTTGTCGAGCGTGAAATAATTCACGCTCGGGGTTCGAAATGGTAGTTTAAAAGGATTATCTAGAGAGCTCTGCTGTCTGGACTCTGTGCAGTCCTATAGTGGGCTAGACCCAATAATGCACCGCGACCTCAACCTGGAGCAGGATACGTAAGGAACAGGATACTTTTTAATTCTATAAAAGTCTGACCTCCTAGCCCGGCTAGAGAAGACTATTGATGATTTTTCCAAACCAAAAAAAAAGAAAACAGTCGTCTCTTAAAAGAAGGGATGTTGACAATTCTACTCTGACGTCACAAAAAGGCATTTGTTCTAAGTTTCAACATGAAAAAATGACATCTATAAACTAACATACAAGTAAGGGCTGATTTTTCAAAAGTCTGATAAATGTTATCTGAGGAATAAAATTGTTGCTGTCACTGTCTTATTCAAACATTCTGACGCGACAGCATCATAATTATTCCAAAGGTAACTTTTATCTAACCAAAGAAACATCAGCCCTAAGAAAGAATGACTACATTGTATATATTTGTTGATCTCACAGCACGCCAATTCAAGCAGCACTAAAGTAACGTCAGCAAAATAAAGCTAAACATCTTCGTGCATATCTTAACCTTGACAATAAATTACTCGTTATATAAACCTATTAATACCATGATTCTGCAAACCGTACCTGGTACAGTTGTATTAACGATGTCAAAGGTTTTGTTGTACTTTTTCATGTTACATTAGCGTGCTGTTTGGACCAAGTTAGTCAAATTGTTTATCATTCGACATGCTAACGGTACAATGTTGTATTTCATATTTTGTTACAGAATTCAAGTGTAAAGGTTAACTTTACAAATCAGCTGTAACTTTAAATATAAAACTGCGTAAATTTGAGTTAATACCTCCACGTATACATGGAATATGTAACATCGTTTTCATCAGCGGTGCAACGGTGCATAACCGTTATTATCCTATTATCTTATAATTCCGTATATATTTTTTTAATATGGGACAATCCCGCCGCAACTTCCTAATACCGCTGCAACTCCTGTAAGCCAGGATCTACAGTAGATAAAACCACACACCGAAACACCGAAGTCCATCGCGTCCCAGGGACATGAATCTAGTCTTGGATCCCGCAACGAAATAAATCAGAAGATATTTAATTTAAGATTGAGGAGAAGAAAAAACGAAATAGATTTCACTTTCCTTCGGTAAATTGAATGTATGTTTTTCCAAAGGCAATGAATAACTTACTACATATGTATCTAAGAGTTTGTCGGAGTTGCAATAATCAGAAACCGAGCACTCGACCTTGAGCAGGAGAAGGAACGTTGATTCTAGTCAATAAGAGCCTAACACTCCGCCTCACCATATTGTGTCAAGAGAAGAAGTAATTTGATGAAATCAATAGAAATATTAGATTTAGTTAATGCTTCTTTAATAAATATTGGTATAAAGTGGACAGCTATTATAATCATCAGAACTTTTTCACTCCCAGCTGATCAGTCACGGTCTATCCACACGTCACTGAGTTCAATACACAGTTCTTCGCATCCAGGAAGGTTATTATATGCAATTATAATACTTAGGTACATAGGACGCGGATATAGCCGCGGGCAAGAGCTAGTTTACAACAATGATGCAAGCTTTTGGCAATCGTTCAAGGATAGCCATTAGATAACATTCTGTTATCAGTCAATTATCACTAGTGCGCCACGCCTCACATTTATTATTTGTAAGGATTTTTTTTTACTTAACTTGAAGACCTTGTTATTATTACTGTAGTATACTATTCCATGAAGTTCAAAATAACAGAATTCTATAGTTTGACAAAGTTTTATAGTATTTATTATGGTATATTGCAGCCAACGAGAGGATCGATCGGATAATTGCAACAACAGATTAGTTGCAAGTGCGTTGCCGTCATTTTGAGGCGAAAATTGCTCAAGTTCCAAAAGTTGAGGCCAACGACTATTTTTATGTAATAAGTCGGCAAAGAGCAGACAGATTACCTGATGGTAAGCAATCAGCGCCGCCCATGGACACCCGCAAAGGAGGAGTTACGAGTGCGTTGCCGACCTTTTAGGGATTAGGACCATGTTAAAATTACGCTGTATCGTAACGTCAAACAAAGAAAAAATCTGAAATTATGTTACTGGCAAAAGCCTCAATGTTGTTGCGCCATCACCAACCATCGTCTATGGGAGTTTACACTAATGGGACTATTTTAGTCTGTTTTTTTTATTACCACAGAACACAAAGACTGGTCTTTTTATTTTCTTGCCATATCGAATACTATATGATATGACGACACGACTTTTTACATTTTATTAATTAAGCGATGACGTAGAGGCCTTTCCGTTCTAAAACTTAATGACAAACTAATTCGAATTTTGATTTTCAACCGTTAAAGTAATGTTTAGAATCAATAGACCAGAGACAGACAAAAAATTCATAGTTAGGTATTATAGGTACTATAATCAGAATTTTAATTCGATTCCTGATTTGACATGACCTATTGTCATTTTGTGAAATAATGATACCACATGTAACAGTGTAGTGATGAACACAAAAATCGATAAACAATCAGTGAATCCGTTTCTAATTCTCTGGTCTAAATGCGTATCCCATGTTGTCAAAGAAGAGGAAAAAAATGAGTAAGCTAGATATGTTAATTGACAATAAAATCAACGACACAATTCATAATAAATGTTACAGAAAGTAACAGCGATAGCGATAGCGATGACGGCGACATTTTATAAAATTTCTGTTTTATTTGTCATGTTCCTTTATGATCACATTTTTTATTAATTTCACACACAATTACAAAAGAAAAGTCTCAGATCGTTAATTAATTGTCAAAACTAAATTATCGGTTCAGAAATATTCTATTTCCTGATAAACTTAGTTTACGAGAGAAAATTTATAAACGAGAGGGATCGATTCAGAAATATTCGATTAACACATCGAATAATTTCGCAACGTCACTATTTATTACGTGTCATAACGTTGCAACACTGAAATTGTCAAATCTGGAATGGAATTAAAATTCCGAGTATAATTCCATTATTTCATGCCGTGCTCTTAGATCTATGAATAAGCTAAGTAAAACTTAGTGCACGCTAACATTGAGTAATTTTAAACACCAATGCTATCTTACCTTCATTTCTTTATCAACTTTTTCTAGGTCACATAATTTTAAAACTTCTTTATAAAGGTATTCTAAAGGGAAATGAATAATAAAGCAATATTTTATTATGTTCGTATTGTTAAGCCTAGACTTTGATTGAGAATATTTTTGATAAATTCGTATTTGTACTAATCATGTGTCTCTCTTAAACCCCAGGTTAAGATTTTATACATATTTTTTTATGAAATAGGGTAAACGAGCACCTAGATTATTCGATGGTAAACAATCGGTGCCAACCATGGACACCCGCAACTCCAGAGGAGTTACGACGACTACGTTGCCGGTTTTATGGATTTAGGGATTGGGAAGGGACAAGGGAGGGGTAGGATTAGGCTTCTGGTAACCTCGCTCGCTCGGCAAAACACAGGGCTAAGTTTGTTTAACACTGATCTTTTGCGAAGCCGTGGTATGACTCCGGTCGAGTCGACCCATTCGTGCCGAAGCTAGACTCTCCCATACTAAGGCGAATCAGGGTTAAGTATGTAGGTTTACTCACCAATAACTGAGATACATTTCGGATTGATAATACCACTTGGTAGTAAGTGGAAATCGAACTCCTTGCCGTCGACGACAACTGTGTGACCAGCATTGTTACCACCCTGGGGACAAAAAAAAGAAAACAAATTGTTAATTATTTAAGTCTTTAATAAAAATTGGCTGGGCAACTTGTGTATATTAAAAATATAAAATTGTATATTAAATTGCCGATTATGAGATGCGATGATGAGAGAGTCTATGAAATAATCTACAAGACCAAAGATCATTTGATATCTCCAAAAGAAATACGTAAATAGATATAAGGATTACGAGACTGTACTACTAGTAGACCCTTAAAAAGTCTTAAAAGACTAAAACAATGTTTTACGGATTGAACTTCGGTTGTTTTTATTTACAGCACGATAATGTGACAAGGTGATACAAAAAACTATCCTGTAAGTATTTTGACCAATTCTGTCCAGTCAAAGAATAAAGGAGGAAATCAGTCTCTAAAAGAAATAATTCTGTACATCAATCCACCTGTTCCTAACCTCTTTGGGATCCAACACCACGATGAAAGCATTACAGAGCACAATGGAAGGTGTAATAAAATCTGGAATGAGTATAATGCCTAGGACCTGTTTGTTCTTTGACCTTTAGGAGTCAATGGTATTTAAGTCACTGACTGCTAATAGATAACTGCTGAGGACAAATTCTCCGTTTGGGTGGCCTACATGTTGTCCCACAAATCGTTTACTGTTTCGAAGGTTATCTAACTCTGTAGTTCATATGACGTTCTTGTTATGACTTTATGTCCTAATGCCCATGTAGTAGAAAAACCTCCGTAAATGTAACTTTTATCCTTGAACAAGTAAGTAGTATTCAAAATCCTTCTTTAAACTTTTTTTTTATTTTTATTTAATAGGTCGGCAAACGAGCACACGGATTACCTGATGTAAGGAATCAGCGCCGCCCATGGACACTCGCAACGGTGGAGTTACGAGTGCGTTGCCGACCTTTTAGGGATTAGGGATTTGGAGATTTAGGGATTTAGGAGGGATTGGGGGAGGGGAAGGATTGGGTCTCCGGTAACCTCACTCACACGGCGAAACACAACGCTGTGGTTATTACACGCCGGTTTTCTGTGAGGCCGTGGTATCACTCCGGTTGAGCCGACCCATTCGTGCCGAAGCATGGCTCTCCCACACTTGGAACAAACTTCTTTAAAAAGGAAAACGATTGCCTATCATCGGCCATATCGGTCCGTCAGCCATTTCTAAATTTAGATCTTTTGAATTACTAAGCAAACGTGGGTTATTTTATTTGCCTTTAGATCATGCCACGCCGGCGTCATTTCAAGATTTTCCATTCAGGATGACGTAAAATTTTTACAATCGGCATAAATGAAGTTATGCGTGTAGTCATTAAGTTGTATGCGAATACATTTTCAGTAATCGTTTCCAACAATTCCATAAGAAGAGAACAACCTCACTTCAACCTTAACATAAAACTATATTGTATCCAGTCTTTTTATATGTTTTTATTTTATGATTATACTGTGAAAACCTTAAGCTTAGGGTCTTATTATCTGATCAAATAGATTCTTTGATTAAACTAACGTTACATATTTAGAAAAAGAGTTCCTAGTGTGTTTGATTCGCGTTAAGGGGATCAACTCGTTTATGACATTCGGCGTTTTGGTTGACCTGCACTCAGTTTAAGTAATCGATCATAGGTCTAAATGCGGTAACATTTCGATAGCGTAAAGAAAATCTACACTCAGTAGGTACTCGGGACCTAAATCAATTTTATACGTAAAGTATGTTAGCTAAATCGACTAAGAGTTGAATGAGAAGGCGATGTGAAATGTATAGGTACTAACAACACATCGTAAGCGGCCCTTTCGAAAGCTTTTCAACAGACTTCAAATAAAAAGGAGGAGTTTTTTACGCCAGCAATTAAAAAAAACTTCTTTACTAGCTCCCGTTGAAATGTTTTTCACGATTTTGGCACATTACTTCCGATGACATGACAATGTCGCGACGGTGATCTTGAAAAACGTACGTGTTCATTCAAAAATCACTTGTGCTATTTCTGCTAGGACGCATATAGGTCATGGAGAAAGAAAAATAATGTAAGTAGATATTTTGACAGGAAACTACGAAAATATCCAGGGTGGATAGTTAATATTTGGGATGAAATCTAATACGCAGACACTTCTTCTAACAATGACAAAATTAGATGGGTATGACCAACGGGAGTAATACCAAGGCTTCAGAAAAAACCGATGTGAAACCAAGCTTCACTGATGAACTGACTGACGGACTGTTATACTACTTTATGATTACTTGGAATAATTGTTCTTAGGACTTAGAAGTTTTTCGTCGTTTGAGTGAGGTTAATCCCCCATCACCAATCCTCAAATCCCTGGCCCCAAAAAGCTGGTAGGATAGATTTTGGAGCTGCAAACAGTAGGTGGTTATGAGTTATGAGCAATGTTATAAGTAGATAGATCAGTTATACAGTTATACTTGCAAAATGGCGTCATTATAACCGGTTTTACCTCTCCTGTGCTTCATAAATTTTCATAAGATTTAACGTAATCTAAACGCCATATCTCATTATCTTGCTTTTTATTAGGACGTCTTCTAGTAATTGAAGCAATTTATCTTTGGCGTTTAGTTTCTTTACAATAGTTTTTGTAGTCTGTATCGAGGTAATCTTAACTAACTATTTACTTAATGAAAAACCATCTAATTACTTTAAGATTTATGGGAGACACCTAGATGCCATGCGTCTGCTCGTTTATCTCCTATTTCTATAAAAACATTTATAACTTATATTGGCTGGTTATCAGAATTGTACTCAGAGCTCACGTAATTTATTTAATTGCGATTTTATTATTGAATCCTGTCTGCATGTCGTCTCAGACTGCCCGTCGCCAGTTTTAAAGGCAGATATAAGACTAGAATATAATGAATCGTGTCGTAAATCGTTAATTATATTCTAGTATTAATGATTAACGACATCATTAATGCCGTCAATGATGTCGATACTATGTTACTATTAGGGCCTTAATCACAATGTCTGAATTAGCCGATAAATACCGGATAAATTTGGATCTTTAGAACGTAATTTCGAATTAAATTTGAGCCACAAAGTTTTTTGGGAATACCATTACAGCCTGCATACACATGGAACTGTTAAATTTTGTCTATCATTTTCTGTTAGCTAGGTCCAATGAAAACTAAGATGGGAAGCGACTGAATAGGAATAGTCCAAACTTGTCATATCTAGTTTTTATCTGACGCAATGAGGTCTACGACCATGAAGAATAATCAGTAATCTGTAAACATTCAGTCATTCACGAGTCGGAGGTATGATGACTAATGCCATGTACGTAGGTACCTACACGAAAAAAGATCACGGGACACACCAAAACATCTGATAATAAATTTAAACGAGCCTTGCTTCACAATAATTCAAAGTGAAATCATTACTAGCGGGATTAGCACAATCAAGGTTTTCTCAAGGTCATATTGCTCATAATTATTATTGTTCCTGATAACTATACCTAGTACAGTTGTACTCTATAAGAATACGTTCCGTATTATTATGGTCAACAGAATGATCATGTTTCTTATCGTCAACTTATTTCAACGATTTCTTTACTTTTAACATGGCTTGCGTCAGTTTTGGACTGATTATACGTGTGCAGATGTTTTGATGTTGGGTCTTTTTTATGTTATGAGGCCACAAACGAGCAGGCAGATCACCTGATGTTAAGCAATCAGTTTCGCCCATGGGCACCTGCAGCACCAGGTGACGCATCTGATGCGTTACCACCCTTCTGGAGTTGCAAGGGATCTGGGAATTGGGGACGGGAGGCAAAGTACTTGACTTGTGGTAACTAAGTTTCTGTAAGGCCGTTGTATCACGCTGGTCGAGCCGAAGCAAAGAGGATTCGTATGGAGCCGCCATTATCTGTATTAAACCACCGTGGCACGATATCACACTATTGCCAACCATAGATTTTAGTTTGTTTTCAGAACAAGCTCTGAAAACTGTCTCTGCAGACAATAATATTGCACAACGTAAATTTCGATTGGGATTGGGACTACGAGTCAAATTAAAGTCTGTTGCAATAATTATTTCCTATTCAAATTAATATCATATGTATTTACAGTTAAATATAAAATAGAAAGCTGCAACCTTGTTACAAATAAGCTGGAGATTTCTCTAATTGTCGCGCGTTCGCTCCAAATAAACACAACCTGTCACAACATTGTGAAACGTAAACAAAACAGTCTAGTTTGCAAACAATTGCAAAATCTTTGCTTTGGAACAGCAAACTGCTGAATAAATGTGGGAATGAGATACAAGATTTTATTAAAATTAGAATAATTTCTTTTAAAAATTGTATCTTATTAGGTTATTAGGAGTCATGAACCAAAGCTTGTAATTAGAACAACTTTTAATTTTTGAATTTCTTTTTTGAACTCTTAGAAGTATCGATCGCATCATCCATGAGTGCCCATGACAATAAATACTATCAAAGATAATTTTCAATATAATTCATGGATGAACTTGAAGAAAAGGATAAAAACAATTAGAATACATTACCAACGAATTGTTTAGAGTTTTCAAACCACAAACGCCTACGTAACAGTATATTATTACCATCTGTTGTAATCGTATTAAATCAACGGCTTATGTTAGCCGTTAGCTACAAATTACGCCGACTGTTTACAATAAAATACGTGGCAAACAAAACATCGCGCACCGGCACAAATAACATCCAGAAACTATTTTATATGTTTTTATAAAACCGCCCAGAAATTGTTCTACCATAATTTTTTGGACCTTATTTCATTGTGAATGGAAAACTTGTTAGTAAATGGATTACCAAAGGCAAAATACTAATATAAGGTAGTTGCTTCACTTAACTCTTTCTTTATATTTTTATACTATTTCTTCTCTACGAAAGTAAAAGAAAAGTTAGGTACCTAGCTCCCTAGGGGGTAAAAAATAAACATTACTTTGACTCATAAATACAATGATTTATTAAAACAAACAATTTCATTCGTTGGTTTGATGAATTTTTTATTAGTAACTATCGTGATACTTTATTTTATTGAAGACTAGCTTTTGCCCGCGACTTCGTTCGCGTGGACTTCAGGTTCGTCCCGTCTAGTCTAGTAATAAGTAAGAAATACAGTAACTAAGCACTGGAGAGCCCTAATCATAGGTCTATAGGTAGCTACTGCAGTATCCTCTTATAAACTACATTTAACGATCTTTTTCCTTCAGCATAAACATGCAGATTCTTCGCTTTGGAAACGTAAGCGCAAAAAATGTGTTTATTTACGACCTTACATGAGAAACCTCAAAAATTTTAGCCTATGTGTTAGTCTGATGTGTAAGCTATATTGTGGTAAAGTTTCATTCAAATCCATTCAGTAGTTTTTACGTGAAAGAGTAACATACATCCATACATCAATACTTACAAACTTTCGCCTGTATAATAGTAGTAGGATAAAGACTTACGGGAATAAACTGAGAAAAGCTGTAGGTACTAGTAATACTCACAAACATATTTGATGATATAATTTTAAATTTTATCAAGCGTCTTATATACTTAGTATATTACGCTTAATAACTTTCATCATAACTTTAAGTATTAATTAAATATCTACTTACTATTGTTCCTTTTATTTTTATTTTCAACTTACCTAATTACTTAATAAGTCTGACATTTTTATCACAAATTGACCTTGGAAATTGATTGATTGCAATTAATGTATCAGATTATATCATTTAATTCGAGGTTATTTTTGTTTTCTGTTTGTGTCCGTGTTTTGTTAGTACACTAGGCAGACGTATATCAAGATATTATCGACTTTAAAGTGTGTAAGAAGCAAAGATGGATCTTGCGCTATAATCCTGAACTTCCTAACCTTACTTATTTAGCTAGTAAAAATGTATTTTGCTTTACGTATTTTTCTGCCTTATCGATTTGAGTTGGAGAATAAAAGTCATAAGTATATGGGTGAGGGGTTCGTGCTTTCTAAGATTGTTAAGACACCACTGAAGTACACTAGAACTTGGAATTATAAATGTCTAATTATAAGTCTGAAATCGTACTCAATCTGCCCTGAGCAAGAACGGTGAATATTACTCATTGCTCACCGATGTAAGAAGCCTTTTTTGTTGTATTAACAGGTTGATAACAACAAAGAATCAGGTAATTACACCATGGAAAGCATAAGAGACAATCTCCGGCCACCGTAAGCGCGGGTCTGCAGACAGCGAGTAAGAGTAGCTTGCCTCCCGACCAGAACCAGACCCGTAGCGGCGTACGGTTCAAAGAGCCAATACTTAGACCACCACAGACGGGGCCCTTAAGGTCTGATGTTCAGCCGGGGTTGCGGGGTAAGCGTAATGAGGCACGGCACAGGAGGAGGAATGGGGGATTTTTAGTCAGTAAGGGTCTGACACTTCCTCCCGCCCTACCCTGGGCGGGAGAAGTAATTTGATGATTTTCCCCTCACAAAAAAAACACCATGGAAAGCAGCTATGCAACAAAAAGTAGAACGTACTATTATTTTAGCGCTTTTTACTTATAAACATCAAAACCAATGATTTTCAATGGAGGACACACGTGCCCTACTTATCAATTCTTACTGACACTCAGCTTCCTTATTATTTAAGATAACTACAGTACCTACCAACTTAATTTGTAACTAGATTGGTAATTATTATTATCTATAATAACAACCGCCAAGTGTGATAATAACTGCAATAATGTTTTCGCCACATATAAATTAGTCATTCTGTTCGGATGTATATGTATATTGAGTAGTTAATGTATGCAGCACAGTTTTTAATCATTTATTTCTTTATTACTGCCAATAAGATACATAATATGGGCTTTTCGTTACGATTCTGATTAGGTACTTGGTGGTATTACCTAAAAAAGGATATTTTTTTTCTATTGTAAGTATTTTACGTCGCGTAAAAATATCTAATTTAATGGTTAGATCTGCTGGCACAACTAATCGCTTCTTTATTTTTTAAATTGTGAATTAGAAGTCCTTGAAGAATCGTCTTTGCTCGATCCCGCTACAGAAGTTATGTTTTATGGTCTGCAGTGGTTTACTATTTCGTATAAACTTTACTTATAGAAATACATAAAGGTACCAATGCCTCGGTCAGGAGCAGGAGAAGGAACTCTCAGGAGGCTCTCATGCCTATTCCAGGGCGCCAGAAGTCACTTGAAGACTTCAAAAACAAAAAAGTACGAAATATTAATAACGGAAATGATGTTAGTTTCTATAAGTTAGTGTTGGCTCGTCTCTGGTAGACTGCCAATTGCCAAACTGATAATGTCGTGACGTAAATAGATATATAAGTATTATTGAGAAGTTGAACATGTAACTGCTGCAGTCACACCTCAGCCGCACCCTCTATGACGCGCTCTTCTTATAGCACGACCTTCTCAAAATAAATGACACGTAAAAAAGCATTTCAAAAATATATAATTAGGTACATATTACCGGCGATTTCGCACAAACATGCATAGAAATCTTTCCCCGTTGTTTTGAACACTGGCATTACCAGATGAATTAGAAATTACAATGCATGCCAACCCTTCGAAAACATTCAAACTTTAGAATTGAACTACAGACAAGAGTAGATTTTTTTTCGAAACGGGAATAATCTAGCAGTTTATGTTTTGAAAGAGGTTGATAGCCTGAGCACACATCTCTTAAAGCCTTCTTCTAGGTACAGTAGGCTAGGAACTTTCAAGCCACATCACAACAATGAAACAATGAATTTATTTTTGCAAATAGGCCATAAAACGGCACTTTTACACGTCAATTTATATGTGAAAAACTAGATGAAGCCGGTCTACAACTATAACTAGTTTTGGTTGTAAATTTTCTAGTTAATTATACTATACTAATATTATAAATCTGTACAAATTGTATGTTTGTTTGAACGCGCTAGTCTCTGGAACTACTGGATCAAATGAAATAATTCATTTTATGTTTGTTAGTTAATTTATCGAGGAAGACTATAGGCTATACAGTACGATCTGTAGGAGCCGAGTAGCGAGTGAAACCGGAGAGTAGTAAGCTAGTCAGTAACATTGATTATACATAGTAACCGTGTACTTTGAACGAAAGTAATATCATTAAACATTGCAATATCGAACTTGAACTCGCATTATTACACGACGTTTTACGTAACATAGTGACTGCAATCATCATATTCGATTTCCGTGATCGATTTTGCGCGCGTAATTTATTCGGCCTAAATAATAAAATGGCGCGTAAAAAGCATTGTGCATTGTTTTTTTTTTTTTATTAATTTCATAATGTGGGTAATCATTTCTTATTTGAATGCAAATAACTTTTGAAATTAATGTTGTTGTATATATTCAATTTTCTAAAAGTGTATAAAATATCATTAAAAGAACAGCATTTTTTTTTTTTATTACCTCGCTTTTACTTGTAATAATAAATAATTTCTTTCGTAAAAGTTTCGTCTTTCTACTAGACATAACAGATAAAAATATATATCTACCTACATTATCACCAAAATATACTAAGGTTATTCACCTTTGTTGCTAGCCATGTTTTATCTGTTCAATAGTTCTATTTCTAACAAACAGATAAACAATGATATATTTGGTCTGTGTGTAAATAGAGGGGGTAAGGCACTAAATACAAAATGGTGATAAAGTTATATATTCAGAGAATAACATACCTGTTAAAATATATAATAATACTGCAAGAATTACATATAGAGAGAACATAATTAACATAAACACATTATTATTAATATATAACAACATCAATGTAGTTGGTTCCTGTATAAACCAGATTGTAAATGACATATTATGACTAAGTTTAATTTGTTTAAATCATGTGTCTGATAAACTTATAACACCTTCAATATCTATGAAACAAAGGTTATTAATTTTATAATCAAAACTTTTTTCTGACCTAGTAAGCACAGTGAATGTTGAAAAGAGACATCCATCGCCTGTAACTCAACTATCATTCATCTATATACAAAATATGTATAGGTATAATAGGTAAACATGTGTTAAAAAAAACTAAACATAGCTAGGTAGGTACTAGCTACAAATAGATTAGTTTTTTATCATAAAAGTCAGACAATATAAAACTATAAATTGAACAGTCTGTAAACCATATCTGATTTCAAAGACAATCAGTTATAAAAAGATTTAGTCATGATCACAAATGGTTGTTAAGATAATAAACAATAAAACCTCCTTGGAGTGTTAAACATTTCTATAAACAATCAACTTATATTTAGAGAGAGCCCTAGAAAATACAGAGGAGAGAATTTAGAAATAATCATAGAGTAACCATGACAATAAATGTCCCAGACCTTGGCAATAATCCACAATTAGTGGTCGCACATCGCAAGGTCTATTTACGAATACAAATTACTATGTATGTATGTACATCATTACTGTCACATGACTATTAAAAATATTAGTAAAAATTCACCGTATATTGTTACATAATAGTGACCGGAACTGGCGAGTTTACGCAACATTGAACTAGCGCACATCAGATCTGAATTCCCGCTAAGACTCTTGGCACGCGCCTTATAATCAAGAATTCGTACAAAAACATTGTGTTCACAGTTCACATGTTTTCAAACAAATTCTGGCGTGCCGCCAAAACTAAAGGCTTTCTAAATAAACTGTTTTAATATCCCGAAATATGATAACTTAGATAAAAGTAATGAAAACACTGTAAAATCAATTACTGAACGCGTTAATTCTATCGCTTAATATATAACCTCAAAAGATCCATTATAAACACTGTAGCTGAGAGCATGACCAACTGTTTGTGAGAACATTACGACCATAAAAATACAATCACCTCTACAATCTAATAAGAAAAACAATAAGATTTGTCGTACCTGACAACGGCACACGATGTCACAGTTAACAGCCAATAAATCCACAACTTTTCCTTTTCCCTCGTCACCCCATTGAGCACCCAAAACAACGGCAACTTTATTCTCCATTTTTGATTTTTTACACGGTAGTGTTCTCGGGCATTCGCCACCGTTTACGGCTGTTTGCTTCGAGTTTACAGTCGAAGCCATTATTTATTGCAAACTCTTGCTCTTGAATTTTATAGCAAAGAGCGAAACATGCGCGCGCCGGGCTCGCGGTTGCAAAAAGATTTCAGGGCTGCAATACTTAAAAATAATGATTACCTCTGTAGAGGCGAATTTAAAATTATTTTTCCCAGTTTATTTAATGGCAATAATATGTTTGGGAAATACGTGCAATCCCTTTACGTGGTTTGATAATATGACCTATGTATTGTATAATTTATGAATACGACTACAATTACTAATCCAATACTCGTTTTATAATAGAATATAAACAGTATTACGTACTGGATACCATTTATCCTCGTTTGGCCACAGTTCATTCATTATGTTTTGAATGTTTTAAAATTCTTATGAAATGTTTCTTATTATGTCGTAAAATGGGTGGTTGATAACAGTAAAATTCCTTAATTTGTGGGTAAAATAATACTATGACAACACCAAATTGATAATACTCACTCATTCATTCATTCATTCGTTGAAACTGTTGGTATTGTCAAATGTCAATTTTATTAGGTACCTACGTCAAATTGGTATGGGCTTAAAACCTAATTGCCAAAATAGAGCAGTGTTTAGCAATGGTTGTTTTTAATAAAGGTTGTTTTTTTGTGCATATTTTTGTTTTTTGTTATTTGTGCACATTGAAACTAAAAGACTATTATCCCGGCTGGAGAAAAAAAGATGGGTTGACACCTGACATTCACATTGAGACTTGACAACATCAGTTTTGACAAATGGTTTGTTGATTGATTATTGTGTGGTGCGGAGTGAAGTGAAAAGCTCGTTGTTATCCATCGGCACATCCACCCGAGATGTGTTTGGAGTTGACTTGTCTAGATAGCGATAAAATTACAAAATATTTTATGAATAACAAATAATTGTGAATTAAATTAGATACCCTCCTTGTTTCTGTTAATGTTTCACACTTCAAATCGGGACGTGTTGTAGGCAGGTAGGCTTAATCGTCGAAATGAAAGCTTGCCATTTTCTTTTATTATTATTTGTGTGCACCGATATTATTTTTGGTACGAAAGACACAGAAGATGAGGAGACCAGAAAGAGGATACTGGACCAATTAACAAAGACACGAACTGTGTTATTAGATGATTACCATTTGGTCACTAGACAGGTTGCCACTGATGTATATATGTTTAGAAGTTACCGCACCGTTTCTGTTGTGTTCTACCCTGTTATGAGGGATGTTACCGACGCTCGCTTCACCTTCCAATCTGAGGAGCTTCATTTAAATAACATTGGTAGGTGGCATGCTAACATTTCTTTTAATATAAAACTTTGTAAGAGGTACTTACTTAAAACCTGAATTATATTATTGCATGTGGAATGTGTATAAATAAAATAATAATATAAAGTTTTAATGGTAAGTAAGAGTTTAACAACAAATAGGTTTAATATAAAGTGTATTAAATTTGCATTTTTTTATCACCACAGTTTTTAATAAAATAGTGTTTTTTTTCTACTGAAGAAGTCCTTAACGCTATCTGCTGCAACCTCATTTATTGAATTTTCATAAATAATAATAACAAAAAAAAAGAATTATCAAAATTGGTTCATAAATAACGGAGTTAACGGCACACAAACATAAAAAAAGCATATATGTGGTTGAATTGAGTACTATCGTCCTTTGTGGAATTCGGTTAAAAAATTTGAGTAATAAGTAATTATAAAAAAAAATATTTTTTGTTATCATTACCATGAATTTTTAATATACATTTTACATTTAAAGATATACATAGTTATTTATAAGAATTTGCTAATATGTATCTAGGCTGTATCTACTATGGAAACTTATAATTTAACATACTTTTTTTTCTATTTTATTGAAAATCATTCAGCCAATACAATTGTGGAGTTCAAATGGCATTTGGTTAACCATTTCTAGCAGTCATCTCTAACTGTTTTTTACCGTTTGTAACCAATGAGGACTAGCTATTTCATATATTATTATAGGTAAAGTTGTTAACCCATTTGTAGGCCTAAGTTACGTTTTCTTTTACATATTAGTAAAGTTGTGGTATAGATAAAGGTCTTATTAATTAACTTTTGGCTTTACTACTTTTTTTAATTTATTTTATCATATTATTTCAACACCCATCACTAAGGTAGACAGTACAGATAAACTATATTTCTTTAAATTATAAGTTGCATTTAATATTATGTCCAGCTCTATGATAATTAGAAAATTTCCTTCATTGCTATGAAATTGTGTTCAAAAGTTGACCTAGAATAATAAAAAAAAAAAAAATATAATTTTAAAAATTCCAGCCGTGGTTTTGCGCATACATACATATGCACCTTCACAGTTATAATATTAAGTAGGATACATAAAGGGCTTTTGTTCCGCAGTGAATTTCTTAAGATCCTTTGACTTCTCTGAACATGTTATTAATATCCATACCATATAACATGGTAAAACATTGACTGCACTGATTAACACAATGCATTTAATTTAGCATCACCTCGTGAATGATGCAACCTCACGCCTACAATAATGCACTTATTGTCTGAGTGTCTGTCCAGTTGCTATGCTTTGTTAACTGATCTAGTCTACAAGTAATTGAAGATTTCCTGCGTCACTTCATGACATGACATCTTATTTGTGCTCGGATAAATGTGGTACATAAAGCAATGTTGCTTATGATTTCATTTATAATATCCTCGACCGTTAACACTTTAACTATCTTCAAATAAAAAAATCATAAGATCAAGTTGCTGGCTGTCTAGCTCAACTGGAGTGATACCACTGCCTCACAGAATACCGGCGTAGAACAACGCTTGGTATGTTTTTCGTAGTGTGTGTGTGAAGTTAGCGGAGGTCCAAACCTTCGCCCTCCATCCTCAATGCTCAAATCCTCAATCCTAAAATACCTAACAACCAAAAAAAATCCAATATACATGGTGTTCCCTTTATCAGGTCTATTTCGCTTGCCGAAAGATTCCATACAAGTCTCTATGAAAAAAAATACAATTAGCAAGGACATCTTTTAAGCTAATATTTTTCCACGTTGAACAATTCCTTACGGCTGATGTTTCTCTAATGAGGTCGCTATCACCGTATCCATATTTCATTCAAAGGTCATTTCTAATGTCAACTGTTTGTTATCTATTAAAAGGTACCTTTGATTTCCCCCTCTGTCAATTAGTGTATACTATGCCTAAAATAGTCTGCAAAGTGCTATTCGTAATGTACTAGCTCTTACCCGCGGCATCGTTCCCGTCATTTGACTTTCACACCACTAACCAACCTAAGTACTAACCTATAATATCTGCCTTATCTACCTACCCTACCCTTCCTACCCTCACCCACCTACTCTACCCTCACCCACCTACTCTACCCTCACCCACCTACTCTACCCTCACCCACCTACTCTACCCTATCCTATGTTCTTCTCTCAGATTTTAGCTACCTCTCTACCAATTCTCAACCAAATCCGTTCAGCTGTTCTTGAGTTATAAATAGTGTAACTAACACGACTTTCTTTATAATTATAAGATTTAAACATGCCTGAAAAAGCAATAATGATTAAGTATAAAGATCATAACCGGATGCATCACCTTCATCGTCACCAACCTAATTCCGTGCACTGTTGGACATTTGCCTCTTACGTTTACGTTGCACGCCACTTCGCTGGATGTCCAGCTCTTCTCATCCAACCACTGTCTGCTACCCCACGGAAATCGTCAGATCACCTAACTCACCTTACTGGAACCTACCGTACATTTGCCTAGACGTGATCTTCACTACAGAACTCGTCTACCCTAACGGTCTTTGGTTCTTCGACAACCTGCCCATTAGCTCTTCAGTTTCTATGTTTTGTCCATTTTGTGATATGACAATAAAAAATAAATGATTGCTAAAAGGAAATTTGCTGCAGTTACTGAGTTGCAGCTGCTGTGCGTCGAAAGCGCATGTATCTAATTCTTAAACGGAAAAAAATATTAGTATGAATCAATAATTTGAATTCAGAAATTGTATGTTTGTAAAAGAATCCACGACACAATCGAATATTATTATAATAATGCGGGAGATTTGTTTTTTCATTAGCTAGAAAGTTAGCTATTGAATATTTTAGGGCCACTTCCACATAGGGTAGGTAGTGTTCTGTATAAAATATAGCTAAGGGTAATTCAATACCCTAGTAATTGGTCCAATCTAAGTAATTTGTCGCCGCTGTAAGTGAAGCGAGCTTGCGTGGGCTGCTTCATGAAACTAACCAAATTAATTGATTGTCGCTAGTAAACGATCTTGTTGGTTTTCTGAACTTTAGGTTTTGTTTTATTCCTTAAGACAGTCGTTTTGTATTGCTTGAAGTATCCACTAGGGGCGTTGTCTGCGTTAATAGGTATTATACCTAGTGATGTATGTATATAGATTTTATGTTTTACATGAAAGCAATTTGTAGGGACTTGAAATAAGTTAAGAAAAGGCCATTAGAAAGCCTGATAAACAATTCAACAGGACGTTGCGTCGTCGTCACTAGATCGATCTACCTAATAAAACATATTTTTTTATCATTCAATGAAATGTTATCTTCTGGATAACTCCGATAACATTATCGAAATCTGTGTGATAGTACATAAGGGTTTATAAACCAATACATTGTTTCAATATGTTAAATGAAACCTTTTTAATTTCAGGATCATGCGAACCACAAGAGGTGATTATAAACCTCAAGCACGGGTCCTACCCTGCGGTTAATCCGGATGGATACGACTTTCCCAAAGATTTCTACGATCCGGGGAAAAGGGAGCCCATTTATACATTAGAACTGCTGTCAGACGGCAGAAACAAGACGTATTCCATAGAGAATCCCAAGCCAGGCAACTGGTATGCCTTGATTTATATAAAATGGGAGGATCCAAGGACGCAAAAAGTTGAACAACAAGGTGGGTATCGAATGTTTAATATTAGTATTAGGTCAGGGAGCGCAAAATATCAAGCACCCGGATTCAAAACATTACTAGGTCTTCCAATCACAAAAATAATGATTCATATGCCATCATAACAACAAGTAACAAACAAATTTCGCAATATTTGCGAGAATGAATAACATTTTCCCTAAACATTTATTTATTATTGAAATCTCCCAAATATTAAGAACGGGTTTTTTTTAAATTAATTAATTATCTCTGGTCTATTAATATCGTGACCTTTTTCGTTATCTAAAAGCGCTTTAGGTAAACATAAATATCTTTTGTATCTGTCATTATGTTGATTGATTATTTCCTACCAATGTTTGAATATTACGGTCTTTTGAAAATGACGAAACCCAAAATGAATGTGATTCTGATCTGAAGTTGGGCAAAGTATCATGTGTTTATATTTTAGTTAGAAATATTATTATCCGGAGAGGGCAAGCCCAAAAACATACTTATCTACCAGGGCAAGACCGATAATATGTCACTTAGTCACAATTGACGAAAATGTGTCTAATACAACATTACGGACGGTCCCTAACAACGATAAATGGTCATAAATCTATGGTACCTAGGATTGTTCAGTTGGTCTTGTGATCTCAAGTTCAACAACTGTACACGGGATTTTGTATGTTTGGTCTCTAGGACAGTATTAGAACTAGGGTTTTTTTTTAGAATAACGGTTGTTTTTCGTCAATGAAGAAATATAGGCTTTGATAAGATGTGAAAAATTTTGTAGTTCTTTCAAGAAACATTACAGTAGGTGCTTTAGTAAGAAAAAATGCAATAAAGTTTGCTCTACTTGATAATCTAAACGTTTTTGGTGTCGCTTTTGCTAGCACGGGACTACTTGGCAATATCGAAAAGTACTAAAGATTTATTTTCAAGCATCCATCATCCATGAGTTCATACCAGTCAAAGTATAACAAAAATGTTAAACCTAAAATTACAAAGAGAGCCAAGCTTCGGCACGAATGAGCCGGCTCGACCGGAGTGATACCACGGCCTCACAGAATACCGGCGTGAAACAACCCACAGCGTTGTGTTTCGCCGTGTGAGTGACTTAAGTTACCGGAGGCCCAATCCCTCCCCTTTCCCTATCCCTTCCCAATCCTTATATCCGCAACCCCTATCCCCAAAAGGCCGGCAACGCACTCGTAACTCCTTTGGTGTTGCGGGTGTCCACGGGCGGCGCCGATTACTTACCATCAGGTAATCCGTCAACTCGTTTGCCGACTTATACCATAAAAAAACTAAAGTAATAATTAATAAAGTTTATTACGAAAGAATTGACTTAATAGTCGTCATAGGGCCATCAGATCGCCGATCGATACCCACTATAGCGTTCTAATGGGTGTTGTGGTCACTAACGGTACCTAATTGAGCGCTAATAATTAAAGGAACTAGGCTTGAAGGAGTAGGTACTTATTTTCGATTCCTAAACCATCTTTATTGTGCACAGTATGTTCGTTTTTGTGGATGCGCCGTATAGACAGGAAATAGGAAATCATTTTTGAGTCACACTGACTAAATCAACTGTCTAGTATCGCTAATAAATGCGTGATATAGGTAAGTAAGTATCGATTTAGCAATAGCATTTTATTTGTAGATTTATCTAAAATAATCCTTTTTGGAAATGCTTTTTTTATTTTTATCAGTACCTAATCCGGAATTTTATAACAAGTAACATCAAGTTACATTATAACAACAACGAATTAAATTCTTTATTTGAAATGTCAAAAACTTTTGGTTGTTTTATGTTTTTTTATGAAATCGCAACATAAGAAACCGTAATATTTTTACGTCAAAACAAAAATTACATACCGATACCTATCGTCTTATTAATGAATGAAAGTACGGATGATTATATTTTAATAATAGCCTCTCTCTCGCGGTTTCACCCGCTGCTCGACTTCCTTCGATATTAGCGTGATGTTTTAATCGCAGCTTCGCAAATAATCTGTACCCCGGTATTCTAAAAACAATCGTACCTCAACTAAAATACTCCAAACAAGTATTATTTGTATCCTGTAGCACTCAGGAACATTGTAGCTTCAAAAATCAGTGAAAGAATTTTGGGAATCCGACGGGCCTTGCGGGCAATTGCACGCGCGTTAACCGCCAACCATCCGTCCGTCTCCGTCACCGTCCATAAAAAAAATATTGCACAGATGATTTCATACATTTATTGAATTAATTGCATCAGTTTATAAATGTAGGTATTAAAGATATGTTATACAATTTAAAGTGTTAGGTTACATTATTTTCATAAGTACTATAGCGATAACAATCAAATTGGCCCTTTAAATAAAAGAGAAGTACTACACACACAAAATTCATTCGCTGCTAATATCACTTTAAACGCGGTATTACGCGGTGTGATCCCGCTCGAAGCCACTGCGTGACCTCATTACATGATTGTTCGACTGCCGACATCCTGTAACAATTGTATGCAGTCGTGATGATACATACAAAAGCTTCGAGAGTAAATGCTATTTAGATTTATCTTTCCTTTTGTTATGTATGCACGTTTGTGGTTATAAGTATGTAGGTAGTTCTCTTTAGTGTGAATTGTTAGGTGTTTTATTTTCTAAGACGATTGTAGACTTTGTTTTGGTCTCATAATTGTTGTCTAATGCGTGCATAATTTTGAAGTAAAATTGATATAGGTAAAAGGATTTTCTTAATGCCCGATATTTATTACTGTGACGTTGCGTGTCGTTTCGCGACTGAACGCCGTGGTTTCATGTGTCTCAAACCATAGTAAATGTATGAAGCCGAAAGGCGACTAGTGCGAAAGGACACAGTAATTTAAAAATTTCTGTTTTAATTCTTATTTTAAACGTTACAAGTTTACAACCATTTTTTAAGCGTGAAGCGTTAAAGTTGCTATTTCGTACTTGTTTGAAAATAAAATACTTAACTCTGCATCAAATTTAACTAGAATGCGAAAAATTATTATATACGTTCTGTAATCGCACTGGTGACTCGCATAGTGAGTTGGATTTCCGAATAAAAAAAAAACAAAACGCAAATTTAATAGCACAAAAAAGGCTACAGTACAACCTCTACAACAACTGCCAAGGTTAAAGCTTTAAACATAATGACAATACTAACTAGGTAATGCTTAAAGTTGAGTGTTGACCGCACAAAAAAAACTACTCAGACTCTTTTTATATCAGTCGCATCGGGGTTGTTGGTGTAAGCGCAATAATGTACCGTGGCCCTGGACTGTAGCAGGAAAAGGAACGGGGTCGATTTGATTCAGTAAGAGTCTGACACTACCTCTCGCTCCACCCAACACCCACAAGGGAAGCGATTTATAGATTTTGCCTCTTCAATAAAAAAGCTACGATTTTTTTTTCCATCAGCCGTCGAAGCCGTTGCCAGAAGGGTCGCTTGCTTATTTATCATTTCCGTGTCGGTCTTGTTGGTGCATAAAACGTTTAAAAAAACAAAATAAGTATCTAGTTTCTACTTGACTAAAATTTATTATTATTTTAACTTATAGTTAATCTCTATGAAAACAAAATCGCTTTCACTGTCCCTATATCCAAAAGTATGCGTAATATCTTCAAAACTTCGCATCGGATTTAAATGCCATTTCTTTTAAAGATTACGTGATTAACGAGATTGTTTTAAATGTATATAAACTTCCAGTAACCAACAGCGATACGTTCCTCCAAGTTATATGGCCAATTATAGGTTTCCTTGTATAACTATGTTATATGTTTATATGCGAACGGACTTATTCCGGTTATTCATATTTAATTGAACTAAAACTAATAGGTACACCAATAAGAGGAAAACTTTAAAAGATGTTTGGCATACAGTAGGTATTGTTATTCCAAAGTTACGTCTGTTTTTATCTGTAAAAACCAACGTGAATCATGTCGAAATTGAGTAGGTAAGTAGTATTCATAATAAAAATATTGTGAATCAGTCTCACAAGATAGATTCCGTAGGTAGCAGCCACATTTCGTAATCTATACTATCTATACCTTTCTAATAATCTATACTAATATTATAAATAGATAAAATTTGTAAGTTTGTATGTTTGTAAGTTTGTATGTAGGGGGTAATCTTTGGAACCGCTGGTCAGATTGCCAAAATTCTTTCACTGATAGATAGCTACAATGTTCCTGAGTGCTATAAAACATCACGCTACGATCAAATTGAGCTAAGCAGCGGGTGAAACCGCGCGAAAGTAGATAGTAATATAATATATTCATACATAATATGCATAGACCTCGTTCTAAAGTTATAAAAATCAAAACGTTTTCAAAGTGGATCATAATTATCATAAAATAGATAATATGTATATTATTTACTACGAGTAGCTTATACACGATTTCGTCCGCGTCATATTTGATTGACGCTATCGCGCGGTGATACAGCATAATTATATTCTTCCGAGACAATTTTTTTTTCTTCAAACTTACAAACATATTATTATAACCTTACAAACTTGCAAACTTAAAAATTTTACTTCTTTATAATATTAGAAAGTATAGATTATAGCAAAAATTGTATTGTCTTATTGCAAAATAATAATAATCTGTATCTTGAAATCCAAACACTTTTCCCGGAATATAGCTTTATTTTGACATGTATTATAACCATTTAATTTTTCAATTCCAGGTCTCGTTGCGAACTGCCAGACGATACTTTACTCAGATTTACAAGTAAAACGCAATGAAGACATCGAGTTGATAGACTGTTACAATGGTTTAACGGAAATAAACTATGCCGACTTGCCCGCTCTATTCAAATGTATGTCCGTTGACAGAGTCGACCCGATCGCTCTCAATATCTCAATAGTCAACACTTCCGTAGGGGACAACGAACTGTTCTTTAGAGTACAAGCCCTATCTATACCGACAGTTGAGGAAAATATCATATATTGTGCTTTCAATCCCAGAGCAAATAATTTTCAAACCATCACCTTTATCCCTCACCCGAATGCCTGGCATTACATCCACATAGGACCTATTGATGGCAATACATCGAGTATCGCTGACTGCGAATCCTATTACCTAAGAACAGACATTGACGAGCTAGTCAACCACACAGTTGTAGACTTTATGCGGGACGACAAAGGTCGATTTTTCACCTTTGACTACGGTGTGCCCACCACAGACATACAGGACACGACGAGTCTTATTAACATAACTTCGTCCGAAATAAAAACGTTTAGGTTCAAAATCAATCAGTTTTTAGATATCGGAGGGAGTCTATCAATAGCAGCTAGTCTTCTTATGAGTGTTAAATATTACATGGGGTTCAAAAGGGAAGCAGAAAAGGAAACATTGCTAGCCTTTACTGAGGATAACCAGTTTTTCAAGGTCGTGTTGTGTGTGGATATTGGTCACCCAAGCATACCATTGGAGAGTGGTCATTGCCGGTACAATGATAGGGTGACGCCGGCTCTGTTTGTGCTGAATAGTACAGACTCGGATTCGATATACGACAAGACCTTTATTCCGTTTCCTGATAGTGGAACTTGGTATATAACTGTTCGGTTGTTCTGTGATCAGAGTGTTTGCCCTTGCCGTACTGCGGCTAACAATACGAAGTATTACGTAGAGGCTGAAGGGAGGAAGGATATTGATGACTCTGTACTTGGGACCAACGAGACTCGGCTCGGTACGTCAGAGTGCAATGCGACCGTCGTGTTGACGGTGTCTTCGACATCTTGCGTTTCTGGGAAGTGCAGTAACCACGGCAACTGTTTGGTGAACACGTTCGGGGCGCTGATGATGTCATTTTGCTCCTGTGTTTCTGGATACGGAAGTAAGTGTTTGCAGATACTTTTAAATGATTACTATATTAAGGTTCCACATAGCCAATAGATTGCCCTAATAATACAATGAGGGTTTTCTGAAATGTTCCCCCAGAGATATGGCAGCGCTGTAATGTCAGGTCCAACTACCTGTCAAAACACATGCACGATTTATATATGTATATCGGATTTTTTTGTTTATTTATTCTTAAAAACGTTACAAACGGAATATTGTTTTCCAAAATGCCACAGTGCAGTTGTGCAGTGCCTATGTGTGCAAATAAAAAAGGAGGACATAAGTTCCCCACAGAAGATTAAAACAGTGACTTGTAGCAATAACACTTCCAAATACGTAAAATTTTACTAAAATAATAATACGTTCGGTAACTTGAATCTGTGCTATCTGACAGCTGTTTGGACCTGATGCATACGAAGCGCCGTCTGGCGGCAGAAAAAGTATCGAAAACCCTCATTGATGCTAGACAATTGGGTTCGAAAACCGAATACAGCGGCGGATATTGTTTTTTTTTTCATAATGGGACAAACTCCTCAATTGGACCTGCTTATATTAATTTCTTTGAAATTCGCTTTCAACTTTTATTTGAAAACTTATTATGTATTTTTCAATTCCAGGTTGGGACTGTTCCGATAGCTCAAGAATGGATAGTCGGGCGTACATGCTGCTTTCGGTCCTGCTCCTAACTCTAAGCAACATTCTCTTCTTCTTCTCAATCTACGTCGCGACGATCCGCCTGTATTACACGGAAGCTATGATGTATGCCTTCACCATGATCTTCTCTACTTTCTACCACGCGTGTGACGCGCCGTCTCAAGTCGCCTACTGCATCATAAGAGGTAATATCCTCCAGTTTGGAGACTTTTACTGCGGACTCATGTCTTTCTGGGTAACATTACTTGCCATGAGCATTATAAACGAGAGGATACGTTCCTCCTTACAACTCATAGGTGCAATAGTAATAGCTCTACTTACAACGTGGAACATGCACTCTTTTGTCTCTTTCTTACTCCCTGTCGCAGTCGGAATATCAATAGTTTTCAGTTCCTGGTATCTGGATTACAGAAAGCATAGGAGTCTCAAGTATCCTAGATCATATTTCTTTAAGCATATGCCTATAGGCCTCATATTAGTCACTGTAGGTTTAGTATCTTACGGTTTCTTGCAAACGGAACAGAATTATAAAATCGTGCATTCACTGTGGCACATGATCATAGCTTTAAGTGTTGGGTTCTTGTTGCCCGATGTCAAACGGGCGAATGACGTCAATCCGTTCTTACCAAGCAGTGGTTACTACAAAATGCCTTTTTCTAGTATATTCCGTAGATCTCCAGCGCCTATAGCGAATGATTAGTGTGACTAAAACAATGACGTATTTATTAGGACATAAGGGTTATTTTTGTAATATAAATGTTGGTTATTGTAAGACCAATGTTGTAATTAAGTACAAGTAGCATAATACTATAATATTCTTAGCTTTTTTTATTCATCACAAGAGTGAACATTGCGAACAAATATAGAGGTGCATTTTTTTTACTTAGTCGTAGGAACAAATAAATAATAACCTAGTATTTTTTCTACTAGTCATCCATGGAGTACAGAATTGTTTTATACAGGTCTCGTGTCAATACAAAACTTTTCTATGGCGTATTTTTATAATGAATTAGTTAAGCAAAAGTTTGAGACGATGGAATTGATACCAAGGTTGGTCAGCTTAGCCAACATTCCTTTGGTACTGCCGAGTTATAAGCGGTGACTCAATCAGTCAGTGTTGGCTGACCAATGTTTGTTATGCATTGCAATGTTGGTGGTCCAATATATGCCCCATCTTGGATGCGAAGTGATGGTTATACCAAATAGATATTTACTCTTCAAATATATGTATATACTGACTATTATAAGGAAATATTATACCTTAAAGTTGAGTACTCATTCCTACAATGCATTTTGATGTTAGGCTAATGTAAGTATAATGAAAAAAATGTAATTAATAAACCTGTTGTACTAAATGTTATTGAATATAAATACTAAATTAAGCCTATGACTGCCGACAGAAAACTATTGATGGCAAATCCTCCGCTACCGTTAGTCACCGGTCACGTGTTAATTATAATACTTACGTAACTATTCGAGAGTGCTCGACTAGTTTCGAGCTACGTGCGGGAGCTATAAACATGAAAAACATGCGCGCTGATTTAAAATTAATCGAGCAACCTCAAACAGTTAAGTTACATGGTTACGAATTCGGTGTTACACGAAACTTATTTATAAAAATATATGTACCATAAAAAGTATATTTATAAAATGGTATTATAAATCCATTAAGATCATTGTGCGCAAAAGCCTCCTTCAATTATATGAAAGTGTTTAGGGGACAAAAAGGTTGCACTTTATGATATTATTCTTACAGAAAAAGTCTTATTAGTCGTGGCAGTAAATAGTACATAACCTCAACGTTACCTATGAATTGATATAAAATTAACAACGGTAGGTAAAAACGCTAACATATAATTTAATTTGAGTTAAAAGAAAAACATAAAGTTGTTCAAAAAATATATACCAGCCAGAAACTTAACGACATGTTTTTTAAAACTTTTATTAAAAACTTTCTTACTGTTCGAGAACGTTCAGTTCAGTTCCGTTATATTTGAATTTGACAGATTTTAAAATTATTGTTTATTGCAATTTTTAATCTGTTACGACCAGTCTAAGGGTGTCATTAACCTCTAATGCCCGGTTCCTATAATTGAGAAACGATCCGTTTTAGTTACGAATAGTAGTTTTATATACGACTCGTAAGCTAAAACCGTTCCTATAACAAACGTCTCGTGGTGCAACTTACTGACGGTTCCAACTAACGGATGTCGGTAAGCGAATTGTATGGAGATCTATGGTGTCTGTGGTGTTCCTATAAATATTTTAACCGTCAGTAGACGGTCAAGATAACTATTCGTAATGTCATTTGGTCGTAATGCGTATACAACGACGATTCGTTAAATATAGGAACCGGGCATTAGACTCGTAAGTACAAATGGCAGATTGTTTATAGGAATTACTTTCTTCATTTAAATTTATCTGGTGGCTATCCAGAAATTTTTAAACAGGCTCTAAATAATCTAGAGATAATATTTTCACATAAGATCTATTTCAAAGTGCGAAAATGATATTTCTAGCAGTCTACTACAGACAGTCAGGCAGATTTATTGATGTCTTATTTACGGAGACGCGGCGCGTTGCGCATTGAGCCGCGTCGTGCGGTTCCTTGCATACATACATATGTACATTGCTTGTACTGTTTATATGTTTGTGTTTCTGCGGGTATGATGTACGACGCACCACGTCTCCTTGAACGAGGCCTAATCTTTATTTCAGTCAGTTCAAAAGTTCTTTTATTTAAAATATGTGTATATATGTCAATAACCTATCGATGTGATAATATTATAAACAAAACTGCAATTGTGAGACACTTCAACGCTTTAGTAGTAAGATGAAATATTTACAAAGAAGAATCCAAGCCCCAAACAATTCGACAATAACGTTGAAACTAACAGAACTAGACTTTAATGTTGTTAAGATAAAGTTTGAAATGCGTTGATTCCTATTAATTGCATTTAGTTACCAACATTTTTTAGTGTATTTTTCGTCCCTTTATTATTTTCAGGGAATATTATATATCAGTTCATATTCATATACTTAGTCAGTTAAGCAAGTTATTTAAAAATGAACCAACTGCTTACCGCGTAAGTCTCCTTTTGACTTAGCTTTCCGAGTCAATCTGAACATGATTTCTTTTTTTCGTTAAAGCTTGGTACAGTCAGCGTCAAATAAATAGGAACATTCAGGGTACCCAATTATATAGACGCACACAAACCACGAAAATATCTGTAAAACAAAATTGCCATTTAGTTAAAAAAGTTCTTTTAAGAAAAATGTTTGGATACTTTAACAAAGGCATTTAACAAAGGTGATAATGGCCATGTAAATCTTGATTAAATTTTTTCTTATTACTTATAAATTTTTCTAATCACAAGCTGGTCATGATTCGTCTGATTTGTACAAGTATTTTTGTCTGTGTCACACATAAGTTAAAGTTTAAGTGAAAGACAGAGATGGGAATAAAACTAAGAACGCTAAATGTACAGTCAGTAGCCCGACTACATTATATTCGAATGTGGTCGTAAGTGGTTAACTTGTAAGGTAATCTCATTGTTAAATCACGAATACTGGCGCTATTTTGCTCACTAGATGGGGCTTGTGTGGACATTTCGTCTCTTCGTCCAATAGGGAATTAGCTAGCGTCACATTGTTGGGCATTCGATTTTTAACAGCTACAGTAGTTGGGCATAGTAAATTTTTGCTAGATTTGAGCCATTTGGTAGTATAAAACTGAAGCCCCCGTTATGTTACACTTAATTTGGCATTTTTGTTAGCTAATACATGACACTCATTATAAACTGGCACCTAAAAATTTGCCTTTGCCATCTTTTTTACGACCCACATTCGACGCGCGCGCGACTGACTGTACTTTAGGAATTCAAACAATGTCTATGAATACTTTAAATTATAGATCACATAATATCTATGTTAAATTTGGTGTGTGTAGTATAAAACCGTATCAATCGTAATCAATAAAGTTGCTTTTGCATTATTATTGGAAATCTATTAACATTTATCAGATTTTATTGGGTGATCAGTTTTTATTACTAAGTATGACCTCGCATACGGAGACGCAGCTCGACGTGCATTCGTCGTTCATTGCAGCAACGGACTGCGTCATCTCCCGCGCAAACACAAATAAATGAGCAATGGTCGACGAACTCATGATGCACCGAGCTATGTAACGCGTGTGCTTAGGCGATTCCCTAGTCTGGTATTCCCTGGGTCTTTCCTACATAAAGGCGATCCAGGCATAACGAATGTAGGCAATAGATCACCACAGACGGGGTCCTATTATATGAGGGCTGATGTTAAGCTAGGATTGTGGGGCACCGCGGCCTCCACCTAGAGTAATAAGAGTGATGATTTTCCCCTCACACAAAAGGCATTACGAATATCGTTAAAAATAGTACATATGTTGCTTGCATGTTGTTTTTTTTACTTATCTCGTAGATAGTGGATTACGAAACTGCCCGTTACAGATTGTCCTCTATACAATTTTGTAAATGTTAAAATGGTGCCTTATATTGTCCATTTGAAATTTCTATTAATAAATAAATAAGAATGTTGTGCCATTAATTATAATATCAAGTTATTTATGTATTATCAATTTATTTATAAGTTTAATTAATGAGATTATGTAACTAATTACACGAACAAATTTATTGTCAATATTATCTATAGGTAGTTCTGAAATTATGAATGTATGCATAATATTTTTAATACTAAATGTTATAAATTACCTAAAACATTTTTGCTTAAATATGCCTAGTCCGATACCATAAGATGTTGTATGTTTTTCGCGTTCACATAATTATCATACCTAAGTACCTACTACCTACATATTAGGTATGTGAATTATGAACGTAGGGAATTAGGCAGATATTTAACAATTAACTATTGTGTCCAGAAATACCCTTACATCAACTAAGTCTATTGCTAATATTATGTTGAATTTTCTTTTTTTATTTCTGGTACCTAACAAATGACCATTCTAAACTATATTTTATTTCTTATCTTAAGAAACCAGTCAGGCAACCTTGGTGTATTCAAAGAGGTACGGTTGATCTGGTCACCGACAGCCGGCTTTTGACGTCGTCGTCGCCCTGACATCAGGTACAGAAAACAATGGCATGTATATTTTCCTACTTGCGCTTGGCTTGAATATGCGGCAATAATTACAACAGAAGTTGATCGCTGAGCCAAAAAGCCTATTAATAATAATTTCAAAGTTTTAATACAAAAGCTGGAAATTGAAAATCTATTATAGGATAACTGCTTCACAACCGAATTTTGAGTTTGTTGTTTTGAATATCGATTGTTATATGGGATTCGGCTCGCATGTGTAAGAACCTTTAAAAGATAATATTTGTCGCTTATTAAAACATTCCGTTATGTTATTCGTAATTTGAATTTTTTATCAATTACGGTTTTTTTTAATTTAAATCAACCTAAAATGTTACCACATCGGAAAATGTTACATTAGAAAATAGAATTAGTAATTTTTAGCGTTTCCTATACCTATGATTGTCACATTTTTTAATGTAGGTATATAAGTTTTGGTTTGCATTTGTGATATTTGAATGATGCTGCACTGTTAACAAAGCGAGTGTACCGCTCAAAAATAAAACATTAGTGTTGCTACCCGTGATAATTTGATATTTAGTTAGGTTATTTATTGAACTATGTATGTGTTTATTATATTTCAAATATGTATTATTATAAAAATATTAATCCGTAACTTTGAAATTCGGCGTTTTTAAACGTCAATATTTACTAAATATTCACGTAATATTGTACAAACAGCTGTTAAGGATCTAAATGTCAAAACTACGATTTTTATTTCCCGCCATTTTTAGTTCTCGTTACGGATTTATTTTGATAAGCTCAAAAATGTATGTAGGTACAATATATTTAGCTCAAAACCCACTATTCTTGTTTTTTATTATGATTTTTACAAGTTAGGAGAAAAACACGCCACTTTTATATAAATTAAAGTTACCAGTATGTTTAAAAACGAAATTGATCTATGCCGTTATATTGAATTTAGAACACTATTTATATAATGAATTATGGTTTATTACTGATTCTGAAATTTATAATAAGTATATTTTCGTTGTCAATTTCTGAATGTGATTATTAAAATTGAAATAAAATTTATATTGAACTGAATGGTCATTTTTATTTTACCTGCCTCCTACAATAGGTGAATACTTTTTCTAAATTTTGTATTTGCTAATACTTCTCTTCTTAGGTCTTTGGTTAATACTTCTTTCTTCTTTGACTTATACTTCTTCTAGATTTTGTTAACCTGGATTAGGACAGAATTATTGTTAAGCTACCATATCATTGAAAATTTGCCTGCAAGTTTGTGAAATAAGTAGGTATTGATATACTTATTTTTCTCTCTCCTAAGTCATACCCACTATGCTCCACATACGGCATTATGTGTCTTTATGCAGTGGTGCAATATAAAAAGGGTTATGAGATATTGCAAGATTTCCTGCATTAGTCTAGAACAAGATAAGTCCTGAGCTACTCTATCCTTGAAAATGATTAAAGTTAGTCAACATATATGTTTGATAAGCCCTTTTTTCGCACAAGGTTAGGTTACCTTCACAGAATCCTACCCCATCATTAGTGACGTCGTCGAGATCATTTTTGTTATAGGTCTATAGGTTTGGTCAGACACGACATCTGTGAATATTTTTATGAAGTACAGTAAAACCCAATTGTCTTTAAAATAGCTTTTATTAAAATATGTTATATCAGCATTATAAAATTGCCAAAAATATCATATTTATTACCTAATTAATTACGTCCACAAAATAAATAAAGTACTTAACTTATTTTTACACCTATTGCTGGTTATCACCAGCTAATAATCCGAGCATGATACAGTTTAATCCAAAAAAATGTATGAAGCTTCACTTAATTGCTAACAAGCATTTTATTGCCAATGGAAATATCATAAATAATTACCATATTATAAACCATACATAAGGTTTGTCTAGTGGTAAAAATATATAAAATTCTAAGAACAATTTTATTAATTTTGAGCTCAATAAAAGGAAATAATGGCTTAATCTGTAATAGTTGTTTGTACCTAGTACACAATTGGAATGAGTCTTTCAGACTCCAACATGCTTTACGAAAGTCACTTTTATTTCTGGGAAAAAAAGAAAGATTATATAGCACTTAGAAATGTCTAGGGTAAACTGGCAGACTTGTATAGATCACATTTTCTTTTCGGAGTCATGATTATACACACCACAATTTACCCATTAACAGTATTTCATACCTGATTAGATTTAAAATTTAATATTTATCAATAAACATATTGTCACACACATAATATACATTTTAAAGTGGGTAAACAGACTTTTAAAGTCTTGATTGGTGTCTAAAAATACTGTTAGACTACCTATGCTAAAAACTGAATAAAAAATCAACAGAGAAACCTTTATTCTAACACACACTAATAAATGTTTTTATAGACACTCACTTATTTAAATTTAATAGTGAATGCCATAAAAATCGCTGGTATTTTATGAGGCTTTATTAATTGAATGTTTTTGCAATTAAAAATAATTCTAGATTTGTTTGGCCATGTAAATAAAACTTCCCTAAAACATAGTCTATAAGTATTGTTACATGCAAATCAGGATATTTTAAAAGATTGTTATGCTGGAACTGCTTAAGATTAAAGCACGATTATACTAAATATAATATTTTATTGTCCGAGATCCAATCAATCACTTCTTAAAAACTTCTAACAGTACCCGCACCATACCGAATCTCCCTCTCAAACTGTTCCGCTTTCAAAGTACCATCAATACTAACACAGTTTTGGTTGAAAACACTATACGCAGACACTTCTCCCTTCTTCCTCGGTCTTGTACGAGTGTTAAGATAGATACCTATTAAAATGGTTATCACGAAGTACACAGCACCAAACTGTAAATGAATGAACACTGCCCAGAATACTGCCCATATACATATGTATACTGTCCATCTGATCATACAGTGTCTCCATGATTCTTCAGGCTCATCAAATGATTCCACTTCGCTGACTTCGGAAACTACATCATTGATTTCTTCTACTACTTGGTCTGTTGGTGGTGGCTGCTCATTTTCCATCTGTAAAGTTATTCAATATTTAATGATTATTACTTATTATTACGCTTATGCTAACGTTTTGTGCAGCTTTTATTTTCAGGTATCAAATTTAAAAAAAGAGTTATTTTGCCAAAAGTCATATCTGTTAATTGCTAAATAGTTAAAATCATCAACACTTCAGTGGACTAACTTTTGATGATTAGATCAAAGGCCTCATGCAAAATAAAATAGCTAATATGGTGCGTATTATCTAAAAAATCCTAGCTATTATTCCTTGACTGCCAGTAGCTTGAATTCCTATTACTTCTAGGATACTGCTTTATATTTTCACATGTTTTTTTCAAAGATAATATAAAAAGTATGTATGAAAATAAATTAAAGTAAACAATCATGTTAGTAATTTTGAGAAGTTTTTTAAAATTGAATATCATAAGGTTGCTGTTAGGTCATTAACATGCCTAGTCAATATAAGGTAAGCAATTATGCAGAGAACAACAAAGATAGTCTGCTGACTAACCTAGACACTCAAAACTATTCTTATACCGTTTTGTTTAGTTAATCAAGGGCAACTACTTTCAAAAATATTAAACTTATTATGCTACTTTTAAAGTTACAATAGAACATACCAACAAAACTTCATCCTCATGAACTTTTCCCATGTCTTGGATTATTTTAGGCACTAAAAAGTTTATTAATTTGTCTTTGGATTGCTCTATCTTCTGTTTAGCGTTTTCAATCAGTTCCTTACGGCGTCTTAGTGCCCGGTATTCCTTTAGTTTAGCCTCCATCCGCACTGCGATAACTGTTTCAATATTTGTATCTGCAGATAAGAAACCAAAGATTGATAAGTAAATTGAATTTGAATGATGATATCACGCTGAAAAATACCGAAATTATAAGTAATAAACAGTAGCAACGTACAAGTTTTAATTACGATAATTCAAACGATATTTTTTGCTTGATAACTTACATCGCTTAAAATATATAGCAATTCTAAGTTTTAGGAATAACTAAAAAAATGTTGTTAATTAAGTTATAATGGTATATAACGTCAGCTAGAGATGAAATTAATTGAATTTAATTTCAAAACAAACACGTATTAAACTCGAGTGGCAACTTGTCATTTTTGACATATTGAATGTCAATGTCATAATTGAATGAATGAAATGTAGAAATAAAACCCTGTTCTACAGAATTTAAAATGAATTTGATAGCTTAAATCATTTTATTGATTGTTTTTTTTGAGATTTATACGTATTTTTATTTAAATATTTACTAATTATTTTATTTACTAGATTTTTTATGTGATTACTATAAGTTACTTTCGCAAAATATTTTTATACAAATAGCAACCCAGTTTAAGAGCGCGAACTGTGGGCGATCGATATCCTGTCGTGCCGGAAGTCACTGAAGAAAATGGTTTTTCAGTAAATAAATAAATACTGTTGAAAATAAGCTAAATGGAACATCAATCCGATATGGGCGCTTACGGAGAAAATCCTAATGTCCAGAACAGTGGAAATTATATCACAATAATACCAGTTGATTATTCAAGGCGTGGATATCCTATGCAAGCTGAATATCAATACAAGTAAGTGGTAGAACATTAAACGATTTATTTGCTTTATTTACCATTACTGTTCCTCAATATCAGTTGATATGACAGAGAAAAAATTAAACAGTTCAAATAGTTTATTTATTCTTTTCAGCGAGTTCAGGTCTCGCGAAGAATACTACAGTGTCCAAAGTCAGAAGTTACAGGCTGAGGTGAATGCGCACCTTTACTCAGTGTCCCAGAGATTGCCCCACCTTTCCTACAGTCCACTAGGCCGGCATAGTGACTGGGACAAACATGATCCACACAAGCCTTTACAGCCCGACTCTAAAGAGAGCAACAGTTCCGACTCTCTTGAGAAAAGTGTTATGGGTAAGTGCGGGTGTAACCCATAAATATTATTAATTGGTAGGCTGTTTTGTAGCTAGAAACACTCTTCATTTTATCCAATTAAAGATAATAACTACAAGTCAGTCATGGGGATAACGAATTTAACTGTAATAGACTAGGGAGTTCATTCATATTCACGCACAAAAGCTGGTCGAAGATAAATGGACCTTAACAATCTCTTAACATCTGCCTGCTTCTTACAGGATCCAACCTCAGCAGCTGTTCCAACCAGACTGGGTCGAGTAGCATAGCCGCAGGTTCCTTCAGTACCACGGAACCCATAACCAGTGGAGGCAGCTCTTCCAGCGCTATATCACCGCCTTTACCAGGTCTGAGAAAAAATCTAAAACATTTTCGTCTTTTCTATATTTTATGAACCTATCGAACATTCCAAGTATAATTGAAGAAAGCACAAATGTTTAACACTATATTTCATTTAATTTAGGGCGGCCTTAATGAATTTCTATTCTATTGACTCCAAAAGAGCAAATTCAGTTTAAAGCATTCAAATATAATTTGTTTGTTGGGATTTTAAATGGATAACCAGTACCACCCCGCTTTACCTATCGAACAAATACATTTCCTAATCATCGAATTTGATTACGAAGACAAATGAACATACGGAGGACCTGATAGTAAGCAACCGACGCCGCCCATGGACTCCGCAACGCCAGAGGAGTTGTTTTCCCGCTTTTTGGGGATAAGGGATTAGGAAGAATACGGGGTTTTGGGGACGGATGGGGGAGGAGGTAGGATTAGCACTGCGGTAGCCTTACATGGCGAAACACAATGCTGTATTTGTTTTTCTTGCCCGTTTTCTGTTAGTCCGTGGTATTAGCCTGGTGGAGCCGACCAATTCATGCCGAAGTATGGCTCTCCTACATTCAACTAATACAAAGCTTCGATCATCACCCATCTATTAAAAATACTCATCAGGTTCATCAGGCAGTACAGCGTCTTCATCAACAGTCTCCTCGAACCCCGTCACCTGCATCTACCTGATGTCTCGCACCGCAATTATGATGGAGATGAGCTCTGAAGAAATACCCTCACACGTGACAGCGGCTCGGTTCCTTAATGCACTCCTGGCTACTGAAGAGTTGGGGCTCTCGCAGCCGAGTACTAGAAGTTTAGCTGCAAATGTTTTTGCATTGTGGATGTGCAGTCCTTTATTAGGTAAGTGAAATTAACCTCAAGGTCTGACTTCTAATTATTATTGGTGAATGCGAAACTTATTAGTATCTACATAATCTTCATGGTCAGGAGCCCGTCTAGTCCTAGACTAAACATAAAGATTATTAATGGTACTTGTTGGTGTTCGTTGGTATTTCGTCGTCCATTTTTACCTCAAGAAGCGTTGCAGTATATTCTTTTTATTTAGGCTTTCTTGTATGAGTACGAATCTATATAATAATCATACGAAACTTACTATTCTAGAAATCCAACTAAAACCACATCATTGCCCATGGCGGTTTTGGGCGAACTGGCAGAAGTTAGTACACCGTTATGGCCACGCTTCAGAGTCGAGACTTAACCGAGATCAGCCAGTGTTACGACTACAGAGGAATGTGTTCTTTCCAAAACATTTAGAAGAAGGAATTAAGTAAGTTTTTTTCTGACATACACTTCAGGTATTTCGAAAATTTCAGGATATCCGAGTTTAGTATTTAAAAAAAACGATTGGCACTTTATTCCCCACGCGGCAATTAATGTGATGGTTAACTAGCCACCTAGACCTTGCGCAGCAATCGGAGGATAAAATCTCAAAATGAAAATAAAAAAGTTTGTTGCACTTCCGAAAGTTTATATTTATAGTTATTGCAAGAAACTAACTTATGTTCCAGGGACTCCCGAATCCAAGAGTTGTTGTACGAGGAAGCTCGACACAATGTGGTGACGGGCAGGTATCCCCTTGAGAGTGCTCAAGCTGTCATGCTAGGGGGACTGCAGGCAAGGATACAGCTTGGACCGTATGATCCACATCGACATACAGCGCGGTTTTTCAGGTAAATTATAGTCTACAATAGTAAAATAATAGGTAAACTTTATGGCATTTGGTCATCCGCCATTTCAGTTGTGGGTTTTTGGCAATGAGAAGCAGTAAACTTTACTGTGGAGCTATGTTTTTCACCAAGAAAATGAGAGCCGAATTCTAACACTAATAAGTGGTAGAATTTTAGTGTACTCACTAAAATTAAGTAAAATTCCACTACGTAGGTCGTTCAGAAACTTGTAAAACCTTGGAAGCAATGAATGTTTCCCATAGAAATGTTAGTCAATTTTCCTCTGTGTCTTTCCTCTTTATTATCTTGATAACTTTACTCCTTAGGGCACAGCAGGACAAATACCTGCCGAAGCACGCTCGGTCAGGTCGCTGGGCGGCGCTTTTACCAGCAGGCCGCAAAGGTAGCCCGGAGGCCCGTCTGCTGGAGCAAGCACAGCGCCCCCCCGCTGCGCCACCTCGTAAACTGCGTCACAAGTACCTGGCTCATACCAGGACATTGCCTACCTACGGGTTAGTACTAGTGAGTGTTAGTACTAGCTTCACTAAGAGGACTGAGCGACAGACTGACACATTATATCTTAAAAATTTTGTTTCAAAAGTGCCTAATTGGGGTGTAAGGGTCTATTGAAATACTTAAATGATTTTTGAATTTCGTTTCATTTAATAACTTCTTAAATTCTAAAAGTGTTTCTTTACTCACTGCGAAAAACGATTTCCTTATTTCTTCAGATTGAGGATGATTCCAAGTATTACGTACTTGTTATCTCAGAGACATGTGGAGTGTATTAAAACTGCGGCCCTGACCTGGAGGCAACAGTAAGAACGCGATGGTTGTTAGTCAATTAGAGTCTGAAATCCCTCTTATTTCTTGCTTACCTGGGTGAGGGAAGAAATTCGATTTTTACACCCCTCAAAATAAGCGATCTCGAATTTATTTATTTCATGCACAAAACTCATTACAATCAAATCAAATCAATCAAAATTAGCTTAAAAACTAAAGGTTTTGAATAATTATACAAAGTTGGTTAGGATAAATGATGTGCATTACAATCTTTATGAGCTATTTAACGCTAACAAGATATTTTATAAGTGTGTGTTTATGTTTTGTTTATATCTTCAGGGCGGCGTTCTTTCAAGGGCAGATCGAGCAACCAGTACGGAGTCTAACAAGCTTGCTTACTCACGAGGATATTCCAGTGCTCGTTGCTGTGAACTCCAATGGAGTATACGTTATTGATGATACTGAAAGCGTGAGTATCTGCTCATTTATTATGCTGGCCGTAAACGGTCGGTTTCCGAATTAGATTTCCAGATTTGAGATTCAAATTTGGAATTTCATAAGACTGTTGGGAAAGTACGTAATGAAAAGAACGTTGGGGTTTTTTCCATTTGGAAAAAATAAAAGTTATGTATGCCAGTTGTAACTATGTGTAAACTCGGGGTTCTTCAGATGCTTTCCACGCCGCTTACCTAGGCGTGCTCAGCTTGGATTGGGATTGTTGCACCAACCACCATCTAGAACAAATCTTAAACCATTCTCTGCCATGTCTCGACTTGCAAAAACTTACAACAGTTTTAGTAATGAAGTGGATATCTTCAGAGATACTTACATTACCTGCATTTAAAAAAAATGTGTGAGGGATTTTTAGGACAACTGAATTCCAATAATCTTTGTTTAAGTAAAATAGAAAAATGTTTTTGTTTTATATATATAAGTACTTATTTTATTTTAATTTAATTTTGGATCCTTATTTCCTTACAGACGGTACTACTGGGTCTTCTCTATGAAGAGTTGTCCTGGGACTTCGGTCTACCTTCAGACGATAGCGAGGACTGTTTACCTTGTCTGTTCCTGCAGTTTATGGTCGTGGAAAATGGACTGCGAGTGTCAAAAATCTTACAGGTGATAAACAGACAATTTTTTTTTGTCCTTCTCTTTGTTGGACCACACTCGTACGTTTTATTTTTTATTAAAGGAGATGAAGCATTTATTATCAATATACTTAAACTTAAAATATATTTTTTCCCACATTTTCCACATTCGGGATAGATCCTCATTAGAGTTGTGGATTTCAAGCCATGTGATTGGTGAATCATGGCTAGCTCTTCTCCGCTCTGCTTCGCTCCGGCGCAATGGAACTGCACCCTTAGTAATGTGTATTTGGAAGAACCCCAAAAATATCTCCTTTGCATATTATTATAATGGAAGCACAAATATCTTTCAGGTATTTTCAAAGCAAGCTATAATGATGGACACTTTGATCGAGCACTTCGCGGGCGAGTACCGCAAGAGGCTTGGCCAGGAGACACCTAGTGATCACGCCAATTACGACTACCATTCTGGTAAGGTCCAATTTTCTATAATGCCATAACTATATCAGATTTATGGAGTTCTTTATTCATTCTTCTTCATTGGAATCTACACTTTGAAACGAGCACCTAACTTCACTGACTGACTGATTCTGTTTTGGCCTGTATTTGGTCTAGTTGGTATAAATGTTTTTTAACTTTGGTAAAATTTTACTGCATCAGCAAAACGGAAATGTTCCTTGAAAATCAAATTTTCTACATTGAAATAGTCAAGATCAAGTGAGATATATAGCAGATATCCTATTAATACTACAAATGTAAAGCTTGTGAGACTGTTTGGATGTTTGTAACGCAAAACGGTCTGACTGATTTGGTCTGACTGATTTGGTTGAAATTAGGTGCGTAGATAGGTGATATCCTTGATAAACAAATAGGCTGCTTAGCAAAAGGTAGTAATAAATAAAGAACTCTTTCGTAAAATCTCCTTTGTATCTCGGGTAACTTTCCTACACACACAGAAATATTTGATGATATTCTCAAGCCGTGAATTCATACCTCAATGTTCTGGCTAACTTCAAATCATATAAAGCCTCTTTATTTCCAGATTCTGGCAGCATATCCCTTCCTCCTTTATCAAGACCGGATTCTCCTCAACGAAGACTAGCCAACAAATTGTCTCGCTTAGCCCTAGCTACTCATGACGGTAGAGGTAATCTATTAGGTGGTGCTGGAGATTGGAATACAGATTTGAATTATCCACGGCCATCTTGGATATTACCTAAACATTAGAATGGAATGGATATTGGGTGGATCATTATACAGAAGAATACGCTTGCTTTTTGTATAGGTAATAGAATTGAAGGGATTTTCTTTAAAATTTTTGTTTTTCATTTCATCAGTAGGTATTGGCAGTTCGAGATTGATAACGACAAAAACTGCTTGTTAAATCGTGAATTTCTTTATCAACCTTATACTTTTGTAAAAAAATCGAACTTCTATTTTCATTATCATTGTCGAGACCTCCACCAACCTATTTCCACCGCACTCTCCACCTACTAGATTGCATTGATAGTATTTCTCATTTATCTAAATATAATTTGAAAAAAAAAACTATTTATATTAGTCTATTTTTGAATAGTAACTAGTGTGAGACATAATAAACGTGAATTAACTGAGAAAATATCTGCTAGTTTTACCCTAGGTAAGGATGAGCTGATGAGGATAAGAAGTTAGATTTTATATTAGGATATATAGTTAATTGGCTGTGTATGACTTATTTATCCGGGACAAACATTGTAAACGGGTTGATTAACGAATATGTCTTAAAAATAATGATATTAATGAATAAAGAGTTATAATTTAGCAAATCGGCTTTACTGTACAAAAGCGCGCGAAACAGTTTTCTCTGTGACAGCTCCTACCCAATATGGCGTAGGGCTAGCAATGGTCGCTTAGTAGGCTTTTATTCCTATCAGTCTAGAAGAAACATATTTTTTCTCATACAAAATGAAGTTATAGTCTCGGGAAATTGAATCTCAATGTCAGATCCGAAGCAAGGTGTCCAGCGATAAAGATCATTAATATAAACCTAACTTTGTTTGCTTAGTAACGTTTTTATGTTTTAAAAATTAACTCACATTTAATTCGATACTCAAATTGTCAAAACTACATGACACTGGCAGTATAGTCGACAAAAACCTATAAACGGTCGAATTAAGAACCTCTTTTGTTTTGGGAAGTCTGTTAAAAATAAATTTTGTGCGTTAACTACACGTTAACTATATGGTTGCCAGTCGCCGTGGTGGCCCAGAAGTTACGGTTATCATAATTCTCATATTGTATGAATGTAATATAATTGTTTATGTAAATATGAAAAGTGTAGTTTTATGAAGACGCACATCTATTACATTTAAGTATATTATAGTGGTCAAAACTGAGAGTTACGGGTCTGATCGGTAAATTATAACAAGTTTTATTTGTAAACGTCTTAAAAATGTTGCTGTAAATTGTAAATAAAATCCCTCTTTTTTAAATAATCGTGTTTTATTTTTATATTTAAATCCAATAGAGATAAAATGTATAACATAATTATTTATAACTATTAGTGCTATAACAATTACATATAAAAACATAACATATAACATAGCTGTCTAGGTAGGTGTGATAGGTATTCTCGCGAGGCCTCAAGCAACCACAGTTCAAGTGAACATGGGTTTTGCCAAGAGTCAGACCACTACTAGCAGAAGAATTATTAAGTGGTAATAGTGCAAGGGTTATGTTTGTGTTATGACTACGATAACAAACTAAATAAATCGAAATGTACACCTTACTCACGTAACTATTCAACAAGGGTACTCGAATGATTTCGAGTAACACCTGGGGTCTATAATCATGACGGACGCGCAACCAACGGGCGTACTTTGGTAAGTTGTCGGTAAGGTGAGTAAGATTAGGATCTAAATAATTCAAGCACTAGTTATACCAAAGTATCAAAAACGACGATTTATTTGTGAAGTTTAACTATCCCATGATCTAACTATGAGAACGAGAATCCTTTCCTGTCCCTTTCATTTCGGTGGTGAAGATGTGCCGCTTTATTATACTCCTTGAGCAGTCGATGTTTGTCCAGGTAGTCCAGCAGGGCCTTGAATCTAGGTCCTGATAGGTCTCGGTGGCGTGTCAGCCTCACCTCCAACGCGTGCACTTTGAAGGATAGTTCAGCGCTGCGAATGTGGATAATGTTAGTAATAGAATGAGATTTACTGACGGCTTCGCTGCCGTTGGTCGAATAGTGTCAAAAAATGCACCGAGCAGGAGGCACCGAAAAAAAAATCTCTGGAATTGTTTGTGCCTGGTGTACAGAAAGCAATAGACTTAGCTTCTATTCCAAGGGACTTAGTGCCACTAGTGTTAAGGGGATGTGGCATTGAAAATAATAAACCTCAACTTACTGCTTCGGGGTTCACAAGACTGAATAACAAAATAAGCTCTACAGTACATACCTCGCAGCGAAGTAAGTGCTCTCTTTTTCTGGCGTGAGAATAAATTGGTTGGCCAAATACCAAAGCCTCTTCGTTTTGTATTCGGCATTGTACTGAAAAATAATTGTATTTATAAAATGTGTAAAAAATAAAAGAGGTCAGAATGAGAAGTGTTTGTCTCACATGACCCTATTGAGAGATGCTCAAATGAACGCGGGAGGGGTATTTTATGTCACAGGAAAATCATCATCATCGACTTCTCGACGGTTGTGTCAGACTCTTACTGAATAAAAATCCCCGTTTTTTCTCTTGCTCTGGGCCGAGCCCGCGGTGCACATACACACACACACAACATCTGCCCAATAGGACCCTGTCTGTGGTTGTCTATTGGCTCTTTGAGGCGTGCGCGGAAGGCTACGCGCATTAAGGGGTGTCTTTTCCTTATCACCAAGTTTAGCGCACAGGGCCCGCGAGATCATTTGTACCCAAACAAAATTGAATCTTACCTTATCAAATCTCTCCTGCACCAAGTTCTGTCGGGCTAGTTGTTTCGCCTTGAAGTCGTTGATGCACTGCTCTCTGATCAACGTCGCTTCCTTCATGGAGATCTGAGAGCCTGTTCCATGGCCCGAGCCAAACATACGAGCAAGATATGGGGCGAGAGGATCGATCTCAGCTTCCTTTTCTCTCTCTGTCACTTCGGCTTTTTGCAGTTCCTGGGAAGTTCATCGTTAGGTTTTGGATGAGGATTTTAACTTTTATCAACTGTTTTTTTTTGTCATTCATTGGGGACTATTTTCCTGTACCATTATAAGTTTTATTGCACTCTTTTATAGGGAACGAATTAGTTACATTGAATTGCCTAATGCCTTGCCTGACAGTTAACATTAGAAAATGTGAACAATTACCTGCAGAAACAGAAAAAAAACTATTCAACACTTTTTATTACTTCTGACAGCGAAAAGGAAGTTTTTTGTGAGGCTACACCAGCTCATTTGAAAGAGTTAAAAATGATATTGTTAAGATAAGATATACTACAAAAAAATATGACCAAGTGGCTCAATAAAAACAGTTTTTTCTCACCTTCTCAGTCCAACCTTTCTTGGCAGCTTCATTCCTCTCCGTGTCAAACAGAGCGACGTACAACGTTGGTTCCTTCAGTTCACGATGTCTTTCTCGAAGGTAGCTGTTCACATCTGTCTCCCGATCTCTAATGTGTTTCGTAGTGTTATATTCCCAGTCTATATTCTCACAAAGGGCGTAGTACACGTCTAGGGCGCGAGGTGGATCGGCATTCGGATCCGCCTGAATTCAAGGTAATTAGGTCAGCTTAGCAGTGAATTTTAAATAGGTCTGTAGGAATGTGCTTTTACATTTAACATGCTATAGAGGTGAGCAGGTTAACTCATGAGAGCAGAAAAATGCGCAGTTCCCGTTTTTTAAATTTTTGGGACTGAACTACGAGTCGTGCCAAACATTGAGCACTTAGCTACTGTTCACCAACTTTTGGTAAATTTCATTTTTTTTTATGGAGTAAGTCGGCAAACGAGCTGACGGATTACCTGATGGTAAGCAATCGGTGCCACCCATGACACCGGCAACACCAAAGGAGTTACGAGTGTGTCGGTCTTTTGGGGATAAGCGTTGCGGATATAAGGATTGGAAAGTGATAGGAGAGGGGGAGAGATTGTACCTCCGGTAACCTCAAATTAATCCCAATCTCTTAGGAAAGAACAATGTCTAGAAGTTAAACGACCACCAACATGTCGAAATGCTATTGTTTTCTTTGAGTAATGGAGATATGGAAATAATCTTCTTACTAAGGTAATAACAACACTTACAATGTAACCAGATGTTTTGTCCGGATAGAACAGGATTTTTCCGCCAGTTTCTGCCAAGTTCGGTTTTATGAAACTTCTTGTGTCGTTCGTGACAAAGTTGTAGGCGTATTGGTACAGGAGTTCTATAGTATTATCTTGAATGTGGAAGATCTTCTTCCAAATGTCCTTTTTGGCTGGGATGTCGTAGTTTCGACTGTACGTCTCTGTGATGTCCTTGACTTTACGTTTTGGTTCGAGTTTAGTACCTTCTGTGTAAACTATTATTCGAGATTCCAATCTGTAATCAAAATAAGATGACAATATTTTTTTAAACAACAAAACATTCGACGTAAGCAGAAGTATCTGGTATACTACATATAGTGTCGTGGTGGCCCAGAGGTTACGAAACCGGGCAAGTAGCAATGTGACTTTTTCTGAGTCAAATGTATAAATGATTCTTTCTCTCATTATTCAGACTCTACTAACATACGACGATGGAAATCATCGCAAGGAAAACTTGACTTCTTCTTCATTCTAATTTTAAGTTTGAAATCGCCTGTCAACCTTGAGCAACCGTGGTATACATTAAGGTACCTGACCCACAACCCCGGCTAAACATCAACCATTTTATGCCCTATCTGTGGTGGTCTATTGACGTTTCGAGGAATGCGCGGAACGCCGTAACAATACTGACCTGTCGTCTCGATTGATGTAATGTTCTTCAAATGTTAGAGGAGTGCACACTAGCTTGGAGAGGTGGTCAATTCGGGGATAGTAGTTGAACTCCATTACGCGGTCTCCCTCTACTGAACACGGTGGCGCGTCCATGGAGTAAGAATGTTCTAGAAATGAATAAAAATGATAATAAGATATTGAATGAAACAATTCTTAATAATACTTTATTGAACCGAGTATACAACTCCCGTTTTTGCGCGGCAGTTACGTCTATGACTAGTTAATCTATGAAGCAGTTTACGGTTAAAGAAAAAAAAAACCCTATTCTGTGTGGCTGAAGGAAAAGCATTTCTTTTTATAATAACTATCGTGAGACATACTAAATTAACTAAAAATCGCGGGTTACTCACGTTTGTAATTGAGAAAAGCTCTAGTAGTTTCGAACCACAGAGGGGTTCTTCCTCATGAGCAGCGTGCGCGGACGCGGCGACGTCTAACGACCAAACTAGTAGAGCTTTTCTCAATTACAAACGAAAAGCATTTCCTTCAGTTGTACCATACACAGGCAGCAGTGATACGCCAAAATTGAATTGTCTTCCTGTAAGTAAGGCCACTAGTTCCTCGTTCCTAAATGTAGATTCGCATCGAGAAGAACTAGCAAAAAACTATATCGTTACTCAAGAAAAAAATTACTTTTATTAATTACAGTATCACCAATCATTAAAAATCGGTACATTGACACGTGAAAGAACCAAGAAGCACATGCTAAATAAACATGATAGTTAGGATCAAAATCTTACTCAAAAGATGATCTTTCCTGCCGATAAGAAATGTTTCCTTGACCTGTCGCGCTACATGATCCAACCTCACGAATTCCATTTTGTCCTCTCTCTGTTTATACCATTCGTATCTGAAAATAAATGTGGAATATAAATGCGAAATAAAGAATAAATGGTCTATACGTGTAGCCTGTTCTCTTTACTACCTATACCTATGTAGTAATAACTATTTTTTATGAGTTAGGTTGGCAAACTGGCATACCTGTCCGTCATGGTAAGCAATGGGTGCTGATAATGGAATGCTGGTCTTTTATGGTTTGTTAGGGATTTAAGTACTTGGGGATTAAATATGGTAGATGTTTCCTTCGGTAACCTCTCTCAATCTGCCCATACGTGCCAAAGAATGGCTGTCTCACAATTAAAAAAAAATATGTTTTTTGTTTTTTTCCGAAACAACAGATTTGTGATATGACCAAACGAGTAGGTAGAACACCTTATAGTAAAAGATCAGTGCTGCCCTGCATGATGGATTAACAATAAGTTTGTTTTTACCCTTATATCTCTTTTAATAGTATCATCAGCTATTACTTAAAATATATCTTATAAAAATGAATTTCAATGAAAATCTTACGTAATCAGAGGAATAGTGAGGGCGTAGTCTTCGAATATCTTGATGCGTTTCACGATCCCGTCTCTCTGAGAATATGGCGAGAATTTCTCAAGCAACACCTTTTTGTAGTGGATGACTTTATGACTTCCTGGATAACGCTGTTCATATTCTAAAATGGAAAAGATTATGAAATTTTTCATTGGTGTCACTAGCTAATTGCCAATTTCATCCTTATAATGGATATAAGGATTCAAATTCAATTTAAATGGATTTTGCCTCTAAAGTATTACTTATTATTTTTAACCGTACACGCCTACTACAACCTCCCACTATCGCTGCAACTCCTGTCAGCCAGGATCTTCAGTATATAATATAACCATCAAAACACCGCAACACTGAAGGTGGCATCACAGGAGCAAGAATATCATCGATCCAGCAACAAAACAAACCAGAAGACATTACTTGAGAAGAAAAACAAAATGGTTTCCATTTTCCTTGGTGAATAACATATATGGAGAAAAGAAAATGACTTAATCCTTGAAGGCACTAAAGTTACTGAACACCTAATTTCAATGATTGTAATATGACGTTAAAACCACACATCACCAACTTCCTAAGTACTCACTATTATCTGGATAGTTTGACCATTCATTCAGAGTGTAGGGAAATTCATTGTCTTTTTTATAAAATAGCCCTATGAATTAAACATCATTAAATAGATTTCCACCTACCATCCCCAGAAATATCCAGCTTCTCAACCCAGCTGAACGGCATATCCAAGTGTTTTTCTGTGTCTACTGCAGTTCTCTTGTCACTGGTGTCGATACCAACTAACTCACGCCTGTAAAAGGGCTCTCCTGCGAGGAGATGTTCCCAACACGATAGGTCTCGGAGGTCGTAGTTCAGGGCTCCGAGTCCTTCTTCTGGCTCTTTCTGGATATTTACCTGGAAGTTTTAATGGGTGTACTAATATTACATAATTTTTGTATTATGTTTATTTTTTTTCTAGGTCATCGATGGCAAACCATTCGTACGTGTGCTTTTAATGTGCCATTACCACAAAATTAAGGGTACGTCACTGATCTGATAAAATTTGTGTCAGCTTAGTACCATAAGTATTTTGTTAAAAGGTCTATACAACAAAAAACTCAGAATAGAATAGAAGAATCATTTCTTTGAAAATTACACGTTGACATGTAAAGATTCGTCATTTCTGTTCTAGGTCTTCTGCAGAAGGTCAAATTTTGGCGTAGATACTACAATTTAATACCTTATGGCTAGAACGCGATCATAAGTTTACCCTACAGCATTTGTACGTTGTTTATTTCTCGTGAGAATACCATACATATTAAACCAAATTAGATGAATTTTAAATCAAAATTAATTACCCTTAGCCTAACAAAAACTATTTCGATTTGAAATGGCACTGCATAATATATTATATTATATTATATAATATAATAGGTCTTTACCTATGAAATTGCCGTACTGCAGAACGGCTATTTCATAGGTAAAGACCTATTAGATAGTATTTTGAAAATAAATAATGATTACATAAAATAGACTCACATAATAATTCTCATGATTATAAACGCTCTCGATGTGTTGATACTGCTTAGCGTTTAACGGGTACCCGTTACCCTCGCTGGGCTCAATGAAGAATGGCTCCTCAACCCCCATGAAGGGAGGCAGCACCAGCACCCATGCGTGAGTGCGCCAACCATCCATCTCATCTGGAGGTGGTTTCTCTAATTCCTGAAATGTTAAGATGCAAGGTTAGGTCATTGACTGCAGAAACATAACTGAGGGCAAATATTTGCCAGGGTGGCCCTCGTGTTGCACCTCACCGACGGCGTTGAGCGGGTTCAAAAAGAATTTGTAATTGGAAAAGTTAGACACTATTTAAGTCTCTAGTCTCTTGTGAAAATCGTATGAACTCCCTGACAGGAACGGCTCAACTGGAGTGATACCTACCTCACAGAAACCGGTGTGGAACCAGTAAAGTGTTGTGTTTCGCCGTATGAGTGGGGTTAGTGGGCCAATCCTACTCCTCCCCCAATCCCTAGATCTTTGAAACCCTAATCCCCAAAAGGTCGGCAACGCACTCGTAACTCTTCCCTCGTTACGGGTGTCCATAGGCGGCGTCAATTGCTTACTATCAGGTAATCCATTTCCTCGTTTGTCGTCCGACATAAAAAAAAAGTAAATTGCCCATTCGTCAGGAACACCAGAAAATAGTAAACAAGCCAATCTGGGACGGACTACTAGTTTATAATAGGAAGCATACATAGGTGTTACTTACAGCAATTTTCCTTTGCCTCTCATTTTCAATCTTATCCTTTTCTGCTTGTATTTTATTTGCCGTTTTGACGTCCATTTCCTTACAATATTTGGATGTAAGATCTGGAAGCGGCACCAGCTTGTAGCGTGGCTCTTCTTCTGGCGGTGGAGGTTCCTCGACAGTCTTTAAATTAATTAAAGGAAGAAAATCTTTTATTTTTGCCAACCTATCTTTTTTTGTCTATCAAGCTTTATATATGTATTAAGGACCCGTTCGAAACACTTACTACCTAATTCTAAATAGATATTTTTTAGGACCTTGTTGACTGCAGAAAGAAATCTGTTAAAGGCAAATTATATATTTTTATGTCATTTTATACCTATAGTTTACAAACGTTTTATGTTCAATGTTACATACTAATAAGAATATCAACCTCTTCTTAGGGGGAGCGAGAGATAGTGATTCTCTATCCGACTCAAGACCACCCCGTGCCATCTCCTTTCCCGTGTCAGGCAGCGGTACATCATTACGATTATTAATAAATAAATAATCTGCAGCGCAATTCATACTGGAGAGGTCGATAACCAAATTGATTTAATCAACTAAGCAAATTTTATTCTTACAACATGAAATTGGTTATAAAAGTGCTACAGAGGGACATCTCACATCACCCTTGCGGACAACCAAAATCTATTCAAAATTATATGTCCAAAAAGTATCCTTCGACAAATCACCTCACCTCATTCTCATCAGGTATCTCTGGACAGATGGTGCGGTATCTAATGGCCATACAGACATCTCTGGTGGCACATCCAACGACGACGTAGGCATCATAACCAGCTCCAGCCAGCCAGGAGACCAGTACATGAGCTAGTTCGAAGGGGTTCGCACTGCGTCGGATGATCGCCGTGTATGGAGAGATAAGGCGCTCAGGCTGCAATAAAAGAAAATTGTAGGGTTCTTAAAAAGGAATATGGCAGTCTACAATTTTTTTTAGTGTTAAAATCATAAAATATTTTTTCTCGCCCTGACCCAAAGGAAGTGTCAGACTCTTATTGACTAAAAACGACCCTGCTCCTGCTGTGAGCCGGGGTCACGGTGGCGTTCTGTACTACTCCCATGAAAAAAGTAATGTATTTTTTTTCTTTTTATTGTCATAAATTTAATTTTGACTGAAAAGTTGGCACCGTGGTTATGCATTGGCTGCCGCACAATGTGTCGCGGGTTCGATTCCCGTACGGAACAACTTTTTCTATGATCCATAAATTGTTATTCCGGGTAATATAAACAACTAAATGAATCAAACACACATGTCACACCTGGGTGTTTTTGTAAAATTGTATATTTGTAGACCACGACACACAAGAAAATCCTAGTGTGTGGCAACGTTTTATTAAAAACGAACAAACAATACAAAATTGTTTACAAAAACTTTCAAGCATAAACACACTGATAGATGTTACGTTTACTCGTAGGACACATAGATGGCGTTAGCTGTATGGACGCTGATATTTTGGTTAAAAGAAAAGTTCCATTGTATGTTTTCACTAATTTTTACACTTTTGGCTGCGTATCTATATACATATTATAATAAGATTTCAGATATCTGTTTAAATTCATGTTTTATATAACAAGAAAATATTAAGTCGAGTTCTATTCGAATATTGTTAAAATCACTTAGTAATACCTACATAACAAAATTTTCTAATATACCTGTAAACCATGTAATGTACTAAGTCTACAAAATACCGTAACGTCAACCCTAATGTGACTGAAAGCTGTAACATTCCAGAACATTCCTTATAAAACTCGACTTTTTAAATACAAGAACAATAGAAAAATGGAAGTCAAATTAAAGGAAAACCAATCGTCTATTAAAAAAGAAAGAACACGAAATCTTTGTAAGTGAAAAAAAAAGTTATGATAAAAAACGAGTTCCCACGATTATTATTGTTGGCTATCATAAATGGGGTGGAGTGTGGGGGCGCCCCCAACCTCCAACAAATTGAATTCAAAGTTGAGGGAAACAAAGTCGGCATTCGCAACTTTCTCGCCCAACTTTCACTTTTTATTGAAAACTTTTCAGTAGGTGCTTTCGCTATCGTTTTCTTTTTCCGCGTTCACTTTTACCTTTTACTGTCGTTGTAGGTAATAATAGTTTTTAATCGCTTGGATTAAATATTTATTGAACTTAGGGATGATTTTTCAATGGTTAGATACAAGTTATCTGGGGAATAATTATGATGCTGTCGCGTCAGAATATTTGTATAAGACAGGGACAGCAACAATATGTTATTATTCCTCAGATAACATTTATCTGACTATTGAAAAGTTAGCCCTTAGTTGGTTGTAAAAAATCTTACTAATATTATGTGAAAGTTTGTGAGAATGTTTGGATGTATGTTTATTATTCTTTCAAGCAAAAACAACTGGACCGATTTGTTTGAAATGTGGTATGGATTAACATATAGGCTGCTATTAAGCCGCGGGCGGAAGCTAGTGTAAAATAAACTTCATGAATGCATTTTTTTCTGTCTCGTTTATAATGTGTGATTTGGAGTTTCATGTTTTATTCCTATTTTAGAAAAAGAAAAAAATATTTTATTTCTTCTGAAATCAGTTCAAAAATTTAACTTGCCTTGTTTTGCCTCCTCATTTCTTTTCAGTAGATCAGTTCTTTTCAGTAAATCGATAGTACATCCTTCTTATTTAAAGCGCTTTCAAACACCATATAATATATGGCAATAAAATTGCTATGTACCGACTTTAAAGAAAGAGAAACAAATACAATTTTACTTCTAAACCAAAGTCAGTGATTTCAGACACGGTACAAATTATTAAGACTCCATAAATTACACTTGTGCGTACACCCTACTGCAACTTAAGCGTGATACAACTACGATTACTAATTCGTTAAGAGGAGTAACAATACCATATCCCCCCTCATTTTGACCACCAGAGATTAAATGTAGCGGAAAGTGGTCGGGACGGTGATGGTGAATGATGGCAACTGTTGGCGACTGTAGATAACTGTTGGCGCCACGTCACGCTCGCTGGGGGGCAAGCAGAACAATAGGCCCGCAATGATCCATGTGTTCTGAATTAATTATCTTGCTGTTAAACTAGTTTCATTCTTGGTTATAAAACTGTCCCGTCTACTAAGTTGATTTGTTAGACATTGTCGTGGTGGCCCGGAGGTTAAGACTTAAGTTTAGGTCTCATGCAAAAAGCTCTTTTTTTGAGAAAGGAAAATCATCGAATGACTTCTGACGCCCAGGGCCGAGCGGGTGGGAGTGTCAGACTCTTACTGACTCAAAACGCCCCTGTTCCTTCTCCTGCTCTGGTCCGAGGTCGCGGTGCCTCATTGCGCTTACCCGCAACCCCGACTGAACATCAGACTTATAGGGCCTTGTCTGTGGTGGTGTATTGGCTATTTGACCTGGACTTATAATTTCTAATTATAAGTTTGAAATCGCCACTCCACCGTGAGCAAGCGTGGTGATTAATGCTGAAATCTTCTCCGTGTGAAAAAAGGCCTTTGCTTAGTAGTGGTCACTTATGGGCTGATGATATGATGTTGTAAGACTAGTGTTAATTCAGCTTGCAGGTCAAGCACACTAATGTACCTCGTCCTCAGCCTGGAGCAGAAGGAGGAACGGGATAGCTTCAGTAAGAATTTAACACTCTCTGGCCCCGACTAGATTGAGAGAAATTATTCGAAGATTTTTTGCCATCAAAAATGTCTTATGTTGACTGCAGATAGAACAAGAACAATACATAAGTTCGATGTGGGGACTTGCAAAGTAGTACCTAGATATATTTCTAGGTTTTCACTAACGAGCTAGACAAAGAGATTAGAGCTAGATTTTGATGTCTTCATAGTTGATGTTTTTCTAAGCCTAATTACGTTTGTAGCTGGTATAAGTAAAAAGACAATAAGTAACTGCGCCTACACTTTTATATTTCATGGAATAAAGAAATGAAAGAGTTAGTTGAACTTGCTTAGCCCCTCCGTGAATACTAGCCGTAACTTACTAATATGCATATTACTTTTAAATCATTATCAGAATCTGTGTACATACTTATATTAAATTAATTATATTCAATTTATTCAAGTGTGAAAGAGCCAAGCTTCGGCACGAGTGGGTCGGCTCGACCGAGTGAGTGATACTACGGCCTCACAGAAAACCGGCGTGAAACAACCACAGCGTTGTGTTTCGCTGTGTAAGTGAGGTCAACCCGATTGGGGAGGGATGGGGAGGGGAAGGCGGGCCTCCAGTAACCTCACTAACACAGCGAAACATAACGCAGGCGTTGTTTCACGCCGTTTTAGGTGAGGCTCTATTATCACTCCGATCGAGCCGGCCTATTTGTGCCGAAGCATGGCTCTCCCATAGTTCTTAAGTACATCACAATATCGGTCACTGTTATTGGCATATTGCCCTTTTTAACAAAGAACAAATCTCATCACCAACTTACAAACTACCAAACACAAAACTAATAGGAAAATAATGCATGAACAGAGCGACATTACCTTCCCAATGAACCTAGGAGCGTAATTAGCAAAGCTATTTATCAATTAACATTGTTCAAACAAGCAGCTAGCCAACAGAACATGAAAACAATGTCAGCCTCCACAAACTGTGAATAAGAAATGGACACACAGATGTAGATTCTAAAGACATACAGGTTACCGAGGTTAGAAACAACAGCATATGTAATATTTAACCTTAAAGCGCAATATACTAGTAGTAATACTTATACAGTTATTAAGAAAGATATATTTGTATATAGGTACTCAGAAACATTGTAGCATCAGTGAAAGAATTTTCGACCCGCGGATCCAAAGATTACCCCCTACATACAAACTTACAAATGTACAAACATCCAAATTTTACTTCTTTATAATACTAGCGGACCGCCCCTGCTTCGCACCGGTAGCTATCCGACTACCCCGTCAGTCATTTGTTTTTTTTTTCAAACGGTCACAGCACCGAAATGATTGATAATTTCCGATATTGCCCTTTACTTTTCTAAAATTTTCTTTCGTAAGAACATTCACACAAAAATAACGAACATAACAAAAAAAGAATCAGGAAAATTATTTCAGTCGTTATTGAGTTATGCGCTTACCAACACATTTTGCGATTCATTTTTATATTATAGATTAGTATAGATGATATATTTACATATAGGTAAGTATGTACATATGTTATATTAGCTAATCTTGCGTTATTCCACCCGCTGCTCGGCTCCATTTGATCGTAGCGTAATGTTTTATATGTATACTAGCTTTTGCCCGCGACTCCGTTCGCGTGGAATAGTGACTTCGTGCAGATTTTTGGTATAAAAACTATCCTTTGTCCTTTCTCGAGTTTCTTGAAATTTCACAGGAATCGGCTCAGTAGTTTAGGCGTAGGAAAAGACAGACAGACAGACAGAGTTACTTTCGCATTTCTAATATTAGTTTGGATAGCACTCAGAAACATTGTAGATATCTATCAGTGAAAGAATTTTGAAAATCCCATCAGCCGTTCCAAAGATTACCCCCTACATATAAACTTACTTTACAAAGGGGAAAATATATTCACGTGGCGTGCCGTATCGCTCTATGACGCAAGCACCACGACACGACACGACAAATAAGAATCTATGTAATAATACCGAAACTTATTTATTTAATCATTGAATAGTATGGTACAAACAAGTTACTCAACTCAATAATATTAATGAAATGTAATTGTTAAGACGTTTTTCATTAGGTAATTATTTTACTGGCCCTGCGAGATATCGTCAGACCTGTCTCCAAGCAAAATGGGCATTTCGAAGTCTAGAATTCTTTGTTTGATACTTATTGACTTGCTCCACAGCTCCACATTTAGTACTGTTCATTTGACGAACGCAGTTTTTAAAGTTCCAAGTGTTTGTTCTGTATTAACTGCGCAGTGTACATCCTAAGGTTGTTGCTTATCAATCGCGACTTTTACGTTTATTAGTTCTGTAAGTCATTGTGTGGTTAACATTAACAAAACTATTGTGTTCCATCCCTCTGGGGAATTAAGTACAATTTACAACTACGTGTAGGTATACACCTAAACCTTACCGTTAGCAAAGGCAGCGTGTATACCTACATACATATAATATTCAGCTCAAAAGCGCAGTATGAGGTGAACCACACACGTACATAGAAATGTACAGTAGGTACATATAGCCTGCTGTATAGCCGGTGCAAATTAGACCATGCCACGTCCCTCGCTTTGAGTCGCGCTTGACCAAGCGTTATTCGGATTTCGAACAAGACGCCCACCGCACTAGGGCTGCGACACATCCGCTCGCAACGTACCTATCGATAGTGAGTATCGATTCGGGGTCTCGAAGCTGCCGACGCGTAGTACGCCACTCATGCGAGACCGTGCTGTGACTCTAATTGAATATGTTGCGCCTGTGTCGATATCGATAGTCGATAGCGCATTATTTTTCACCTACATTTTCGTGACAATTTGAGTCAGCCATCTCTTTTATGCACTGGATTCAGAGCCAGCTATCATGTATATTTCCCTTAACTATACTTTATTTACATGGAGGCTGTTATAAGAGCTCTGTAGAATCACAACAGATAAAGCGACATTGTCACAACTGCGAATTATGCAAACATATCTAGTATGCAAGATAGGTAGTTTAAGTTGAAATTGAGATTAGAAAATAATTAAATCTCTCTATGAAAGAAATAACAACGTTTACACAAAAGTATCATTTAAATCTTAAGTAACGGATGTTTCCAATATTAGTTTACAGCTCGTTAAACTAAACTCTATACATACATCTTAAATGAGAAAAATCTAAAATCACACCAACAAATATATATCTGGTAAAACACCCCTTTCACGTAACATAAACATACGACATAAAAGACCACATCCTCCGGTCCACGGGTAGTGCAGAGAACGGTATTTTTTATCGACAAATAAAACTAAACACGTTGATAAAGGAGCGCAGCGCGGGGGCGCTTTCCAAGAACGGCAGTCCGCGCGAGTGATTTGCGCCACCCGCCGCCTAGCGGTCGCGACCAAGTAGGGGTGACCTGGCATTACGACAGTTTATCGACATCGATAACATGATTAATTATTTAAGTAAGCAAGTCCGTTGAGGTGAGTCAAGTTAGAACTAAATTACGAGAGAGATTATTTTTGTTTATGTATTCAGATGAGGCAGTAGTTCATTTTAAGTATATGTTCAAAAGTTTTCTTAAGCCACAGGTATATCGATATTGTTAGCGAAAGTGCAGGCACGGCGAACGACTATCGACGGGTGTCGGTTGTTTAAACGTGTCAGTTCCATTGTCAACAGGGGTTCGTTTCCCAGGCTGGAGCACTTGGTCGTGCGCAAACAAAGGAGTGTTTTTGTCGCTAACGGCGGGTGGGCGCCGCGAGTGTTGTCCGTGGCGACGAGCGGCCGCGGGCGTCGGGCCGGCCGCGGGTCGATATCGCTCGAGATCTGTCGGCCTACGCGCCCGCCTCGCCGGCCATTTGCCTACCTCGACGCCTCGGGCTCGTGTGTACATAACCCGCCACCCACCACCCCGGCCGATACTCCCCCGCAGATTACCGCCTACAAAGCAAACTTCATTGGTACGTGCATGCAATATGCGCAAGGAGCAGGCCCGAATTGCACCTCGGACGGCCACCCGGCCAGATTGCTTTGATATCCTACTCGTCCCGTATATAGGCCATTGCATCTCGAATCTTGGTTAAAGGCGTCTCTATTTCAAACACTGTTTCAGTACATAGCGCTCTCGCAATCGCGTTAATTACTCACAAGATGGGAACGGTGTTACCTAACGTTGCCTACGGGATGTTTCTGTCAGAGCCATTCAAACCAAGACGTGGATAACATTTCATCTGCTTTGTTATCAATGCTAAGTCTCTGCAAAGTACATTAAATAGTATTTATGAATATACTTACAGCTATTATTCATTGTAATGACATTAATTATGTTGAAATGTTACATGCAGATATTAAGAATCATGTGCGAGTTCCTGTCTCAGCATAGGGATAATCAACAGGTGGGTGTGATTATAAACTTATGAATATCCAATATTGTTACTTATAATTCAAAATTCGGTTAAAGTTATAAAACGAATTTACGTTGAAAGGTTTGAGGAAGGAATATATACTCTACAAAACAAATCTATGGCAAAATTTCACGAAAAAAGTGCTATCACATTCTATTTCAAACGCAAACACATAAAGTTGTCATCTTAAAAAAAATACGTATGGATCCGCGAACTGTAGTAAGTTTCAATTTGAAAGCCGGAGAGTGCCGTAAATCGGCCAAGTGCAGTCGCTGCGCCCTCCCGCCCTCTGAAAGAGGGAAAGTTCACATTTGCATATTGGCCTCGGCTCGGCTCTGGCGCCGCGAAGTTTACGACAAACTTTGTTCGATTGTGGGGCCAACTGATCACTGTTGCCAACTTGGTGCTAATAAACTAATTTGTATTGGGACCCGTTTTTAGGGCAGCAAAAATATTTAATGATTTTCTTTTCTGAAACAAGTGTCGTGTGTATTACTTTGAATATTTAATCGAATAGTTTACTTACAAGCTTTATAAATACTCCACTGATATTTTGAATTTAACATTTTTTCCTTTGATAGCTTCTCTTTTGTGTTTTTTGTGCATTGAGTAATCAAACTACATTTCACAAACAATCTGAACAAATAAACTGTATCAGTATTCATGTTACCGACATACATGGATGTGAGTGGAAGTTTTTTTATTTTTATATGAAGTATAAAAATAAAAAAAACTTCCACTCACACTCACTATATTTCACGAAGTTTATAATTGCATTTTTTTTTCATTTTTGTGGGTTTCGGCAATACCTACCCAAGGTGATATAGAATAGAATATCTGCGTGTATTTAGAAGCCGTCCGATCCTATAAATTAATTACCTTATTTTCGTGATATGATTATCACTGGTTTAGTTCTAATGGATGTTGAATAAATATCTTACTAAGTTATAAGTTTACCACAAAAACATGTAGACTAGATCCAAACAAATTGGTATCCGCGAAAAAAATTAACAGGAAAACTCGTTCCCCACAATAAACAGACCGAAAAACAAACAATAAAGAGTGAATGAAATGAGTACGAGAGCTGAATGTGAATGAATGGGGCGCATCGAGCATCGACTCGGGTGTTTCTGCCCGCGAATATTTTAGGGTATTTCAATAAAGGCGACATCTTTAATCTAGGGTTGGGGTACGGGCATAAATCTTGCAGGTCCGGAGTCCGGGCGAGTTTTGAATCATTTAGCGCGGTGCGGCCGCGGGGCGCGACTTCCGTCCGGCACGTGCTGGACCACCCCCCGCGCGCCTGTCACACCCCCGCGCCCCGTGCTGCGCGTCTGTCTTGTCGAGACAAAGGGGCGCCAGTGATGTGACCAAACTCAACTATCGATGAAAACTTCAAAGGATTATTTTCTTTAGTTTAATTTCTCTGTTTTATTAACCTTTTCAAATACAATGCTGTCTTATTGAACAACAATTACAACAACAAATGTTTGTACACTTATTTAAAATATTATGAGGTTAAAACTTTTAAATATTGTACATTTATGTGCGACTCTTTGTTAAACCCTATTCTTGGAAGAAGAAACGACGAGTACTAAGTCTCCTGACAACAACTGTAATCCTCGTGGCAAATATTCTCGAATGTTCATGCATGATTTAGAAAGGGTTGTTAATCTGCAAACTGAATTCCAGCTTTACTTAAGTATCGACTTTCCTTTGTCGACAGCAGGTTGGTCGAGGGTATTGAGCCACATCCCTATCGGACGACGTCCGAGCCGCCTCTAATTTGAATTCACGGAGACTCCGCGACCGTCCGCCGCGTCGGGCGCGGCCGCCTTAATGAATCGCGAGGGGGTTGGGGGCCACCCTCACCCACCGGGGGGCGATCGGACGGCCACCGCATCCTCCGCGCGGATAAGTGACGCCCGTGTTGCTCCGTACATAGGTACGCCTTATGTATTGCGGCACATAGCGGCCGGCCTGTACCTACGTAACGCTCGCCAAATTTATGTCCCGCACATGTCTAGAGACCGCGGCCGTACCTTCACAGGGATTTTGCGTGTTTACGTACAAACGAGAGGCCGCTGAAGATATTCGAGACGGAATTTTGCTTGGACCCTTATTGATGATCCGGTCGGGTTTCGTTAATCCTGCTCCCAAATTTGGATATACATACCATTTTTGTTGATATTCGTCGGTGTGAATTTCGCTATTCCAGAATCTTCTCGTTAGGACGAGAGTAAATGTTCCTGGAGGAAAAGGTCGTTTAAATGGTTTAAACACGCGTCGCGCTCAGACTTAAGTGTCGGCGAAGGGTTTTAAATAAAATAATGCAAATGAACCCCCGAACAGTAGAGCTGTAGCCTCGGGCTACACACGACTGCTTTGTCCAACTCGTAGTTGGCCGTAAACAAAAACTTGCTAATGGGCAATTATGCAAATAGCGCGCTCGTGATGACCAATCAAATCGCAGTAAATTATTCAGTCGATACGAATGCGCCTCGGGTCGATTTCATTTCGATTCTATCGATGCCATACATGGTCACTTGACGTCCATAAATTTCTGTGTAAGGAATGCAGTTGTTTGCTTACTAACTACCTAGTATTTGGATTCGAAGTGGAAAACTCGATAACTTTATAATATGTATAGTTGCGGTGACGGTGAACACAATCATAAAAACATTTGAACAAGTTCGAGTGACGATCGATCCGCTAATCTTTATCCCATCTCATCACTACAGCGTATCAAATCCACTTATTTTCTCCGTAATAATAATATCGCAACTCCCCTAATACATAATGGCCAAATTGTCCGTCGGGTCCGTGATCAGTCGAGCTGTCAGTCGGAGCCCCGGGTCGCGGGTCCCGGCGACGTCCCGCGTCTCGCGACCATTATACTCGATAATCACGCGATATCGATTGGCATGCGTGCTGCCCTAATTTGGTGCCCGGGAATTAAGAGTGGAACGCACATCACTATTGTCTTTTTTTCGTTGGCATTTTTGGGGATCTGCACGGTTTGGCAGGGGAGCCGAACATTATTTTGTTTATGGCAAGAAAATAAATATAGTATAGGTATTGCAAATGTTTTGCTAAATGCAAAACTTAATTGGAACCCGATCATCTAATTATTTAACAGTTTCAATTCAAAGCAGGTTCCTGAGAAAAAGAACATTCGTAACAATGTTGACGAAACACAGCAATTAATGCCTATGCATATTATAAAACATTGGAACAACATATTAACTATTTGTTGTGAATTGACTCGTGATTCTATGAAAATAGTCTGCAATATTGTGTCAAAAGGATTTTTAACTATCCAAATTCCAGCTAGAAGATGAGTACAAAACCCATCGAGGCTGGTTACTAAACAATTTCAATCATAACTCAACCATTTGAACAACAGTCGACAACGTTTAAACAACAGCAGTTGTTAAATCAACTCGGAAGTGGATGGACTGAGTTGTTTTGTAACGCAACCGTCCCGCGTCAACAGGTGGCCATATTAAGAGAAATTTTATAGCTGTCACTATATAATACGATGCTATGCGATTTTGTGACGTCATAATATATATTATTATAATTTTTCATTTATAATTTCACCAGTTGATGTACAACTGTTTTATAGATAGGATGATGCGAATTTGCCAAATTCAGTATCAGATATTTGTGAGATGTAAAAAACCATGTTAGAAAGTCAAAAATCAACAATCGTTTATTTCAATTAGACCAATACAGGCACTTTTGGACGTCAAGCCAAATTTTAAAGATATAAAATGTCAGTCTGTCGGTCAGTCCTCTTAGTGGAGGTATATTATGTATGTTTACATTTTTGTAATTTGTTTGAAATTAGATACAGATTAAGTTGTAATGACATATTTTTTGCTTTAAAAGTTAACAAAAATATTAGAACTTTATTTACTAGACCCTTTATTTTATTTTATATGCTCATGCACAAAAAATATTGTGCAAAAGATGGGCTGAATACCATGGGGATTCTCTAACAGCCAAACCATTGGGTGATGCAGAGATAATTTAGTAGTAGGTGTAGAAAGCAACCATTTACTCTTAAACATTATCCATAGACTTCCATGTTACATAAATAAGTACTGTCTATATATTTAATATTGAATTCGTTATTAAGATTATTGTTATTTTTATTTAATTTAATATATTTAATTGGGAAAACTCCCTCTTGCCCCATCCAAGGCAAGTGAAAGCATTTGATGATTTTTCCCCCCTCAAAAAGGCCCTATGATCATTAATTTTGCTTTCGATCAACACGAAGAAGACTTCAGATTAATTTACACAAAAAAGGTTTCACCATTTTAATAAAACAATTGAATACTTCTTATAGTTCTAGTTCTAGAACTTTCTATTAAAACAATGAACTGAAAAATTAATTAAATAGAAAAATCCCTCAAAGTTAATTTGTAACTAAAACGTTTATATTTTATTAGGTTAGGCAAATGTTAAGATAAATTTACTGTGTCTATAAATCCTTGAAAGTAAATCTCATATTGAAAATTGTGTGTAAAAAGCCTACTCAGATAAGGAATACATACCATGATTAAATTTCGTAACATTTTCAAATATAAACTAAACTTATGGGTATTGTTAATTGGTTGACTAATTGTCCTTTTTTATGTCAGGGTAAAATCATCAAATGACCTTTCCCGCCCAGGGAAGGCGAGAGAGAGTGTCAGACTCTTACTGACTAAAAACCCCCGTTCCTTCTCCTGTTCTGGGCCGAGGCCGCGGTGACTCATTGCGTTAGGTACAAAGAGTGTTAAAAATTTTTGATCTTATTTTAATGAAAAGTATGTATTTACTTTCTCATCTGAATTGGCTGTGAAAAACTACCGACTAGCCGACCAGTCGGCTTTGCGACGTCGTCGCGACGCGTACGCTGCTCATGAATAAGAGTCCCTTTATGATTTGAAACTAGTCAAGCTTTTCTCGGTTCACGTGATTAAGTTTAGTAAACTATCATGAGACATTAGATATACATATAATATTAAGTATGGCTCATCATAGTTACTATCCTTGATTTGTAGACGTTATATGTGCCGTTAAAATAGTAACAAGCTTTTGATCATACATCGGCTTTTTTTAGAAAATCATAAAATGGCTTTTCTCGCCCTGAATGAGGCGAGAGGAGCGTCAGACTCTTATTGATTACTACTCTCGCGTGGTTTCACCCGTTGCTCAATCCATTGACGATCAAATGGCACTCAGGAACATGGTAGCTATATATCAGTGAAAGAATTTTGGCAATCCAACCAGCGGTTCCAAAGATGTAGCCCCTACATATAAACTTACAAATTTTAAACTTACACGGCTCCGCCTGTGAGAATGTTCATTTTACACTTTTCCAAGATTTTTTTTTTATTTTCACTACGCGCTTGCAACTTTTTCTGGGTTTCCACGAATAATTCAGTGCCTAAATTAGTCAATTCGCTAAAGGCATTGTTGAGTAACATTACAACGAAAAGTGGCATTGATTTTTATATATTGACTATAAATCACCCCGTTCCTTCTCCTGCTCTGGGCCGGGACCATATCAACATTATTGCGGTTGCAACCCTGGCCGAATACATCGGGTATATTGACTTTCTCTTAGTGTTAAAATTAAAAACAATCATATTAGCGATAATTGTAGGTACCAATGGCCATACCATAGGCTTACCAATATTCAATAGTGACTATCACTACACATACGAGTGGAACGTAGTGAAATTCTGGCCTTTTTCAACCAAACTAATAAAAATAATGGAATCAAACCGCACATTCACCGCTATACGCAATGCAGTCTCTTTTTCTGAGAATCCCTCGCACTCACTGGTCTTACACACCCCAAAGATGTATTCACTTAGCGAAATTAAACCACGGTTCATTTCTTTACATATTAAAATGGCAGTGAAGAATTTAAGTATTTCACTAGTAGGTACTGTACTTACTAGTCACTATTTGCCTGTTGGATCTCTATAAAAGTGGAATATCTATACTAATATTATAAACAGTTAAAAATAAGTTTGTATGTAGTGGGTAGGTAATCTTTGGAACCGCTGGTTGGATTGCCTAAATTATTTCACTGATAGATAGCTACAATGTTCCTCAGTGCTATAGGCTATAAAACATCACGCTGCGATCGAATGGAGCTCAGCAGCGGGTGAAACCGCGCAATAGTAGCGAGTGATGAAATAATTTGAAGGCTCTTAATTAAATTTGCGAGATGATAATTTTTTTTCAAAACCTTGACTCGCTCTCTAACTTTCTCCTGTATCGTGGGTACTTTTAAAAATACATATATGAATCCACATACAAAAGTTACCCAGACAAGAAACAACAATTTGTGGATTACATAAAGTTAGGGATGCTGCTGATGAATAATGCTTTGCGTATTGATTGTGGCTAAAAAATCAACAGATCAGAATCTTATAGAGAACTTACTGTTTCGAAATCGAAACTCAAGTTTATTTTATGTAATTGGAGACAAATTAGCAGACGGATAACCTGATGGTAAGTGATCAGCGCCGTCCATGGAGTCCGCCAGAGAGGGTTGCCAGGTTCTTAAAAAAGAGTACGTATGTTTGAAGGTCGGATGTTTACCATAGCTTAATAATAATCAGGTCCGACTTCAAAAAACCTGAAAGAATTCCTCAGTTTCACTCATTCTTTTTTTTATGTGACAGATCTGCAAACGAGCAGACGGATTACCTGATGGTAAGTAATCAACGCCGCCCATAGACACCCGCAACGGAGGAGTTACGAGTGCGTTGCCGACCTTTTAGGGATTAGGGATTAGGGATTTGGAGATTTAGGATTGAGGGGGGATTGGGGGTGGGGAAGGATTGGGCCTCCGGTAACCTCACTCACACGGCGAAACACAACGCTGTGGTTGTTTCACGCCGGTTTTCTGTGAGGCCGTGGTATCACTCCGGTCGACCATCGTATCGAGCCGTCCCATTCGTGCCGAAGCATGGCTCTCCCACACTTAGTTTCACTCATTCGCGATTAACTAAACCAATTTTGATGCGGTGTCTAGAAAAATATTTCTCAAATATTAACTAATCAAACAATATATGTATGTATAACCAATCCTTTCCTATCCTACCCCATCTAGATACAACATTTCTTGAATTAATTAAACTTTAGAAATCTGTCAGTCAGATAGCATTTCAATTTTGTGTTTTGAACCTAGATAGGTAGACATAGAAATGGAATAACTTTTGATAAATAAAGTTATTTGAATCCCTCATGGGTTTAAGACGACATGATAGGACTAGACAGGCTAGGATAGACGACATGATGGAGTTAATTGGGTTCTGTCTATTCCTTTTCTAAGAGGGAGCAGACGGATTACCTGATGGTAAGCAACCGGCGCTGCCCGCAACACAGAAAAAAACTACGAGTGCATATTATGCATTGCTGGCCTTTGGGGATTAGGGTTTTGGGTACTTAAGGATTGGGTAGGGACTGGGGAAGGGGAAGGATTGGGCCTCCGGTAATCTCGCTCGCACGGCGAAACAACGCTGTGGTTGTTTCACGCCGGTTTTCTGTGAGGCCGTGGTATCACTCCGGTTGGGCCTAACCATTTGTGGCGAGGCTTCTCACACATCACATCATCAGCCTATAACTTCTACTAATATTATTAATGTGAAAGTTTTTGAGAGTTTTATTATTCTTTCACATAAAAATGACTGGACCGATTTTGTTGAAATTTGGTATGTAGATAGGTGTTACCCTAGAATCTAGATTAACACATAGTTTTTTGTCAATGATCGAGAGATCAAATATTTTAGATAATCATATTCACATAACCTTTTTATGAATCTTCTAATCAATAATCATTTGCATTAATTTTAGCAGTCAATTCATGATTGAGTTTCCAGGTGGCATTGCAATGACCGCCGGCACTCCGGCACCGTATCCGCGCCGGTATCACCGGTACTACGGCAGTTCACTCGCGGGAGGCGACGTGCCTCCCATGCGCGCGCGCCGCATCCGCTAGTGATGATCCAGGTCGGTTCGATATCGATAGGTTCTTGATTCTTTGTCGATGATTCAGTTATTTGAGTAATTTTATCTGTGTTAGGTTACACTTTTATTATCATAACGCGTAGCAAATACTTAGTAAGTTACGTAGCTCGTAGCAAGCGCGTAGCACAAATACTACTAGTAATATTTTAATGTAAGATAAAAAATGTGTGTAGTAATTAGGACCTTTGTTGATTAAGACCTAATTTTTAATAATTTTGTATTAATTGCGCAAATTCCAAGTTTTTCTAAGCTAGTTTAGTTACTACCTTAGTTCTCGATTACCAATAAATCGAAGAACATACACACATCACTAGCACGCAGTTTCTCCGCGGCTCGCGTGAGGCGCTCCCTGGCGGGCGCGATACAATCTCCCGCGAATGTGCGTGACCACATCCTGCCCCCCTCGCACCCGACCTCACCCCGCGTCCGCTGCGTGTCACACCGCGGTCCGCTGCGCTCGCGCCGCCGCGGTAACCAAGTTTCCGGCCGGTAAAGCTCCACGACAAGGTCACGCGAACCGGGCTCAGTTGATTTATGTTGAAGGTTGTTCGTTAGTGACGAGCCGTTTTTTGAACGTTAATGTAGAAAATTATGGCAACAGTAGCTTACATATGAAAAACGTTTCAAAAATCTATGACAAACTATGGTTGTTGAATTAAATGAGGTTCGGAACCTGGCAAGGACCAATGTGACTTTTTCCAAGTTATGTGTACTTTCTATGATTATTTAGACACCACTGACAAACGGTGAAGAAAAACATCGTGAGAACAACTGGATTTAATATTTCTAATTATAAGTTTGAAATCGCCAATCCTCCTTGAACAAGGGTGGTGATTTATGTTCAAACCGTCTCCGTGTGAAAAGAGTTTGCTCAGCAGTTGGCACTTATAGGCTGATGATATGATGTGATGTGACTTGACAAAAATTGACTGACTCTTATTCTCATTTCAAACACCTGAAACGAAGTATCACAAAGAAAAAACAACTTTATTCACTCTACAGATGTAGTGCGTCCAGACTAAAGGTGTCAACTAGAAAATGGACGGGCTATACGTCACAAACTCGAGTATACAAGAGTGTAGTAGGATTAAAACTAATTTGTCGAAAGGGGCGCACCTGCAGGGAGTGTTAACAATGCTTGACATAATCGTAAAAGTGCTCGTAAATCGAACGAGCCGCACTTAAAAAAGGGTTCCAAGTCCCTACAAGTACATATAAGTACGTACCTACTGTTGTTTTACGCGATAGGAGATGTAAGTCTACTAGGATAGAAGATACGAGACCTACCAGCTGAGGGCATATACCTAGTCTAGAACATTCGAAAGACAAAAAGCTACTTTATTGTTAGTAGCTGACAAACTAATTTGCTGTGAAACTCAGTTTTGATCGACTGTATGATACCTATTATGTTTTGTTATAGTAAAACTTATAATCTCTAACTTGATTCTCGCTGTGTTACGTTTTCCATCCATCAGCGGTTTATAGAAATATAGATATTAAGATTGTAGTGACTTTAATTACCATATATACACTTATATTCTAAAAAAAGTTTTATTATTTACTACGTATAAGGATTACCTTTTAAACTCAACCAAAATATATATTTTTTACCATAGGTGTACATTGCATGCAAGATACTAAAATTAAAATTAATATATCAACTTTTTATCAAAAACTTACCGAACTTTCTACTTACATTTACGCTTCATCTTCAGTCATAGGAACATTCGATAAAAGGAAAAAAAATACACATTAAAAGATAACGTCACTTTTTCAATACCAAAAGGGGTAGGTTTTACCTTTATGTAATGAAAAAGTCCAAGGTTACTTAAAAACAAATTAAATCCGATTTTTGACCACCGAAGCGACCAGAGTCCACATAAAAACTTCTATGATCAATACTGAATACGATCACGTTAACAGATCAGTTTTCGCGAAAATAAATAAAAAAAAACTTTCCCGCGGTGTGCCTTGTCTCTGGGCAATTTTTATTTTCATTGGCGCAGGTGAATTTATCTATACAGGCTGCGTCTGGCTCGTAAAAACATTACCTCTTGATTTTACAACGTCGGTTAACGATATTGCTAAGCAACTTGTACCTACTAGTAATTCAGATACCTCAAACTTTTTTCTAACAAAATTGCGTAGCGGAGATTGATATATAATAATGTATGTACTAATCAAATTATTTTTTTATTGATGTACATAACAAGCAATACATTATAATTATTAGCTATAAAAACATAAGTGTCTACTCCAAAACAAAGGCCTCATCTCACACGGAGTGGGTTCGAGCACTATTCACGACGCAGACACAAGGTGGATTGGCGATTTCTAACTTATAATTAGAAATAGGTACATGTTTCTTCACGAAATACTCCTTCATCGTATTTTAGTGTTGTCTAAAAATCCTAGAAATTACATGTACTTACCTAACTCAAAAAAATCACATTGGTACTTGCCAGATTATAAACCCGCCACCTTCATGTATGAGAAATACTATTGATGTTGATTACAAAGTCTCGAGTTTGGTCACCACAGTTGAATTATGCAGATAACATATATGAGTGAAAAAGCAACATAAAAAACCAACCATCTTAAGAAGACTGTTCCTACAAAGTAAGAGAAAAGAATTGGAGTCTCAATATACCGTGGTCACTATACTCCTTCTAATACGAAAATGAGACATTCGGCAAAAATACCAGAACGTTATCAATCTCAATATCAATACAATATCAGATTCGGTTCAATTAAGGAGAAACAATAAAGTCTTTTATAAGGTACTCGTCAGCGGATCATTTTCGATAATCCCCCGTAAATTACGAAGTACCCCTTATGTCGGTTGAAAGGGGGGAAATTAATCGTATTGTTGTAAGTCTGAGGCCGATAATATCGGGGCAGACGCATTCGGCTGTGTTCTGATAACAATACATTGTCCGAACCTATGTGTTGGGAATTTCGATGTCGTAACATTGACTGTGATGTGTTGGGAGTGATGTATAGAACTACATATCGTCGTTCCAGAAGTACAATTGTAGTTTTGTAATGCAGTTGAACTCAATAATGTTTCATCGTCATCATTATTTGTTTTAGACGTTAACGTACACGTTACACCACACCTCTTGTGTCGTGGGTGCGTTTACAAACATACAATTTTACATACATATCACACTCAGACCCGGAACAACTATTTGTGGATCACACAAAGTGCCACAACCGTGCAGACAGTTAATCATTAACTACATGCAACACTGTTTAAGAAGCTTTACTGTATACTTGCTGTATACAGTAAAGCTTCTTAAACAGTGTTAAAAGACTGATGAACAATATTTTTTTTGACGGTAGTCTCTTGGTAGTAGCTCATTAAAGCGCTTGTATTCGCAGGCTCAACATCAGCCCTATTGGGCACCATCTGCCTGTGGTAGTGATATGTATCCTGCATAATTATCAGAAAAAGTCATTTGCCAATTTCAACCAATATTTATCGGCAGCACATAATGAAAAATCTTTGATTTTGTGACTGAATTAATTATTTATGTTGAAACTTCTTACATATTATCATGTAACACAAACAGTTATGTGTGAATCGACACTGCTTACTACATAACTGGTTGACGTGGAACTCAACTACTTTCAGCCTAGCCAGGGGCTCATATACGTAAGCAGCACTCATTCATTTCATACGACACGCGACCTATATTTTATAACAGGATATTGGAAGTTGCAATTACATTACGTTGATCCTTTGCTTTTGCAGTCGGCAGTCGTGATTACAATAAATGGACTGACGAGGCAATTACTGATAAAGATTCACTTTCAAGTTACCTTACCCCATACCAAACACCTACTACTAAAAACCCATCACCACGTACTGGCACTTAATAAACTTGACACATATTAAAAAGGCTTCCTCAATTATTGACTCTTTTTGACCAAACCCCGCAACGTGACAACATTTCCTGACCAGGGGCCACGTTGCCAACGCAAGAGATAGCCAGGGGCTACAAAAGGCTATAAATGTTAGGTACGGATATCGCGGCACGTGTACGTTCAAAAATAGCCGATAGACGGGGCAAGCACGTGCATTAATTGTACACATCCTCTGATGAAAGCTGTACCTTTGGGATACCTATAAATGTATTAGTTTTGCGACATTGAAGAAAGTGTTTTTTAATAGAATAGCCTTAGTTTTCTTGTTGAGTAAGCTTTTGATCTTTAAAAGTAAAGAAAAGAAAGAAAATAATTTATTTTATATGCAAATCATGAAACAAGTGCAGGGTATAAGTTAGTTCGGCCCAGAGCAGGAGAAGGAACGGGGGATTTAGTCAGTAAAAGCCTGACACTCTCTCTCGCCAACCCTGGGTGGGAGAAGTCATTTGATGATTTTCCCCTGACATAAAAAAGGGTATAAGTTAGACATTAATGCATAGCTTTAATGATTGTATGTATGTATTAAATTTGCGCCGAAATAGCAAAGCATATTTCTGTATAAAAATTATAGTTTTGCTCCCTGCTTTGCTTTTGCTGAGTTGGCGACCCATTCGGATTGGGCATGTCCGCCAACCCAGGGTTGTATTATTGTATTTTGTTAGGCTGTTTTCACGTTATTGTTTTGATTAATTTTATTTTTATTTTATTCTGTTGTCCTGTTGCTTCAAACTCTTATTGTTTTGTTTTTTTTTTATTGTTGTATTTTTTTTTGTTTGTTCTTGGCCTTCATGTCTCGGTCCGAATAAAAACAGTTTTCTCTCTTTCTTTCTTTCTTTCTTTCTTTCTTTCTTTCTTTCTTTCTTTCTTTCTTTCTTTCTTTCTTTCTTTCTTTCTTTCTTTCTTTCTTTCTTTCTTTCTTTCTTTCTTTCTTTCTTTCTTTCTTTCTTTCTTTCTTTCTTTCTTTCTTTCTTTCTTTCTTTCTTTCTTTCTTTCTTTCTTTCTTTCTTTCTTTCTTTCTTTCTTTCTTTCTTTCTTTCTTTCTTTCTTTCTTTCTTTCTTTCTTTCTTTCTTTCTTTCTTTCTTTCTTTCTTTCTTTCCCTGAAGTAATCAGATTTGTTTGGGGGTTTAGTCTTCGTATAACGTGGTACGATTCCCGCACGAAACAAGAGGTATGTGATCCACAAGTTCTTATTTTTATAAATAAACCTACAACAGAGAGAAAGTCTTAGCGCGGTACAAAGTTATTGAAAAAAAAGTGAGAAAATTTAGCTACTACACCGTGGCACTATTGACCAGAATAATGGCCATCAGTATAGCAAAAACCTATATCTTTAATGAACCCAAAAAATAAAACATTACATTAATAATGTACATATAGTTGGTACGCGAAAATTTTCCCCATCACAAGTTCACTTTTTTCTTGAAGCCTCTCGACCTTGCGTTCCCTCTGAGAGGTCGTCTGCTCGTTCACAACCCCCACCCTTGTCTCCCATTCGCTTCACTTACGACTTTCTTAAGGTTCTGTCTATAAAAATAATATAATAAGGACGAACCTTCTTTTTGGCAAATTCTTGGGGAAAATTCTCAAGTCTGCTTGGATGCGATTAAATGAGCTGTCAGTGAATAATGCATGTTGTCTCGCGAGGTTTTTACTCAATGAAGAAAGGGGAGGGGTGGGGGTCTTTGAGTCATGATGTGTTTTGAGTGTTGATTAGACGTTATAGGTATAGGTATAATGAGGTACAGCGTGTGTTTTTTCACTTTGTCGAGAATTTATATACTTGTTTTTATAATAGTAACTATCGTGAGACATACTAAATTAACTAAAAATCGCGGGTTACTCACGTGTATATATTGAGAAAAGCTCTACTAGTTTCGAACCACAGAGGGGTTCTTCCTCATGAGCAGTGAGTAACACGTGAGTAACCCGCGATTTTTAGTTAATTTATATACTTATTTATTTGAAAAGTGTTACTTAATCAAACAAAAATCCTAAAATTCTATACATACAATAAAATAGATAAAAGTCATCACAGTTAGTGTGCTACTCATGTTATACATCAAAAACATACTTCGAAAACGAAAAAATCTTTAAGATATTTATGATTACTTTTAACATTTTTCTTGGTCTCTATTGATTTTAATTTGTAAATTCCTTTTTGTTTTTCCGATATCTATTTTGCCACTATTTGTGTTAATGTATAAGTAGCTTTATGTCACTATCTGTTTGTTAATTTTAAAAGCCGTAGCTGTTAATTCACCAAAAAAATATAGTAATACTATTTACCAAGTTTATTCACCAAAAAATATAACAAACAAAAGAGAAACGGCAACCCCAATCTCAATGTACAATTTATCCCTTTCACATTTTTAATTTACCTTTGAGACACTGGTACCACGATTCCTCGCACAATTACAAACAAAGCTTCAACATCACAAACCCCAGCTGCAGTATGAAAGTGGAATTTCTTGGAGGCGGCGCATCGCGCCATCGTCCCATGGGAGCTGGGTATTTTTTACCCCCCTACTAGCCACCCGCGTCGGGAGGGTTAATTAGTCGCGAACGCGGTCCGGCTCCACTCCATCTAACTTGTTTCCTTCTTTATTTGCCCACTTGATACAAATGTGGGGCAACGTCAGCGCTACTGTATTGAGATGTTCTGATGTTTCGGCAACATTTTGTTTTGTTGCATCGTGCTCGAGGTCTTAATTCGTCATGAATGAAATAAAACAATATTAGGATTGAACAAATTTCAGTTTCCAGAAATAAGATCGCTTCGTCACCGGTTAGTATAAAATGTAGCAAACTTAATACGAATATAGTTGCAAGTATTTCATTCGCTATGAAAATAAAAAAACACGTAGATATCTATGCTTTAAAAGGCTTAATTTGAAAAGTCCGACATTACGAAAAAAATATCGTACTAATATTTTTTTTGCTAGACATTCCCTTTTTCAATAACTATAGTTGATCCATGTTACCTAAACTTATCGAATACAAATAAGAAATAGCTTTTCAGAGTTTCTCTTTCTTCAGAAAACAGGTGTAGGGTAGGTACCTAAAGAAGAAAGTTTTAGATTATATTATATAAGTATAATTTATTAAAACCCCCAAACCCTTTTACTAAAAACTATCAAAAGACATTTTGTCAAAATATCAAACAGTAAAAACTTATTTCTTGAAAGCTTTTAACAACTTTTGAGAAGCGTCAGTCACGATAGAGGTTTTCTAAAATGCATTTGTCTACTAAAACTTTCATGCAAATATATTTATTTATTTCTTAATAATTTTTTTTCACACTTTCTTATTCTTAATACTAATATAAGGTCTTTAATTCAACTCATTATTGTTTTTTTTTATGTGATAGAATGGAAAACTAGCATACGCATTACCTGTTGGTAAGCAATCAGCGCCACCCATGAACACCCGCAACAACGAAAGAGTTACGAGTGCGTTGCCGACCTTTTAGGGATTGGGATTTTGGAGATTAAGGGATTGGGGGAGGGGAAGGATTGGGATTACTTAAAGTATTACAAGCCATTTTCTTTTATTTTAAAAATAAATAATTAGTTATTCAAAGACTAATGATAGTTCTTCATATAGTGATAAAACAGTAACACAACACTGAAAACCTTTAGTGAAAACAAGTATCCTACAATTACTACGGACCAGCTTCCGCCCAAGCGTATAAAAGTACTGTATCCGAGGATGTTAAAAAACAACAGCGTCTAAAGCGATCGCTCTATTGAAATAAACCTATAGCACTCACAAACATAGTAGCTACCTATCAGTGAAAAATGTGAAAATTTTTGGAAATCCGACCAGCGTATTCAAAGATTACCCACTACAAGAAAACTAAAAAAGATTTTATATAATTAGTATAGATTAATATGGACATGCCCGATATGGTAAGTCAGCCGGCCGTAAAGCTTTACATTTCAATTGTACGTTATAGTATGATTCATTTCAACTGTGATATAACTTCAAGCAAGTCAATTATACTAACAACCAGTAGCGACGTCACACTAAAGCACTTTCAAGCGCAGCTCACGAATTAAACTCTTGGAATCAAGGCCGGCCCCGCGGGTCACTCGGACCCGCGTTAATGAAGGTGAATATCTTCAAAGCGGTCGAAAGGACCCCCACGCCCGCGGTGCTGTGAATCTTTAAACGGGTCGCACGGGGAGGGTTAGGCAAATGGAGCTCAAATGTATTCAAGTTGAATACACGAGTATTGAACGGTTTTTGTATTCGGTTTGTGTAGTTAAGGCTGGATGGATGTACTTTTATGTATATAGCCATGTGGCAACCTCTTTGGTGCAATGGGAGAAGAAAGTGTAAAAAAAAAAATGAATGAAAAACATAGATCACTGTACGTCAACTGTTTTAGTAACAATAAGTTTTACCCTAATAAAATTTATAAGAGAATTAACGTCATCTAGATTATTATGTTATCATAGCTTACAGATCTTAATATAATAAATTGAGATGTAAGCTATCCTATCTTTCAAGTTGCATCAAATTGCACACGGAATGCAAATCAAATTTAAAATCGGTTTAGTAGTTTAGGAGTCCATCGCGGACAAACACGTGACACGAAATTTTTATAATATAAAGATATGAGATCTGTAGGTGTGCATATGTGAATATTTTCTGTTTACCGAGCCGAGTTTATAACTATCATCCAATTTGATCGTTTAGAACTGCTGTCATATTGTTCACTGCAGCTTTTTCGGTGCTGCGATGCCGCATACCGTTTTTTTTTTTTTTTTTTTTGTGAGGCGAAAATCATCAAATGACTTCTCCCGCCCAGGGCCGGGCAGGAGGGAGTGTCAGACTCTTACTGACTAAAAACCCCCCTGTTCCTTCTCCTGCTCTGTGCCGAGGTCGCGGTACCTTATTGCGCTTACCCCGCAACCCCGGCTGAACATCAGCCCTTTAGGGCCCCGTCTGTGGTGGTCTATTGGCTCTTTGAGGCGCGCGCGGAACGCTACGCGCCGTACGCTCGGGCCTGGTTCTGGTCGGGCGGCGAGCTGCCCTTACTCGCCGACCGCAGGCCCGTACTTACGGTGGCCGGAGATCGTCCCTCGATCCCCGACGCCCGTAGTGTCGCCAGTTGCGGCTGCTGGGGCGTGAGGAGGAGGATTGCTCCCTCACGCGGGCCGCCTCTCTCTTTGCGAGCATGACTGCTTCACAAAAGGAGGAGACGGCGTCCCAGTTCCTCTCACTCCGCACCATGGCCTCGACTAAGGCCGGGCGCGAGAGGTCGCCGCCGCCGATCACTTCCCTGAGGATACGGCGGTGCTCAGCCCAGGCAGGGCATACCGCTACCGTATGCTCCACCGTATCCTCTAGGTGGTCCTCACAATGACGACACTCGGGCGTTTCCTCCCGCTGAATCCGAAACAGGAACCTACCGAAGCTGCCGTGCCCGGTAAGCACCTGCGTCAGGCGGAAGGTGAGGACGCCGTGGCGTCTCTCAAGCCACTCCTCAAAGAGGGGTCTTACCGCTGCTATGGTACCGTTGAGTTACAATTTTAACATGGTTTCACTCATACAACTTTAAATATTGCTGAATACTTTTTAATGATAACGAAATTAGTTCCTGTACCAGGACTGGTACACAATAATAATCTGTACGATTTGTTCTTTGAAGTTTTCAACCAGGATACTTCCTTTTTGTTTAAGTATTGGAGAGCCATGCTTCAGCGCAAATGAGCCGGTTCGACCGGAGTAATATCACGGCCTCATAAAATATAGGCGTGAAATAACAATTCCGTTGTGTTTGGAATAGAAGTGAGGTAACCGGAGGCGCAATCTTTCCCCCCCTTATCCCTTCCCAAACCCTAAATAGCCAAAACCCTAATCCCCATAAGGCCGGTAACGCACTTGTAGCAACGCACTAGTTTGGCGTTGCGGGTGCCCTGCAATAGTGCCTGCCTCGTTTGCCGACGTATTACATAAAAGAAAAATAGGATGTGGACACATTTTTTTATATGATTGGACGGTAATCGAGCAGGGTGACCACCTGATGGTAAGCAATCAGCGCCGCCCATGGACACCCGCAACAACGGAGGAGTTACGAGTACGTTGCCGTCCTTTTGGGAAATAAGGGATTTGGAGATAAAGGGATTGGAGAGGGATCGGGGAGGGGGGGGGGGGGGAACCTGACCCGGTGAAACACATCGCTGTAGAAGTTTCACGCCGGTTTTCTTATCAGACGGCACGCCATGAGCAATTTCAGAAGCCAATTCAGCCAGAAACCAAAAATTCTGTCGCACAATAAAAAAATACCGTTTCCACCTTGTTTGAAACTTTATAGAACTTTATGTACAAGTGTTAAGTTTTCAAAGCATATATCTATTTAATTGATGATATTTAAGCCGATAAAATGCGCTGTTCATAGAAATATATAGCAAAAAGGTGTAAATTGTTAAACTTATAGTAATTTCTAAGTTACATTGCGATATTCCTTATTTGGTAAACGAGTCACCGCACCTTTCTATTACCTATGCGATAGGCATAGTATTCATTAACAACTTCGCGCTGTTCAGTTAACCTTTTTATATTGTTATTAATATGCTGCATATATTGCCAGTTTCATAGTTTTTGTTTAGAAACGATGACAGTGAAGTTTTTTTTTATGGTTAACAAGCTGATAGGCCACCTTATAGTGAGCAATTGGCGTCGTTAATGAATAGGTAATAGAAATACTATTGTTTTTTTTTTCGCACGCACACGCACTTTAAAAACAAATTCTCTCAATAAAAAAACAACATGTTCTTAATTTTAAATTTTTAATTCAAAAGTGCGTTTCATTTTAGGGATAGGATAAATTAGGGATAGGGGTTTTGGAGATTTTGAGATATATGCATGTGACGATAAAGCGATTGGGATTCCCGTAAACTCGATCACGATGAAACAAAACTTAAGCGTTTTTTCACGCTAGGTTCATGGGTAACTTGAGTCTTGAGTAACCAATCTACTCAAACTCAAACTAATATTATAAATGCGAAAATAACTCTGTCTGTCTGTCTGTGTGTGTGTCTTTCTGTCTGTCTTTTCTTCATGCCTAAACTACTGGACCGATTTCTGTGAACTTTGGTACAGACATAGTTTGGAACTCGAGCAAGGACATAGGATCGTTTTTATACCAAAAATCTGCAGGAAGTCACTATTCCACGCAAACAGAGTCGCGGGCAAAAGCTAGTTTAATTATAAAATATCATATCGTTACATTTTGATGTTAAAGCTATTACTGAAAATACACTTACAAACTTGCTAGAACTAGACTACGATCTAGTGTTTGTGACATTACCGAGAATTTAGAGATGGATCTCGATTCGAAAATCGAAATCGGAATTTCGAATAATAGTCATAGAATTACGTGGCAAAGGATTTCACGTGAAACGTGAACATTGACCAAGCAGCTGCGAGAAACAAAGGAATCTATTGTAGGAACATGTTACAAGTTTACCTCTAAGTTAAGAATAACAAGAAATATCGATCTTGTGAATTGCTTAAACAATATTAACACTAGAATCGAAATACTCTCATCATCATTATCAACAGCTGAGAAAAGTTTATAAGTGAACAAAGAACTCTTTTTTAAAAGTCAGGGGAGACCACTCTTCCTAGGCAGCTTCGGGATCGCAGAAGGATCGTCGAAAGTTTATAGGATGCGGTGCTTTCTGATTGGATGTTTGAATTTATTAGTAGTTCATATTCGAAATTTCGAACACTATGATAGTATTTATGACATAAATCGACCTAACCCTTTAAGCCTCATTTGTTTCGCCGGGTAATATCAAAACTCTTTAGTCGCTGGCTCGTTGTCGAGTAAAAATTCAGCAAAAGGCAGCCTACTAGGCTCCACGGCTCCACCTTTAACGAGAATTAATTAAAAAGTTTACGCTTGCCGAAAATGTTTACCTACAACGTAGCCATCGGCTGAGTACGCCTTGGATCGTTCCCTTAGTGACGCTCCGTGGAGCTTGAGGAATGGACGGCTTCGAGGAAGGGGGGAAGGGGGGAGCTGGCAGTGCACCGGCTCACAGCTGACGGCACCGAGCCATAATATACGGTACATAGTGAACCAAGAGGTCAAGGCAGAAGTACCATTGTCAGTTTTTTTATTACATCTTAAGGAAAATAGAAACGAATTTAAATTTTGGTATTAAAGGGATACACTAAAATAAGTCTGAAAATCCTTTGAATATAGAAAAACATCTTGAAGCAAATATAGCAAGCCAAAATAATTTCAACCGAGTTTCCATAATCGATAACCATCGCATAAATAAATCCATCGAAAGATGAAAAATCTATAAAGTAAATAATTATCAGTTATATGAAATTTAGGCTCATTTAAAATCCTTAATAATATTTTTTTTATTTTGTAAGGTGTGATAATTTTTGTAAAAACCAGTTAAACTCGTAGAAGTAAGGTTAATATTGTTTGAGACTTCTGTCCTTATTAACACGATGACGGTACTCGGTATATAGGCCGGCAAGATAACGCAATATGGAACACCGGTATCCGAAAACCATTGGTTCTTGTTAGCGAAATATTCTGAGGAAAACAAGCGTCGAATTTAGGTCATTATGTTTTTGAGAACGAAATGAATGAAGCGAGAAACTGCTAGGTGGAAACTAGGTACTTTTTTCTTGAAACCCTTTGTTGGAAAATTCCGTGCGTGAAAAGTGTTTAAAATGATGTTGAGGTATTCTTTGCGATGTTGCAAACGTGGTACGTGGCTATCCGTAAGGATAAATACTTTTCTAGGTTAGTCGTTGATAAGTTACCATTCTTCATGTTTCCACCACTGTTCATTTTTGAAAGGCGTGTCCCTGAAGTTGCAGTCTAATAACAACCAAACCTATCGCACAGTCCCAAAAGTCGAATAAGTCACAAAACTGCACGTGCAGTTCATAGTAGGCTCACATGTTTGCACACGCACACTTTGCAATAAATGAAAAATCACCAATAAAGTGAGACACGTACAAAAGACGAAAACTTTCCACATTCATAAGCAAACAAAGAATCTTGAGGCTAAATATCCCAAGAAATTCCCACTTAATTACAAGCAACATTAGCCCAGTGCCCACAAGATACGCTCCGTAGCTGAATCACATGTTTTGTCTCCATCAGACGCCTCCTAAGAGGCTTTAGGCTCCAAAACAAAGCCGGCGTAAGACAAAGGCGTACATAGAGGTACACAGAACAAACACAGTTGTGTATCGGTCAGGCAGGACATCGGGTGCGGCTCGATGCGCGTCCGCGCTCTAATTAAAACACCCCTCGCGACCCACCCCTACTCCCCCCTGGCCGATGCTCGTCAAAGATTATTTGGTGTAATTTCTGGGCGAGGGGTGAAATTGGATTTTCTTTTACGTGCGCCTAGTTGGTGAAGTGGAATTAATGATTCGGTTTATGCAGCTCCTGTTTCTAAGTCAATCAGTGTTCTCAACTTGTTACGTTTCGTTTTCGATAGCGACGTGTTCAAGTGAACATTTTCATAGATAAACTCAAGCTTGTTTCTGAATTGTTTCTTTAAATTACTCATGTTTTACCAATGTAGATGAAGTTGCTTATAGGAATTATCCGAAGTTCTTATTACAAAATATGTCAAAGTAATATTGTTAATTTACCCTTGCCAATGTAAAATTATACACTTTAGGTACTCGTTTTTTACCAGCAGCGTCGCCTGCAGTAACAGGACCAAAGTAGTCTACATGTTATTCCTAAATTCCTAATGATGACTAAGATATATTTAATTAAAATCCGTTAAGTAGTTTTATGGTCAAGAGTAACATCCATCCATCCTTAACAAAATTTCACGTTTATAATATTAGCAGGACCTCAAAAGGTGTTTTATTTCATGATATAATTTGAACTACTTTCACTAAAAAAATAAAATAATATGTAGTCGGTTTATAGAACAGTCAAATTATGTTTCCCACCCACAAATGTAGAATATTAAAAATATACTACCAGAGCACCTATTGGGAATTTTGTTTACGTTCTAAACGTAACAGCGTTCAGCGCTATGATTAGTTGGTTAACTTGAAGCTGACCAATCAGAGCGCTGAAAATCAGAAACGAGTCGATAGCCTTAAAAAACCGCAATACTACAACGTCTCTATACAAGTACACATATCAAATGTCCAATTTATCCCAATCCTTAACTGAAATAAAATATTATTCCTAAAGATAAATGTAATTTTGTTTCCACGTGACGCTTCTGCGTCATAATCTTTGCGTCGCGTGGCCAGCCGCCTACGGCGATGTAAAAAAGAACATCCACGCACCGCGGAGTAAGATTGCCTCGTAAAAACTCTATGTATAAGTACGACTACCCACATGTTTTGGAGGGCACTCCTCTACCCTCCCAATTAACTGTTAATCACGCCTCCCAACGGATGGGCACGTGGGAACTCAATAATCGTTATGATTTTCACTCTAATGCCTCATTTTGGGGAATACGGTCTTCTGTTGTTGAGAGGTCAAAACTGATTAGTATACTTGCTAGTTTTAGAGTTATGTGATTAGTAAGTAGTGTTAAGAATTATTTTAAACATTAAGTACTTATTATTAAAATGATTATTTCAATATAAAAAAGGTAGTTATATTCACTTATTTAAATTATAGTCACCAAAGTCACATCAAATGAATAAATATTAAGTACTTAGAAAGCTTTCGTCCATAACTAATAAGTGTCAAGGTTTTACGAAGAGTAAGGAATCGATTGACTAACCTAGCCCAACCTAATAAGCGTTGGAGGGTACAGTCGCCATTTTTTTTTATCTGATTCGGGCAGTAGTGGAAGATTTCTATTCCTAATTATTTTCTGGTTATTTTTGATTATGATAAAGATGAATTTTAAAATTGTTGGCAGTAGGTGACTATAAACGTATAACTTTAATAGTTCTGATATTTGTCATACTAAGCATCCGTCAAAAAAACAAGAACAAAAATAAAAACAATAGTCCTTCATTTAAGGCCAGACACATTCATACATTACTTTACAAGGTCTGCTAAACCGCTTTAACTGTTTATTTTTACAGCACTACTACATTAACTTTATGAATTTTAAATACTCACTGTCATCCTTTTATTTTGATAAATGCAGTCTCTTTGCGCGCCAAAATGTTTGTCGCTGCAGAAATGACTACATCAAAAAAATATGATAGATAAAATATAAATCTTTGGTTTTGCTTGCGTCGCCCGTGCCCGAGACAATGAAGACGTGCCCGTTTTATGTAATGTTCTACGTGGCTTGATTGAAGGCTCGTTCATCGCGCCTACGAGCATTATTTTAATCAGAGTTAAATAATAATACCGTGCCCCACGGTGGGCGCCAATAACAACAACAAAGTTATAAATGCGTAGTTTATTTTAGAAATATCTCAGAAACATACGTGTAGCAGATTATAATATTGATAAGTAAAAGAAACATTTCACAAATGTTATCTTGAAGTTAATACGTAAGCGGGGCGTGACTAAATGGCGCCCAAACGTGGGACCAGGGTCGAAGCGAATATTTTTGCAAGCCAAGATCTTTCGACAGTCGCGACATTTGGGAAAATGGATGAGGGTTGTTTACGTGCACTCGAGGCATCCCTCGAGGTGATCCTTGTAAAAAAGCGTGATCGATACAGTGCGCGACGACACGGTGGCCCTAGGGGCGCGTCAATTTGGCCTCCGCCTCGTCAGCGCTAAATTATCCCGACATCTTTAAATGGAATTTCGCGAGTCGCGCGACCCGAAAGTCCCTGCACGTTTCTCTAAAGGTTTTCGAGGCGGCTAGGGGGTGGATTTTGAGGCCGCGCTCCACCGACGTCCCCCGTCGGTCGCACACGCGATGTGCCACCTGACTCCGGCCATTTATACCAACTTATGTAGTAAATGAGCAGCAGCGTAAATACGCTAAGTATCCCGAAGCCAAAATATCTGCCTTGCATTATTCGAATTGCTATAGGAAATTGTTTCCCGTATAGAATTCCGGTGTTATGATTTCCTACTGCATTCATTAACTTAATCAAAGGAATTTTATTAATTTTAATATTTATAAATTGTGACATAGTGTAACAGTTTATTAGTATTTCGTAATAAAAAGGTAGGATTAAAGATCCACCTTGAAAATAATAATATTGCTGTAAGAAACCTTTGAAGATCTTAAAATCGAATTATCGCTATTTGCTTCTCAACAAAATTAAAAATATTATGTAGGACGGCGCTTACTACGACTCGTGAAACGCGTTTTTTAGTTGGATCGCGTAGTGTGAGATAAAATTATTGACGGACAGAGCCGTGGGGAGGCTAGGTATATAATTAAGTTAACGCACCCGTCGTCGACTAGCACGAACAGTCTCCACCCTCGGGCGGTAGTCAACGTCCCGACATGCACACGCCACCTTAATGACTTACCCACGACGTTGGACCGAAGCAGCCAAACATTTGCCAAGCCAACCAAATCCAAACGTCGTCAAACATTCGTGGGTAGAGTAACATTGCTAGATTTTGCAAACGGTCGGATTACCAGGTTCGACCAATGCGCCAACAAGCGAGTGTAATCACCACCGGCGGTGACCGCTCGCGCGTAAATTACGTAGCATGACCAATTTATGTAGATCTTTGTGTTCGTGTACTAAAGCGATGTTGGGAATGGAACATCATAGGTCTGTTTGAGTTGGTCAGTCTGTATAACCTACGCGTCCTTCGCTAATGCCCGCTTAGGTAGCCCCCGAGCGCGCTCAAACACAATCGTATGCCTTTTATAGACCCCTGCTAAGAATAGGGTTGTTCTAGATTAGTAATTAGATGGATTTGGTCCTTGCAGGTAAAAGCAACGAGAAATCATGGTCAGTTTATTTAACTTTAAAAAAGATATAAACTTTTTATAGAAACTAAAACTAAGGAAAAAAGTTCGGATCCTTTTAAAATCCGTGAGAAATACTGGTAGAGCCATAATTACTATAATGTTCTTCTAGTAGTGATTATGTAATTTTTCCTCGAACTTTGTGTGAAGCAGGGGAAAACGTGACATGCATTACTATATTATTTTTCTAACATACGAACGGTCAGACTAA